AATTTATTGGTTTTCTGCTGCAGCCTGGCTTGGGGGCCAGTCTTGCCTGGTAATTGTATGGTCTGTGCGGGGTATTTGTCTTATTAGCCTGCAGCCCCACATGATCTTGAAAACCAGGTTGATCCAGGAACTCTCTGGGAAGCTTCACCTTTGTTAGTGATACCTCTTGCATCTGTGAGTAGGGTTGAAGAGTTGTGGATCTTTAATGTTTACACGGTGCAGCCTGTCCTCTTTAAACAAAGTCAAATGCTTCTTAACCTAGCCACCAAACCTCTTGGTTTATGAATAGGAAGCGGTTTCCACACTACTCGCAACTGATAATATCCGAACACTTCCAGGACAAGTGCTTCGCTGATGACATTTGTTCGAATTGCAATGTTATAAATTGTGGTATAAATAACTATGACTTTTGAGTCATTGAGGTGATCCCAATACAGTAGTTGAATTACTTATCTGACTCTGTGTGGGCAGTAAATGATTTGTACTGAATAACCTAACTGGTTACAGTTCCTGGGCTGAGAAGTTTCCTCAACAACCAGTTATTGGTTGTGGATATGTTGGCTATAGACTCATAGGTTTAAAATTCAGCTGGAAAAAATCCTTAGGAATAATTTGAGACCTTTGGCATCCTGCTAGGTTTGTTACTGTTAAGGCCACTAGAAATGGTAGCTCTTATGTAGATTTGGGTACTGTAAAATGCTTTTTTTTTTCATGTTTCTTTGGGTGTACATTAAAATTACATAGATTTTATATACCCTCACTAGCTTTTAAGCATCTCGCCAGCACAACTAACGTAGCTATGTCATGGATTAGGTTTGGTCATAAATTCTATATGTAAACTTCTATATCAAGTGACTCGGTTCTGGTCCTTGGGCATAGTGCACAGCTAATTGGATACAGAATAATGTCGGTTAACCTAAGCTCACTTACACTGCATTTGTTGTTGCTTTTTTGCAAGTCTGTTAGTGTAGCTCTCCTGAGTCCTGTTTTGGTTATACTAATACATACTAAATTTTTAACATAATAATAGTAGTATGTTCCCTGCTTCCTTACTTTTAACACCAGAAGTTAATTTAGCTAATGTAAAAATCAAGCATATTATTAGTACTAGTAACTGGCATTATTTACACAGTTCAAGAAAGTTACTGCCTAGACCTTGCCTAATAATTTTAACTTCTAATCTTCTACTGAAAATGTAGAAGACCCTATGCGAGTCGGCTCCTATTACATGTAACCAAACTCGCTCATATTTCTCAAACCTTTGCTTCAAACAATCCAGCAATCCCACACCAATTATATTATCAATTAATAATTCAACAACTCTATTACAAAACCAGTATTTACCCAGGTTTTTCCCGAGTCTAGACATGTCCAATTTCTATCTTTTTTCTGTTCAATATTATCCTTATGTTTTTATCACTTGATATTCCCTTTCATTCATTTATATATCGTACCATACTTTAATTATGTCCTTTACTCTTCCTTTCAAGAGAATGTAAGTTAAGATTTCTTAATGTCTCTCTTATGGGAGGTTTTCTAATTCTTGGTTTTTAACTGTCATTCTTTTACACATTACAATGAATTTGTCCAGTGCATTGGCAAAGCTAAATTGCATAATTTAAATCGGGGCCTAACAAGGTTAAGATAAATCTGAAGATTGACAGATGTTGTATTGCTAATACTTTAGATATGACGGGTAGAAAACTACTTCTTATATCTGTACAGTACATTGATTTTTTTGTCTTCAGATCCCTATTGATCATGACAAATCTTTTTCACCATCAGGTTTAGACATTTCAATATTGTTTACCTTGTATCTGTTTATTAACATCATTAGCATTGAACTTCATCTGTCAGTCTTTCATCATTTAAAAACCTATCTTTACTTGTCCTGTAGCAATATTGAGTACCCAGAACCCCATACAGGTACGGTATTCATGCCCTGTTCTTGCAGCTTAAAAGAGACTAATGTGTGTGTTTTTGAGAGCCAATTCTCCCCTCCCAATGAGAATATCCTTCAGTCTCGGGAGACTATGGAGTTGCGCCCTAGTTGTCGATCCTAGTGCAGCGTCTGGTGTGACTGATGAGGCCAATCAGAGAGTGGCAGTCCATCCCACACCGAGCACAAATGAAGTCCTTGAATATAGCATCTCGTATAATGGCCATTGGCCAATTTGTCACGTGAATTTTCTCAAATGTGGTGGTTGTTTAAGATTGACCATGTACATGTAGCTAGTGGTGATTGGTTTAGTCACATGAACTTACCATGGCAACCACTTCAACCTGATGTGGTTTTTGACATTTTGATAATCCCCAGTGCGGTATAGTTCAAAGTTGCAGACCCCTGGGTATCGGAGGCAAACCCCATGGCACCTGTATCAGTACATAGATCAAAACCACAAAAATGCCAGGAACTTTTTGAATATACAGTACTGTACTCACAAGGTACTGTATTGAAATATGAAAGATTTAATTAGGTCTAGTATTTTTAGGGAAATATACAGTTTTTAAACTGTAGGATGACCTGGGGTAGATATCTAGGAAGGTGCATTATGGATAATAAAGGGTGTCTGAAGAACTAAATCAAATAAAAGTGGCATCTCTGAATCATTTTAAAATACTTCTGCTGTATGTTTAACATACCAAGCTAATCTGCAAATTAATATCACAATAATGGTAAGTTGTTCCCAAGGAATCAGTCGCTAAAAATTGGTGTTTGGTTTCTTCTAGTCAATGGACAAGGGAAGGGGGAATCCACCAAACATTATGAAAATACTGTACCACAGAAGAGTACTAACCACTCTACTACATGTCCCATAATATCAGATCTTTTCCCAAGTAAATGACCACTGAACATTGGAATAATTAGGGCCTGTTTTTAAGACCTCCCAAAACTAATAATTTACCATGAATTCTAAAACAAGCGGATGATATTAGTCATAAATATAGTACTAAGGTCTGTGTAACCTTAATAGGGTATTTAAAAGTGCAAGTTGGAAGTGGGGTAACTCATTGTGATGGCCTGACAGCTGAGTGGACAGAACTTCGGATTCGTAGTCCTGAGGTTCCGGATTCGATCCCCGGTGTAGGCGGAAACAAATGTGCAGTTTCTTTCACTCTGATGCCCCTGTTACCTAGCAGTAAATAGGTACTTGTAGTTAGAACTGCTAGGGGCTGCTTCCTGGGGGTGTGTAATAAAAAGGAGGTCTGGTCGAGGACTGGGCCTCGGGGACGCTAAGCCCCGAAATCATCTCTAGATAATCTCAAGGTAAAAGATGTCTTAGGCTGTATTTCCTGGGAAATATTCCTGTTCCTCTGACAACAGTACAGTTTTGAGATAAAATTTCCACAATTCTCATACACCATTAAAATCCTAACAAAACCACAGTGAAGCAATGTCCTCGAATTACTATAATAAAAAATCGCCGTTGTTTAAAATTGAGTTAAAAATGTAAATATTGTTGTAATAAAAGTATTGTAGTGAATTCCAGAAAGTTACAGTACTGCATGGTACTTTTGAATTGCTGTATAATCAGTACAATAATATTGTACATTATAAAGAGTGTAAATAAAATAGAATCTAGCAGCTTCTAAATCTGCTGCTCAGCATGGCATTGTGAATACTAGACCAGTGCTGACTCTTTTTTTTTTTCTGTTTTGTTCATTTAATGATGTGCAGTGCAATTTCGATCTACCAAATCTTGGGTTGCAAAATATTTAACGCGCTGGATTTACTTGCTGTGATCACCAAATAAGTGTGTGGCCTATTGAGTGGTGGGCAGATTTGATTAGGATGCAGGGCTATAGTTCAGACTTGTGGGGGAAGTTAATGGGCCTTGTCATTTACACAATTTTGGAGTCATGGCCCCATCTTGGAGAAAAAAAACAAAATTTTTGGGACTGGATCTTGAGACGCCGCTGGTAATAAGGGTGAAATTCTTTACGGATAGTTTCTCCTGGTAGTCGTCCATCTTGTGATCAATTAAAATTTTCCTTGGTGAAATTTGCCCATGGTGTCAAAAATGAATGGTATTCATTTTAATTAATTTTGCTTCAATCCTGGTTTTTTAATTATATTTGTAGATGGATATAGCGCCATGTGAAAGTTTGAGCCTTTGGCAAGCCATTTAGTATACAGTATTTAAAGCAAAATTATCCGGTCAGTTTTCATTTTGAGTTGGTAAAGGCCCAAATTGCTTTGGGCTTGCAGGGAATTGTTTTCTTTAGAAATACAGTACTGTATTTTGAGGGGTAATTTTACATTTAACCCTTAAGTTTCATTGTGTCCAAGGCATGCCAGGCAAAAAATGTTGACTTATTCGTACATGCTTTAAAGTGATTTCCCTCGTGATGGCCTGTGTATAGCAGGCGGCTAACGAAATGTTACCTACAGTCAAGTGGTACTGTATCTTGGGCTACTGTGCTTTATCGAAGAAAGATAACATCTTGACATCATGGATAACTGATTTTTTTTTTTTTTACATAAATGCTGTAGTAATACAAAATTCTAACAATTTCTTTAAATAACACGTCTGTTCTGAACATTCAAACATGAATGAACATTTTTGTATACTGTACAAAAAGGATTTTATAATGTTACAGCATTCATAAAAATGCTCTGTGTTCTGCTTCTCAGTACATCATTTGAACATACCAGACCCAACTGGTAAGGATAATTTATTTTCTATTCATTTCATAAGTTTCACTTTGAAAGAAACTGTCTATATATTTAAACACACGAAGACCTTGTGTGTGTGTGTGTGTGGGAATGCCGCAGCTTAAGAGTTAATTTCGCTTTTAAATTGCATGAGTCTTAGAATAATAGTTCAATTGAGAATGGAAGTGGAACTCCACCAATATTCTCTTAGGATATATTGATTCAGCCTCTATTGTTGAGATTGTGATATATATTTATATAGGTTCATGTGCATTATTCATCTGGTTGAACAAAATTATTGTTTTGATAAATTTGGAAGACTAGTGATCATATTTTTCCCTAGGAAATGGTGATGTTGGGCATCAGAATGGACATAGAGATGGAGTGGGAGGTGTGATGACAGGGCAAGAAAATGGCGAAGAAGACAGAGGTTCAGCGCTCAAACGTAGCGCTTCCAACAACGTAGAGGTCACAGATTCTCAAGGTGGTGAGTGTTGGTAGACTTTGTTAACTCAAAATTGGGCAAATGAATGAGTTCATGAATGAATTTTGTAATACGTGTTGATAATCTTGCCAATACAGTACCGTAACTATATTGAAGTGGAAATGACCACCATTCACAATTTCGAAAGAAAGTATGACAGCATTGGAATGTCAGGATGTATAAATATACCAGATATAATGGCTAGGAGGTGGGGGGGGATCTGAAGCTAGATCTCTCTTCCCATAGATACCACTGGGCAAGCACTTCATATACAATTACTGTCCTACCATCACTGCCACCACCACCAATATGGGGAACCGTATACTCAAAGTTCTGGGATTATTTATGCTCCATGCGAGAATGAGCTAACCTGAATGTAAGATTAAATAATAATGTGGGTATTGATACGGGTGTAATACTTCCTTATTGCAACTGTTTATGGATGACCAGATTGGGAATGTAGAAAGTAAACACATTAGGTGTGTGTAGTAAAGCTTATATATACAGTACAGTACTGGTATGTATCACTTTGTCAGGGCAGACTCGATGATGGGAAACCCGAATTTGCTAGGTGAAAATGATCTTGAACAATTGTGTGAAATCATGAGAAGTTACCAACCTTTAGATAAGTATATCTGGAACTATATAAAGTCCAAAGGATCACTTAGAATGCAAATTAAGTGTGAATTAAATAACCCAATTTGATTTTTTTTTTTTTTTACGTCTAGTAAGAAAATCACATGCTCTTTGTGCTGTTACCGTTCAGTTTTGTTTTCACTGTGGGGAAAAAAATTGATGTGTGATGTCTCTTGTCCAAGTAACTGAATACCACACGTAACACCATAAATACAATGAATATTGAAATTGAAATACGTTTATTGAGGTATAAATACAAAGGAACGAGGTACTGTACCTTGAGCTATTCTCACTCTGTTCAGTACACCATGTTCCTATATACACAAATCGCAAACAATAAACATAATGCTGAACATTCTGGTTGATAAACATATTCATTTCTTCCTGTACACATTCATTATGATACCAAATGCACACACAAATACTGTTAAGACTAAGTACATAGACATAATTGCAATAGACATTCAGACAATTCAACAAACGGTTACAATCTTGGTGCAAATTTCTCTTTCTCTCTCTCTCTCTCCACAATATCAATCTTTCTGTTGTGACACATTCCTTATCCTTTGTGAATACGATATCCATTCCTTTCCATTGTAAATAGTCCTTATCTTAATTTTTTCTATATACTGTACACATTAATCAGTGGGCAATCAAGAACATAATGGGTGAGTGTGAGATAACATACCACATAGTTTATACTTTCATTATCTTTAACATGCAAGGAATAAGTACAGTACACTCGCCAGGGAATTTGATGTATTATAGTATTGCAAATAAATTAAAAAAAAAATTGTTTTTAATTTGATTTGTCATTTTCTTGTTGATTTGTTCATAATTTTTATTAAAGTTCTAATAAGAAAAACCCTGCTTATTGCATATTTACCATTAATAACTATAGCACTGCACAAAAAAATCACATTAACATGATGTATCGATGAGAAAATAAGTAGGAGCCATTAGGATTATTCAAACCTATGCTCTGGGTACTCCCAAGACTCGGGAACCCTAGAGGATTCGGTTGATCCCAGGTTGCAATGCTTTTGACCATGTCGTGATGTAGTGGTCTAAGATGTTTGCTTGGCAATACCATGAGCATAGGTTTGAATCCTCCTCGCTGCTCCTACTGATTTTCTCAATTAAATTGAGAACTCTTAACGATTGAGTTCTGAACAGAAACTAATTATTGATACCAAACCAACACGTCTGAGATTGAAGAAACATTTGGTTTGGGCCTATCCTGGACCATTGAGGTTGTGTAATAGTGTATGGCAAAGGGAAGCAGTATAAGGTAGGGAGATATAAAGTCAGATGAATGTAAAGCATGAAAGGTAAGAAGTAGGAAAATCGGGTAGAGTAAAGGAAAGGTTAGAAGGAAATGAGGAGAATTGGAAAAAAGTGGAAATAAGAAAAAGTTTGACAATGGAGGGTAAAAAAATAAAGTAAAGAAAACTGCAACAGGCCAAATGGTGGAGAGAATAAATCTAGTAATGTAATAGACAGAAAGGAAAGAGTCTAGAGGGGGCAAAGCTAAGTCAGATCACATTTGTTAAGAAGGTTAGAGCGTTCAAGTATGTATGGTGAAAGGGAAGAGTCAACCATAACAAGGCAAAGACTAAGGTTCATGTTGGGTACATTGTGTATCAGAGCCAATTCAACAAGATGAGGGTTATGAAGAGTAGAGGCAGGAAAGATTATTTTAGAAGACCAATAGATTGATTAAAGTTCCTAACATGACGGAAGAGACCATTGTTTGTATCTGCAGACTTAACACTTCATTTGTGACCACAACACTACTACCAAAAGCATTACATAACCCCCAGAGTATCATCTGGGGCTATGTATCATTCAGACACACAGGTGTCTGAATTTGTAAAATTAATACACTTGGTTACTAGTGCATTTATAACATTATCAATAGTAATGCTAGAGAACATTGATAGTGAGTGAAGTTCTTGCAATACAGTAGGGAAAATTATGAAAATGTTGTCGTTAATAATAACAGTGGTGACTTATTCATATGCCATAATTCTGTATGTACAATAGTGAATATTGGCTCTCATTGAATCGCATCATGACAACATGGTGGTGGGGTCATACTCGTTTGCTCTTTATATACGTATTGGGTTTCCTAGTATCCTATTATTTGGCTGCAAAAATTTGCTCCTACCAATTTTTGGACCTCTTTACACACCCTCATTTCTGTCTTATTTTCTAATGATATTGGTACTGTACTACACAAAGTTGGGATGGCTGTCTTCCTGTCACTGTAGGCTACTTAGTAAGTAAATATTTCTTTATGTATTAAAGTTCTGTATGTATTGATTGTATGTTTCCTGGTATTCACTCAGAACCTGTTACTAAAAGGCGAAAGACAGGGCCACCGCAACCTAAGAACCCAATTAGCACTCTGAATGAACTTCGTCCTGGCCTAGTGTACAAGACTATGGCTATGGAAGGGCCATCCCATGCCCCTGTCTTCACAGTATCTGTAGAGGTAAGCAACATCCTGTTGGCCTTTACTAATCTATAAAACTAAAAGTTTATTATAGTGGGACATTTGATTTCATTGTCCTGCCAAATTTGAACTAAGTTTTCATGTATAGTTAAGCTTCAGAAACATGTTGAGCATATTTTATGTTAGTCTTTAATCTTGTGTAACCTCTTTATAAGTTTTAGAATTGTATTGACATGATAAAATCCAAGAACAGCTTATTAAATGTATGCTGTGAAACTGTAGTTTAGCTTGAAGTCTTGGTAACAGTACTAGACTTTATTTGGTGTTCACCTTCTGTTTATTATTAGGTATTCATCCAATGAGATACAATACATGTATTTGTTTTGTTTACCAAAATTTTGTCTGTAATATCTAGAAAACACTTTGCGTATGGGCCATAGAGCTCTTGTCATAAACCCCTAAACTGGCATCTAACCATGTGAAACAATTTGTGAAGATACATCACTGCCTCAGTCTCCAGTGGGTAGGGGTCTTCTCCCATTTTGGTGTAGTGTGTTGTAGATTAGCTGTTAACCATTTTACAAAGAACAGTCTAGGAGCATAGGTAGTTTTAAGATAAAGGGGAGTTAACCATTAGTAGCAGTCTTATCATTAAATGATAAGAAATAAGACGGGTAAAAATAATTAAAATCCTTAGTAAGCATTGACAGGACCTTGTAGCACAGAAAAAGTACTCGTGCACATTATTAAAGGGCAAATATATGTCATGAACTCATAGTAACTCTCCTCACAAGTCGAGTCTAGCCTCGGGCCGGGCTTGGGGAGTAGAACTCCCAGAACCCCATCAAGCAGGTATCAAGCTGATCAAATTATGCACTAGGCAGCTAGTAAGTTGGTCACAACTGATTTCAAATCTAATTCTATAAAACATATCCAAATGCAAGTAAGTAGTGTGTAGCAAGGCACAATTGGAATTATCATTGGTAATTTGATAATGCCAACATTCTCTGAGGGTATGACAAGGCAGTTCTGTAAATACTTTGCTCAACTGGCAAATAACACCTGACCCTATACTTAGGGACTACTGTATTAAAACTACTGACATAAGAAAAACTCCACTGGAAGTTTATTTAACAACTTCTTGGGACCTCACAATTAATTTCTGTAAAATTTAGAGTTGGTAAATTATTAATGAAAGTTAAAACTACGTAACTTCTAAGCTCTTACCTTTAAAGAAGTCTTGTAGTAAGGAATGGAAATCTATTGTGACACGAGATTGGAATAGACTCTAAATTCAGTTAGTTGGTAGGGAGTGTAGCTCCAGAAAATCTGCAAGTTCTCCCATAACTAAAGCTAAATAATTAACTGCTGCTATAAGTCACTAGCCATTTATTCAAATTGATTCAGATTATGCATTTTTAATCCACAAGACTATGAGAAACAAATGTCTTGTCACAAAGTCTTTCCCACTTTAGTGGCAGTATCCTGTTTCTTCACAGGAAATAAAGATATCATTTCTAAATACTAATCCTACATACTTGACATATAGTTATAGAGACTTATCTTAATTAGTTGATGATTCTTGGAGGCATGTCTTAAGTAGCATTAAAGAAGACAAGTCCAGGTGTTGTAGGTTCAGTGCCAGATAATATAGGTAATGAACAAGACCGGTAGGTTGAAACTTGTGCTCAAATCAGTGGGGGATAGGCTCAGTTGGTTGTGTCATACCCTTGCAAATTTCCACCAATTGGCAATCCTCTGATATAAACCAGGATCTACAAACAGTCTTGGTCCAAATTCTCCATTAGAGAATGTCCGGTACAAGCAGCTGTGTTAAAGGGGTTGTCTCTCGAGGCTTTGTAGCAATTCTTGCCTGCCTGGAGGTGGGCGATCTTGAGATGATTTCGGGGCTTTTTAGTGTCTCCGCGGCCCGGTCCTCGACCAGGCCTCCACCCCCCAGGAAGCAGCCCGTGACAGCTGACTAACACCCAGGTACCTATTTTACTGCTAGGTAACAGGGGCATAGGGTGAAAGAAACTGCCCATTGTTTCTCGCCGGCGCCTGGGATCGAACCCAGGACCACAGGATCACAAGTCCCGCGTGCAGTTCATCATCCACCACCATAAGGGGGATTGCTACTTATATTTTATTTAATTATTTATCATTGGTTTAGTTAATTCTGTTACTTCCTTGTTTATAAATTTGAGCCTTTTATGTTGTCTGATAATCAGAGTTGCACTGTAACATAATGTATTTTAATGAAAGTTTAGTGCCAAGTAAAAATCGGTGAATCTTATCGGTCAACCGTTCTTATTCTAGACCCCTGGTTCTAGGAACGTGTAGACCCCGTAGTGTTCATAAGGTCATGTGAATTTTACAGATTAGTGCCTATGGATTGACCGATTTAATAATAATCGGGAAAATGTATGTATATTTAACAATTTATTAAATGAGTGAATATGTATAGTAGAATCATTTTTCCATAGCTGTTATCTCATGGAAAATAACTTGGGTTTTTGAGGCGTAGATTGCAGCATATCTAACTTGGCTATTAATTAAATCGAACTGCAAGACAATGTTGGCACTGGACAACACAAATTCATGAAACTGCAGGAATTGAAATTTTGAGATCCTTTAATTTGCTGCACAGGTAATTAATCATATTAATCTGACAATTCTTTTTGCTTACTTATCATGTAATTCTTCATTTCGGAGCAAATAAGAAATATATTAAGATGGCCAGTCAACATAGAAGAACTAGAGAAGAGATTTGGCATCGAAAGAGGGACACCCTCTTTCCAAACTGGCATCTCTTAGACTTGTAGATAATGTAGTACATCTGATTGGCCTACCTACCAAAACGCAACCTAAAGTTTTATGTAAATTCTTTGCTGACAACACCAAAATCAGCGTGGAAATTACCTTGTTGGATGACATATTGCAGCCTCACAATAAACTAGCCCCCTTCGGCGGCAACAATCAAAAGCCTTGTTTACAAGAACTATGTCAAGGAATAATAATCATACATGGTGTTAACACTTGTAATAGCGTCTTGTAATCATTACACCACTGAGACCTGCTACCCTGAGGTTATGCATATCTTGAACTTCTAAAAGTGAAAAGTGAAAATATATCTAGTTTGATTTCTAGTTGCATAAATGTAAAGTTTATCTTCATTAAAATAAGTAGTTATGAGCAAATGAGTATAACACAAGTTGTAAAGTAGTTATGAGATTTAAGTATTTTACTATCATGAAATGCCATATTATATTCACAAATGCACATCTTTCCAGCTCACTGGGCAAGTTTTCCGTGGTTCGGGGCGCAGTAAGAAGCAAGCCAAACACTGTGCAGCAGAAGCTGCTCTCAGGTCTTTTCTTCAGTTCCGCAATGCTTCGGATGCTGCTGAAGCTCTTGGAATAAATATTACCGCAGTGCAAGACTTCACTAGTGATGTATCGGAAGCAGGTTTTGGGGCAAATTCAACTGTGGGTGTAAGTGTGACACATGCCAAGTATCAACTTGGATTTAATTTTAAATTCTTTTCACTTGTCTTTTATGCATGTGTATAACTGTGCTGCCTCATTTTAAATTCTTTAATTGAAATCTTGTATAAAAGTTTTGCATTATAATTTCATTTGGCCTATTAAACATAGATTTATTGATGTAAATAGAATAGCAGTGTGTGTGTGTGTGTAAATGTAAAATAAAAAATAAACTTCTAATTTATATATAAACAGGGTTTTGTCAGCAGTAATTGGTTCCAACCTTTGCAGAAATACTTGGCCTGAACTAGGTCACCTGCGACCATTAATTTCCAAAAATGGTCATACCATTTTGTTTTCTTCTCTGCAATCACTTGTGCTATTTACCATTTTTTTGACCTCTTAATTTGAGTTTGTGCAGAATTCTGACAAACATCCACAGACATATGTACACACATACACAGCCAGGTGCTCAAACTTCTCAAAAGTGATTGAGGATATATACAGAAAATTCTAAATATGTAAAGTACTTGATAAAGATTCCTGGTATTATTTTAAGCAATAATCTGATCTGCCTCTAGAGTTAGGAGTTCAAACTAGACAGATGGCACTCTTTCCCCCCCCCCCAGCACTCGAAAGCCTTTGCGAAATGGTGGCGACACTAGGAGGAACTAGATATGATGAAAGAAAAGATATTCCCTCCCCTCTCCCCTCAATCAACCAGGTTATTGAGGCAACAGAAGAACTTTCCAAACCCCTTTGCTGTAGTATTTAACTTCTCATTGGTAAAGGTAGAGCATCCAGAGTCTTGGAAATTTTCAAATGTAGTTCTAATGTATAAAAAAGGGCAGAGAGAAAGCTGCTGAAGTACAGACCAGTATCACTACCCAGTATTCCTTGCAAGTTACTAGAAGCTGATATGAAGTAGGCTCACAGAACACTCGGCATAATTAAATTTTTTATGAATCGTGAGCACAGATTTAAGAAAGGAAAATCTTTCTTGACAAATTTGTTAGTGCTGCAGTAAGATTACAGAAATCGAGAGAGAGAGAGGGTAATGGTCAGGATTGTATGTGCCTCGACTGTCAGAAAGCATTCGATTCCATTGCACACAACCCCTCCTGAAACTTGAAATATTGTGGTGCTAGGAGTACTTGAAATAAGGAGTGCTAGTAGGTGATCATGTACTTCTCAGGATGGAAGCAAAGGGTTAGTGAAAGAGATCAGAGTGAAGAGAAGTAATGAGCGGAGTATCCCATCCATGCTGGAGCCCATCCTGTTCCATGGCAATGGCCTGACGATTAAATTAATCGGCTCCTTGAAGTCAATGTTTTCAAATAATGTATCACTATCCGGCAAGCACTGCTAAGTACATGTACATTCACTAAAAAAAATTCATAACTATACACCAGTATTTTCATTCACATACACACACAAATCCACATTAATTTTAGTTTTTGTCTGTTGTGTGAGTCCCATTATAAGAGTTTAAATAGACATAATTATTTATAAAATTTCTCATTCTTTGTATATTCAAGTCTGACCGAAGTTGGCTAATTTGGCACATTTTCAGGCTTCAACCCATCACTCGTGTGACTAAGTAAATATACAAACACGCTCCCATAATGAGCAAGGGTGTTGTGTAGTCTTTAGCTTTACTGAAGTTATTGTGGTCATGAGCAAGAATGGATCTCCTTTTTGTCACAAGTTGGTTTCTTTAATTTCTTTGGTATGCTTCTTAAGCGATTACTGCCATATTTTTATTAACCATTTCTTGTATGGTTATAACTGTGGTTATATTAGGTTTTAAGAACATTGTGAAGTTAATATAGGGTATTTATGTATGGATCAACAAGTGGTGCATTTTCGTACACCAATTTTTAACGAGGCTTTTGCTCATCGTTGATCTTGAAGATCGGTGGTATTGGTATTCGAGTTTCTTGTAATTTTTCAGTTTGTTGCCATTTTTTTTGTAAAGCTTTTTGGTATTGTTGTAGATTTCAAAATGCATTTTTAACAGCTCTCTAAATAAATGAGTTATTTTGCTCTGGTTAGCATTAATTGCATTATTGCAAAACTCGTTCACACAACTTTGACTATCTTTTTATTCACAGGCCATTTGTTTTATGGCATGGTTTTATTGTATTTTTTTTGTCAATAATGCTTTTCCATCCTTTCCATGCAATTGCCTTCCTGTATACAAAAGTGGGAAATGATGATGGTTCTATTGGCAAAAATGGACCTCCATTATCAAATGGCAAAATCATTATCAATACTAAAATACGCTTGTAAAGTTTTGTACAATCTAATTAAAAGTCAGTAATATACTAAATATGTATTGGTTAATGTATAATATTTTAAGCTTGTAAAAGTTGCGGTTTTCTGCGTATTTAATTATGTATGTAATTGTTGTAGGTGCCATATTCTCTTATTTTGATTTAAAAAATTTGCATAATGAGGCACTAGCAAATAACTGTAATACATTTTCATTGTGAGGAAAACAAAACATTCAAACCTCTAAATATTGAATAACCCTTGGAGACTGCAATTCAATCAGTTCTGGGTTATCATTGTGCAATTCTTAAAATATTTAAAAAAAATTCTTTCGTGGATTGATAAAAGGAGGCTTTAGCTTCAGTCTTAAATGGATCAAGTAATTACGTACTGTGTACAAAGAATAAGGGATATGGGAATATGGGAGCCGGCTGGCCGAGCGGACAGCACGCTGGACTTGTGATCATGTGGTCCCGGGTTCGATCCCGGGCGCCGGCGAGAAACAATGGGCAGAGTTTCCTTCACCCTATGCCCCTGTTACCTAGCAGTAAAATAGGTACCTGGGTGTTAGTCAGCTGTCACGGGCTGCTTCCGGGGGGTGGAGGCCTGGTCGAGGACCGGGCCGCGGGGACACTAAAGCCCCGAAATCATCTCGAGATAACCAAGATAATAAGCTGAACAAATTCATTCTTGATATGGTGGCTGCACAATTGAATGGAACCCGCTTGCCTGAATTCTCCAGGCACAGGTACTACTGTCTGTACCGTAATGGTAGTACATGAGCTTGGTGAATTCATATATGCAGGTTTGATTTCTTTGTTCGGCTTCAATATTTTCATAGATAAATTACTTTTGTGATTTCATTATGCAAATTTGTGCTTCCTTATCTGAAGTATGAATTTGCTAGATAATTTGTTGACAGCTTTCAAGTAATTTTACAGTAATATTTAGAATTTTAATTTAAGCATTGAAAGAGGATAATGAGCTAAACAAAGGATGGAAATGCATTATAGGAACGAAGGGTAAAGTGATCAGAAACAATGCAATAAATAACCATGATTTTAATTTAAATATTGTAAAAAAAAAAACATCCCTTTAAAAATTAACTAAAGTTATTGAAGGACTGGGTGAACCTGGCTCGTGTTCATTGCTAATAGCTTCCACACATGATAGATTTTCAGGAAACTGTTCACTGTTCTAGTGAAATGTTGACAGCAGCACCTAAGTTGTTTCCCTGATTAGGGGTAAAGTAATTTTTCTCTTGTACTTTATGTAATTGAAGTGCATTTGAAATTGTCACCAAATATCCATTAAGCATATGGGCAACGGCTTCCTTTTAGTTGTATTCAGTTATTTCTTGTCTATTTGTCTTGGAAAATATCTCTTTCTATGTGATAAATGGTGATGCTTTTTTTTAAATATGTGAGGTAAGCTGGATGGTAAATTGTAAACATACCAAATCTAAATGTCGTAACTTTGTTTCTTTAAAAATCTTTAGCTTAAATCTTCACAAGCAAATAGTAAAATTTGCATAAGAAATTTATTAACGAGGGAACTCCAGTCCGTTTATAAAGCTCTTAATGAGTGGAACACCGTAAAGGCATACGAAATACATAATTTAAGTGATCGTATTTCACGTGAGAATGATGTAAGCACTGCTTCACATTCATTTACCTAGACCTTTAATGGGTAAATTGTCCTTTTCATATTGGATCGTTGTTCTAATTAGGTTGGTTCTCCATCACTGCCTAGAAAGTCGTGTGTTGTGCAAATTTAGCTAGTGTCTTTGTGTATATCCTTGGAACAGTAGTCATTGTGGATGCTTTTTTTTTAGCCCTTATAATTTTTTATCTACAGGAGTAGGTATTTAGTTACTGCCATTTTTATTTCTTATGGCATTTCCTTTCTTCTTGCCCATGCTCAATCCAACCCATGCTGATGGGGGCTGTATATTTGTTGGTTGCAAAAGTGGTGGCGTGAAGCCTGGTGCCAAATGTTATTTCGGTGTGGCCTAGTGCCGTCTTAAGGGTGCCAGTCCTATGGCTTACAGGAGGTGACATCGACAAGACCAACAACTACTCCAATGGAATCATCACCAGCTTCCACCACCACTTCTCCCTCTAAAACAACAGCTCCCCAAGGACCTTCACAGACTTCGAAGAACCCTATTATGCTCTTAAATGAGTTAAGACAGGGTGTGGAGTATATGTTAAAGCAAGAATCAGGAGAACCTCATTCCAAGACTTTTACATATCAAGTCACTGTGGATGGGCAGCTTTTTGAGGGTACAGGTAAGAAAATATTAAACAATATTTAATTAGAAACTTTAGAATGTTTTTATTAAATTTTTGTCTGATTACTAAACATTTTAATTCCAATAGTAACTTGATTTTAAATGTATGTATCGATGTGCTTAGTAAAGCCTTGTCTTGTATATTAATAAATCTTTATAGAGTTGAGCAGAGTACCAGAATTATTGTTGTCGAGTTGAAGGTTGAGAATTTCTTGAACAACTTAGACTTCTCATTTTATGATCACTTTGCAATACTGTCTTTGCCCATCACTGCAGTAATTAATAAAATATTCAGGAGCCCTTGTCAGGTGCTCAGAAAATCAATGATGGTCATGCAAGTATTAGCATCTAAATATACATGGCATTAGTACTTGTTAGTGATGTTAATAAACTGATTTGTGCATTCCAACTGCAGCACATTCCTCTCTGAATGGCACACTTCAGAATCTTCTATCAGTTACTTGCACAAACTGTGGTGTTGAAGATCTGTGATCTCCCAACTCATTATATCCACCTAATTGTATTCACCCCAATTGTGCTTGTGGGGGTTGTGCTCCAGCTCTTTTGTCCTGCCTCTTGACTGTCAATCAATTGGTGTACTGTAATTACCTAAGCGTAGTTACAGGATGAGAGTTATGCTTGTAGTGTCCCGTTTTCCCAGTACTCTCGTATGCTTTGAAACATAAACAGACTTTGAGAAGCCCCGTGGTCATCACCCTAGCCCTGCCATGAAGATATTTTTAGATATTTCAGGATTTCCAATTTGTTTTTCTCTGGGTTTTTGCAGTAATATTATTCAATAGTGTGTCATTTGAGAAATTTGTATAATATGTGGAATATTGGAATGGGCAAGTATTTTTGTCACTAATATGCGCACAATATTATATTTACCAGGGGCCTTGTAGCCTGGTGGATAGCGCGCAGGACTCGTAATTCTGTGGCGCGGGTTCGATTCCCGCACGAGGCAGAAACAAATGGGCAAAGTTTCTTTCACCCTGAATGCCCCTGTTACCTAGCAGTAACATGGGTGTTAGTCAGCTGTCACGGGCTGCTTCCTGGGGGTGGAGGCCTGGTCAAAGACTGGGCCGCGGGGACACTAAAGCCCCGAAATCAACTCAAGATAACCTCAAGATAACCTCAAGATATTCTTAGAACATTAAAACGGTGCTGTTATTACACTGCATTTACACATGCAGTGTAATGTATACATAATGTATATAGTTTCATTTCCCATTATGAACCACAAGCCGTTCTGGTGGGTGAAATAATCTTGCAACTAGTTCTCAAGAGTTCAATTTACCTATGTATGTTTTGGACAAAATTGTAATGGCATACAATACTTTTTCAGTGTCAGAGTAGTTAACAGATGGAATGCATTAGGCAGTGATGTGGTGGAGGCTGACTCCATACACAGTTTCAAATGTAGATATGATAGAGCCCAGTAGGCTCAGGAATCTGTACATCAGTTGATTGACAGTTGAGAGGTGGGACCAAAGAGCCAGAGTTCAACCCCCACAAGCACAACTAGGAGTACAACTAGGCAAGCACATTGAATATATTATATATACAGTACTAGTACTTGATTTTTTTTTTTATACAATGGGGAAAATGTGAATCCCTTTGTACATGCGAGACAAATAAATCTTGCCCATTACTTCAAATCGCCCCTCATTGATTCACTTGGTGGAGGTCAGAAATGGGAAGATTGTCCTAGATTTACACAGTTGTTTCAAGTGTTAGTTTTGAGAGGGGGTTATTACTGCGCCAGGTGTACAGCCCATCCTCATAAACAAAGGTCAAAGTCCATTCCATGCACCTGCCAAACCCCCTCTGTTTATGAATGAAAAACGGTTTACACACTACTCACAATTGATGAATTTTGAACACTTCCGGAACAAGAGCCTCGCTGGTGACGCGTTCGAACCACAATGCTGTAAATGCTTCACCTGCGTAATACAAACAATCGCCAACAGAACCTAAACACTTAACCTAACCAATGCCTAGCACAATATGCTAACATATAAGAATATCATATTTGAGAAAATTCCTGTTTGGAATGAACATGTTAAAATTTATGAGTGCATCTTTGTAGTCGACTGCTGGATGGAATGGACTTGGTCTGTGGACGGGTTGAGGTATAAATGGCTAGGTAGTGGTGCATAAAGAACTAGATCTCGCTCCCTTATAGGTAGGTAAATACGTGATGCTTTACACTTTTTCTTTGCATCTATAGTAAGTAAATGACCTGCTGCTTTCAGTGGTACCATTTAAAAAAAGAAAAAATTGCAATTTCATGAACAGATTAAAGTAAAAAATATATTGCATCCATTTTCTAATAGAAAATATGGTCCCAATAACTTTATACCAGGCTATAAATTAAGTCAATATGAAAAGTCAAGCCTGGCCTCGAGCCGTGCTTGGAGTAGAACAACTCCCAGAACCCCAGCAAGCAGGTATGGTAGGAGACGAGAATGTTGAAGGCAGAGAGGAGGCCGGAAGATCAGTATAGTATACAGTAGATGGTGGAAGAGGCCGCTAAAGACCTTGGAAATCGGAAAAGATAAAATGAATGGGCATCACATTGAATCTGAGCTGAATGAGATTTATTTGTTTCCTCCAGTCCAGATGCTGTATGTTCTGTCATGATTATTGATCTTTGTGGGTTACGTTTGTTATTGTGGCTTCAGTGGGCTGGTCCAGCCTTAATTTTCGGATGTTGATTTTTTATTGCGCTAACTTGATCCTGTTCCTGATCTTTCATCTCTGTTGGTTGGAAGCCAGGGGCCAGATTCATGAAGCAGTTATGCAAGTACTTACGAACCTGTACATCTTTTCTCAATCTTTGGTGCCTTTGTTTACAATTATTAAACGGTTAATGAGCTCCGAGGCACCAGGAGGCTGTTTATAACAATAACAGTTGATTGAGAAGTTTTCGTGCTTGTAAACTGTTTAATAAATGTAACCAAACTCGTCAAAGATTGAGGAAAGATGTACACGTTCGTAAGTACTGGCGTAACTGCTTCATGAATCTGGCCCCAAGGTAACAGACTGAGAGACTCCACTGATGTGTTCATGAGAATTTGACCGATGTACTGCCATTTGAAAGGGAGGCAGGTGGCAGATATTCTGGTGTATTATGTACATATCTTTAGTGCTTCTTTCTACCACTCTACACTTTGTATTGGTATGCCCTTCCCGATCCCCTTTCTCTCTAGATTGAGGTTGATTTCTCCACCAATTCATTTAATAACACCAGCATTCTAATGATGGTCGTTACTATTTTTTTGCTTGTTGTTCCAGTTATGCTAATTAGCATTAACCCGTCTAAAGTTTGACAAACGTGGCATAATGTGTTCAAAATTCCTTCGGTATAGTATTACAGGGACATCTAATTTGGCCACTCAGGCGTGGCAAATAAATTCAACCTTTACTGCAAGGTACAGTAAGTAAATAATATTTTTAAGTATATTTAATGTATGTATTTTGTATGCATTATATGCATATGCAAGCTGCCACCAATTGCAAGCTGCTATATGAATTTTTGGCACATAGCATGTAAAAATGCTTGAACTTTGATACTAAGCCATGCTCTTAAATGAGTGATCACTTTAAAATGCCACACCACAAATTCTATTCACATGAAAAGTTAATCTTGGCACATGATGAGTATAGTGTGTATATATATCTGCATAAAAACTTATCTTTTATGGCTTGAAAATCACTCCCCTTAACGTTTTGCTATCCGCATTTCTTTTCTCTATTTGGTGGAGGCAGTTTTTAATTTTTGTAAACATTTTGGCTCTCTGTAGAAATGTTGGTGTGGTGGGGGTAATGTCTGCACCTCTCTCTCTCTCTCTCTCTCTCTCTCTCTCTCTCTCTCTCCCAAGCCCAGGTAATGACGGCTGAATATGCTCGCTAATGTGGTTCGGCAATAGTTGTCATTTGCAGTGCAGTAGCACCTCTGTAATCTAGACAACTATACAGGGGACTAAAAAAAAAATAGGGGGTGGGGGGAGGGATGTAAATTGTTCTCCATTTCATGCATTAGGATTTTGTCATTATCTGTACCAGTATGATTTGTAATTTTGAATACTTTACAATAAACAAGAAATTCTGATGCCTTGAAGTTGACTTTTATTGAAGTTTATCATAATATTTGCATGGGGATAGATGGAGATATATATATATATATATGTATATGTATATATAATATTTTTATTTATTTATTTATTATTTATATATTTATATTTAATGTGTATAAACTGTAACATAGCGCTCTGATTTACTCCTGACCTCCAATCGCCATATGCAGTTTTTTCCAATTGGATTTGCTAACTAATTTTAGTCGGTGCACCAATGCCATAGTATTTTTAAATAACTGTGCAGTTTAGGGGTTAAGGCTTCATTGGCTATATTTTCATGTTCATCATTCTAAGCATTTTGTTTAATGCCTCAACAGGAAACAGTAAGAAGTTGGCCAAAGCAGCAGCTGCTCGTCAGGCATTAAGCAAGCTGTATGGAGTTATTGCCTCCACACCTTCGGCTGTTCTTCATCACATGCCCATCTCTAATATGCCGAACATCCACATGCCTCAAACAATAGCAGACAAGATTGCCAAGTAAGTATGATGATTAAATTATTTAATCTCTGAGCCCTTGTGATTTTGTCATTTACTGTGTGTTCTTTCTTTCTTCTGACAGGCTTTCATTCAGCATTATACTATAGTCTCATTGCAAAATATGTGGATGATACTAAATAGTCATATTGTTTTGAAGCCGTCGGTATTTACAATTGTAAAACTAACATTCGTTTGGTTATTGGGCAGTGTAGCCCACAATTTTTTAATGTTTATCTTCGTGTATGTTAGACTGTGTTTTAAATACGTCAAAGTTTTTATATTAATGAACAAATTTACTTTTTTTATATATTTTTAAATTTTTTATAAGATTTATATTTTTAACTTTATGTGGATGATTCCATAGTTTTATTTACCACTATTAAAGGGGGGGGGACAAATTTTCCCATAATAATGGTCAGTACAACTTTAGTGGTAAATCAATTTTGAAACTTGAGAATCGTGTAAATACATGAAAGGTACTGTATTAAATATTAAAGAAGTTGTTCAAGACTTGAGAGACAAAAATTTAAATATGCAGCAGTATGTGGGCCCATTTCTCGAGAAATGCACAAGAATAAACTGAAAAAGGTGCAAAGACATGCTACAAAATGGCTTCCAGACCTGAAAAACAAGTTAATAAGAGAGGTTAGAGGCATTAAAGGAAATACAGGAAATGCAAAGAAAAGAGGGGATGTGATCACTGCGTACAAAATAGTAGCACGAATTTACAAAGATGAATTCTTGAAACTTGCAACTTCAAGAACATGTCATAAATTCAAGCTAGTGAAATAAAGGCGCTGAAAAGATATTAGAAGGTTCTCTTTTTGCAAACAGTAGTAGATGGTTGGATCAAGTTACGCAAAAATGTGTCGGACTGCAAAACATCAGTAGTTTGAGTGTGTCGTATGGCAAAGTACTTGGGTCATTACACATACAAACACGCATGCAGGCTAACATGGAATAGTCGAGGTGACAGAGCACAGGGAATGACTGATTGAAATAACATGGCAGCATTGGCTATAAATGGACTGTTTGCTCAACATACATTATAGTCTCTCCCATGTGGTAAGGCAATGTTAACACATCTCTTCTTAGAGCTACTCTTGCTTTACTTGCATGTAGCTTATGAGGAAAGTACAGCTAGTGACTCCAGTATGGCTGGTGACTTGCCCGGTATGCAGTGATTTAAATTGCATATCCCTCGCAATTCCCTTGCGAGGGATACTTCAATTGCGCAAATCCCAATAGGGAGCCGGTCAGCCGAGCGGACAGCACGCTGGACTTGTGATCCTGTGGTCCTGGGTTCGATCCCAGGCGCCGGCGAGAAACAATGGGCAGAGTTTCTGTCACCCTATGCCCCTGTTACCTAGCAGTAAAATAGGTACCTGGTGGCGGTCAGCTGTCACGGGCTGCTTCCTGGGGGTGGAGGCCTGGTCGAGGACCGGGCCGCAGGGACACTAAAGCCCCGAAATCATCTCAAGTTAACCTCAAGATAATCCCTCTTGTTCCCTTGCATGGGAACAATAGGGATGTCCATTTTAGATGGTTGCAAGCATAAGAGTGCCCTCCATTGTAAATGCTAGGGACCTACTCCATTTCTTGAGTTATTTGCATATGCTTGCTTAGTGGCATTTGTACTTTAGCTGGAAATTTGCTCCTTCACCCAAAACAAGATGGGACTAAAACAGGCCATGGCTTCATTCCATTACCCAGTGAAAAGAACTCTGAATTTGTGCATCCATTTAATAATAACTTTGAGCTAATATAAGATAAAGAGCAGAAGGAACATGGCATAATATGATGATGCAGTTCTTTGTATAGTTTAGTGTATTTACTGTCTGTTGATATTATTACAATATTATTCTAACATTTCAGACTGGTTTGTGATAAGTTCTCGGCATTAACTTCTGGTAATCCAACACTTGCCAAGCGGAAGGTTCTGGCAGGTATTGTGATGACGAATGACAAGGACCTCGACGACATGAAGGTGTGTGTTCAGATTTATGTACAAAATAATTTGCTTCAAATAACTGTGACATTCTTCGTGCTAGGAGATTTCATTTGTGCATGGTGCCTATGTTATGGAGACCAAAAGAGTATCAGGTGTTATGGGTAATATCCAAGGCCACTGTGGGTACTGTCTTGACGACCCCATAACCCCCTCTTCTGTAGTTACAGAATGAGAGCTGCGCTCATGGTGTCCTGTCTTCCCAGTGCTCTGGCATATAATGTTTGGAAACTACTGACGGTTTTGACCTCGCTGTTTTCTTGCATAACTTGTTCCAACCTTCTACCACTCTGTTTGCCAAAGAAAACTTTCTAATGTTTCTTCGGCACCCATTTTTCCTTGGCTTGAATCTATGGCCTCTTGTTCTTGAGGTTGCTGGGTTTCAGGAATTCTGTCAATTTGATCAATTTCCGTTATTATTTTGTAAGTGGTGATCATATCGCCTCTTTTCTGATATCTTCTAGGTTTAGCATAGTTAACGCCTCTAGGCTCTCTTTATAACTTGTTTTTTTCAGGTCTGGAAGCCATTTTGTAGCATGCCTTTATACCTTTTCCAGTTTATTGATGTTCCTCTTGAGATATGGGGACCATAAAACTGCTGCATATTCCAATTTTTGCCCTAGAAGTGTTGTGAACAGTTTCTTTAGTATTTCACCATCATGTGTATGTGTGTGCCTTCTAGGCCAACTACTGACTATCAACAGGATGCAACCCACAACATCTGTTTAACTTAACAGGTACCTATGGATTGCTAGGTGAACAGAAGCAGCAGGTAAAAGAAAGTGTTGCCATCAACTCCCACTTATCTGTGTTCTGGTGTCAGATCAGGAGGCCACCATCCCCATCTTGCACAATAAAGACTGGTTGCAAAAGAACTAATCCACAAGGGCCGTGACGAGGGTTACAGCCTCGAAATCATGCTATTGTAATTTGTGTGTACTGGTTGCAAAACTAGCCTTGGCAGGTGGCCGCAATGGATCGTTTTTCGACAGGATCCCTACACCAATTTCGACCTCCCACCCCCCCTCCCACAAAAAAATAATTACAGTAGGAAACCTGAGGAAGCAGACTTTGCGAGGCCAGCAGTTAAGTGCATCCTATGATCCTGAGCTGGTGATATTTAGTTTATACTAAACTTCAGCCAAGGGAATAAACTGCATAGGCCAAATTGATCTTTTGCAGGATAATCTATCAAGCTCCCAACAAGAAGATTGGTGTTCCAATTTAAAACCAATCGTGCAGGCTCAGCTGGAGCTGGCTTTTGGCAGATTGACCAGGATGCTAAAATTTCCTTGCACCACCTGTATACAATTGTTGAGTAGACAAAACAGGGAACTGGGTGCCCGAGAGCCAGTTGTTAAGGCAGGCCATGTGTGCACACCCCATAATTGCCACACCACGAAGTGTGATGAATGTATTAGTGGGGAGAAAATATTGGAGAATAGTCTACCTGTAGTCTTTTATGGCACTTCTTCAAAATTAGTTCAATTGTAGCTATTCACTATATTAATGTGGTTATCTTGAGATGATTTCGGGGCTTTTTAGTGTCCCCGCGGCCCGGTCCTCGACCAGGCCTCCACCCTCAGGAAGCAGCCCGTGACAGCTGACTAACACCCAGGTATCTATTTTACTGCTAGGTAACAGGGGCATAGGGTGAAAGAAACTCTGCCCATTGTTTCTTGCCGGCGCCTGGGATCGAACCCAGGACCACAGGATCACAAGTCCAGCGTGCTGTCCACTCGGCTGACTGGCTCCCTGTGACTGTTAGCTTACCCACCATACACTGTGGTGGCCTACCCACAAAAATTTGGCAACTCTATGTATTGTCTTCGTAAAAAATATACAGTACATAAAATGTATTATCCATTTTAGCAAAGAATGCTGTAGTCTTATCGGATGTCATCCATCGCAGTCATCGCTGGCTGGCTAACGAGAGAGAGTGGATATTTGAGACTGGGCAAAACCAGTAACTAATCGCATGCATTTACAATTTTTCCACACAGCTGCTGAGATGGGCTGGCTGTCTTCTGTTATGAAGATTAGTGTCGCCCAAATGGCACCCGGTTGATTGGTTGACCAAACAATTGGTTTACCACTGCAGTCCATTCCTGTTCCAAACATACACTTTTATCCCTGGCATGAATTTCTGTACCCCCTTATATGATATATACACTTGTATCCTCCACATGGTCTCATGACCTACACGCACTGGTGCATGTCTATCCCTCACTGCCATACACTCCTATCCCCATCCTCCTATACAATCCTCCCTCCCTTTCCCCCCTTCCTCCTTCTCCCCTTGGACTCCTATCCTGCACAAGATAAAAGATTGTCCAGAGATTTGCTATGTAGCTGTTGCCAGATAATGAGCTATGATGGCAGATTCGTGGAATTCAATCTATTGATTCTGGAATAAAAGATCAGAATTGATACTATTGCAACACTTATCTAATCCCCTCGGTACAGCATTATAAGGTGAACAGTCTTTTTTTTTTAGATGAAGGGAAGTAGAATGAGGGGTGGGGGGGCAAGTTGAAATATGAATGGAGTTGGCGAGATATTAGAAAATATTCATGTGTAATTTGGGTAATAAACAAACGGAATGAGCTGGGAGCAGAGACCATGGCACTCGCATCCATTCAAGAGCAAGTGCTATGCTGCAAAACCAAGAGAATCGTATAGTAAGAGGAATAAATTAACTCACCCAACCATATATTGATCATTGGCAGATCGTGCCACCTCCCACCTACATGTATCTACTAAATCCTCTCTGACCATATTTCCACGTTATTTATAATGGTTTTTTCCATTGTGGGCTATGCATATATATAATAATAAATATTTATTATGGCCTGACACAGATGCAGTTTGTTTCATTAAGTCAACATTTTCAGTGTTTTCACTTCTTTGTCCAATTGTAATCTTGTCTCTTCATTGATCTTTCATATTTGTATTTCATCAACAACATTTCTTAAAACACAATACACCTTTTTTTTCCATTCAATGTCAGCTTCAGAGGTGTGTTTTGCATATTTCTCAATTCTTCTATCTGCAGTAATGTTCCCCGATTATTTAAGTTTCCTAAATACTTTTTCATTCTTTGAGAAATTGCCATTTGCCTTAAGGCAAGTAAGAATTATGTTTAAATTAATTTTAAACCTTTTTTTACAGACTATCTGCTATGTTGAATACAATTTTCTCTTGTAGGTGATAAGTGTTGCAACAGGCACAAAGTGTATCAATGGTGAGCATCTTAGTCTTCAAGGTCAGTGTATAAACGACTGTCATGCTGAGATTGTGGCGCGTAGATGTCTTCGCCATTTCCTCTATGCACAGCTTGAAAAGCTTGCTGTATCTTATAAAAATGGTTTGTATTTAAATGTCCTCGGTTATTCTTATTTCTTGCTCCTCAATCATAGCTGGTTGAAACTGGGAATGTTAGGGAGGAATGGGTTGTTGAAGCAGCAGGTTAACTCATCTCAGTCTGGCATGTGATAGAGGCCTGTGCTATTGTGCATCAGATACAACCAGACTGCACCAAACATTGCTTAATCACTACACATACCTAGGTTGCTTTGGGTATTTGATTCCTTTTATCACAACCTGCACATTTTAACCCTTAAACGGCGCAGGGTGTATATATATACGCCGTGAGTAACATGTCCCACGGTGCGCATGGTGTATATATATGTATACGCCATAGGGTGCCAGGCATGACTCAAATGGCCCGCGGCTACACAGGGTTCACATCGGCTACCTCAGGGCTCTTGTAAACAGATGCCATGTTAAAAAAAATAGTGGGCAATATTCTCCGGTGTGAGAGTCACAGTACTGTTGGAGCAACCAAGGCTGGCGAACGCCGCATGAGCTTAAATCATTGCTGTTCAGCTTGTGACCACAGCATCGCCTAAAAATGTAAAAATAAATATGCAACTGCTATTATTACAATATTACAGATGACTCCTGACTGATAAAAATGACCAGGATTGTGATAATAGCAGGATTGTTGTGATAATTAACGCTGTGTGGGAGTAGTAATGCTGTGGGAGGGAGGGGGAGGGAGAGAGAGATAGTCGTTTACTGACTATGTGGCCACCTGTTATTGTCTGCATTCACTATACCAGCTCAGTGGTTCTCTATGGTGAACACAAATGTAGATACTTACATATGTGTGTATTAGTGTTGTAATAGCAAAAGTATTATGTTGGGAGGAGCCATTTGGGTGATGGAGGTGGCGTTGTCTGCATGACTTGTCTAACTGTGTAGAGGGTGGCCACTATGCAACCTACAAGATTAGGTGTACAGTTACGGTGCATACAACATGTAGATACTTATATATAATGTGTGTATATAGTGTAATAACACCCCAAACAGTTTTGTTGGAGAAATTTAGTGCGCCTGACCCTGAAAGAGTGAGGGAGGCAGCCGCCAGCCCACTGTGAGTGTAGCGATATCTCTTAGTTCCTGAACTATATCAGCTTAGTTTTACAGATGTGGTGAGCAAAACATGTAGATACTTGTATATAATGTGTGTATATAGTGTAATAATTGCAAAACTAGTTGTTTATTGTTTTATGAACATAATAATTGAACCACTAATATGAACTCCATACTTTTGAGTATAGTGATGATTCACACATTTTATTATATAAATCTATCACACTACACACTATTGAATAATATTACTGCAAAAAAACTAAAAAAAATTGGGTAATAATATTTGTGGCAACTCCCACCTGTCAGCTCGGGTGATGCTGACCACCTCTGACAACCACTCTGTCAACGCCCACATTTTGCCAGACTTCCACAGCCTGTTGCTCCCAAAATATGTCGCCTATAATTTTTTTTTAATTTTTCCCGTGCTCAGGGAACACAAATTAACATTTTTAGAAGACGAAAAATTTTTTTAGAATTTTTATTTTCTTGAGCACAAGGGTGTAAATCTCCTCAGGACCTCTAAGCAGCTTAAGGGTTAAGGTCAAATAATATTCATGCTCTCGTGTATGCTTTATTCCATTCAAGTTTTAAATAGTTTTAATGATAGCCATTAAAGTTTTGAAATAGTGAAATAATTACAGTATTGATTTTCATTTATGATTGTAAAATTCATGTGATCAGTGCTCCAAATTATTTACGTTTTTATTATTTTTTTTTTTTTTTTTTTTTTTTTTTTGTAAACAGGTACAACTTCAAATACTATATTTGAACAAGTTGATGGCCAGACAGGATTCAGAGTTTGTCCCCATTACAAATTCCATCTTTATATAAACACTGCTCCCTGTGGTGATGCAAGAATATTTGCTCCGCACGAAGAGGAAGCTGATCGAACTGACAGACATCCAAACAGACAAAGTCGTGGACTACTTAGAACAAAAATAGAATCCGGAGAGGGTACAATTCCTATTAAGGTATTTTTTTATTAACAATTATTTCATTACTATTTGTTTTTTTACTTTGCATCTGTGTCAAGGGGTAAATGAGGCATTTAAGCCAGGTTTTTTTTTTTTTTTTGGCTGCTATGTTTGACACAAATATGTCCAGTAATCCTGGATTGATTGATTACCAAGTCCTTTGAGTGGAAACTAATGGACATTTATGCCGCCTATTGTTTTTACATGTTCTTCATTTGGGACGTCAATTATTTACACTGGTAGATAAGGATTAAGGGAACTCAGTTTAACAATTCTAGAGAAGAGTACTGGGGGGATATGGTCTCGATGTACAAAATACTAAGGGCAAATGGACGAAGTAGACAATTGGTCTTAAATACTTTTAGAGAGAATAGAAGACAACAGTGGAAGTTACAAATGCAATTGAATAAGAGGGGATTGGAACCACTTATTTAGTATATAGTGGTAAGCAAATCATGGAAGCCATCTTCATTCACAGCTTTAACACTTTGGTGCACCCCGCTCGCCACCCCTAAACTGTGCGATATGGGACTCAGGGTGTCACGGGAGTGCGCGTAAATTCTGAAAAGTGTATACTCTCCAACTTTGTCACCTTAATTCTCGTCCTACGAGATAAAATTTGGTATCATTGTGTTCGCAATAGAATTCTCTACAGCACTAAATGCATATAAACTCCAAAAGCCCGGCTAATTACCCGCAGCAAACAGAGAAAGTGCGAACGAGTTACCCAGGAGCGCGCAAACGCGATAAAATGTTTTCACTATTTTCACTCTGGTCACCTCAATTTTTATCCTAAGTCTTTCATTTTGGTCTCAATGGGTTCGCAATAGAATTCTCTAGAGGAACATTAGCATATAAAATAAAAAACCTGGTCACGCTCCAACTGCCGACGAGTTGAAGACGGGCCACGCGTTAGCCGCGAGCGAGTGCTCAGCCGCCTTCCAGCTACACTCCCAATTCCTGCCCTTTTCAAGCCTTTCTTTCGCAATTTTCTTCCTGGAAGGGCCTTGTTCATGATCACTATCCATCGTTGAGTAAGCGTAGATAGTTTCTAAAGCCGCAGTAAGAAATATAGCCATGGAAAATAGCCGAAATGTTCACACGTTTGAGATGCGAGGGGAGGCGACATTGGTCACAACAGTGGAGCGAAAACAATGGGCCCACGGCATGTGCCAAGCTGCCTGAGGGCCACGAGGCTCAACAAAGAAAATGGGAAGACATCGGCGCGCATTTTAAAACCAGTCCCAAAAAAATCGGATAAAAACCTGATTTTTGGCGATTATTTAAAGTGGATGACGCAATGCTGCGTCATCCCCGGAATTACCGCCAGTAAACGGATGACGCAATACTGTGTCATGCCCGGGCGAAAGTGTTAAAAGCAAACATACATCAGGTGCAAAAAGCTGAGAGAAGGTTCATATTGTGCCAAGGCTCGCTTCCTGTAGATAATATAATAGGTAAGCAACACCTGCCTTCCTGCCCTTACCATGACCATTACCCCTACCATGATCACCATTACCATGAACACGTCTGCCATCACACTCACTTTCCCATTTCCAAGAGCCAGCCCCCTAGGTCCTTTCTTCAACTGTCGGTAGTGGATAAAATTTCACAAAACCCAATGACCTTAGTTCTGTTATTAGAAGAGGTAGAGTTCATGACTCATTGTGATGTAAATGCCCAGTCTTATTGATTCATATTGGAAAATGATTAGGAGCAGTGCAATTAAAAGGGCTGAATCATGTGTACTTTGAATGTGGTTTAAAAATTTATTTCTTGTAATATTTTGCTTTGAAGCATAAACATGGTCACTCAAGCTTTCTGGTAAAATAAGAATTGTTTTTTTAATAAATACATGCATATGACATGCTTAATTATTTCATAAATTTTCAGGCTGGTGCAGACAATATCCAGACATGGGATGGAGTACTTCAAGGTGAACGTTTACGGACTATGTCGTGCTCGGATAAAATTGCCAGATGGAATGTGGTTGGACTTCAGGGTGCCCTTCTCTCTCACTTCCTTGAGCCAATATATCTTGAGTCTATAGTCTTAGGTTCACTATTTAGTGCAACACACATGTATAGGTATGTAATTTTTATTCTATCAGTGTGGAAGTGATTGTTTCCTCGTGTCTATGAATGTACATATGTTCATGAATACATGCACTGGAAAATTGGACAGATTGTCTATTCCATTTTAGAGTAATTAGAATAAGAATACATTGGTGAAAACTGAAAATACAAAAGACCAATTAGGATGGAAGTGATGCTATTTCATTGTAGAAGTAATTAACAGATGGAATGTAATTAACTTTTTCCCTTACTGTTTGTATAAAACACTCTTTAGCCTCCTTGCATTTCGATATGACTAGGTGTATGCTAGTTTTAAGAGTAGTCTTCTCTAGTCGGTAAAAGTAGTGGTTTTTACTTTTACTTTATCATTATCTAACCTAAATTGATTTTATTTGGGTTAACAACAATAGTGCAGCTGATTGTGAGGAGTGAGTTGAAGTGGGATAGGTCATTTATTTTTCCATTGGCAAGTAAAATAATTAAATTCTGATTTTGTCTCTAGCTTAACCGATATTGAAGTAATCAAAATGTACATGTTCGTCTTTTATCTCTTGAGTGTCCTGTTTATCTTCATGAAAATAATAGTATACCATATAACATCAATATCTGAATCATTTTTACAACCCATGTTTGATCTTGTGGACTGATGGTGAACTATATTTGTATGCTTGCAATATTTGGAGCTATGTTGATGGTAGGTATGTGAAGTGATTAAACTCTTTTTATTCTCCTTTATTCCAGAGCGGTTTGTGGTAGAATAGAATTAACTGTGAGTGGCTTGCCACCCCCGTACAAACTCAACCAGCCAAAAATGAATCAAGGAAGTTCCACTGAATCACGTCAGCCACAGAAAGCCCCAACTATCTCGGTCAATTGGGATTGTGGTTAGTGTTGCTTAACTAATCAAGTTCTTTGTTTTTATAAATAATGAATATTAAAATTTTGTGTAAAGTTGTTACATGTTAAATAAAGCCTCTTTATTTTAAAATGTCCTGTACTGTAGAGGGAGACCAGGTAGAAGTCTTAAATGCAATGACTGGACGACAAGAAGGAGAAAGCTACTCCAGATTGTGTAAGAGGCGGTTCCTCTCCCGATTTCTTGAGTTGGTTGATAACCTCCCTACACTAACTGAAGTAGACCCAGGGGCAGCAAAATGCCTCTCGTATGGTGAAATCAAGGCTCTTTCATCTACTTATCAGGTAAGCTTGATTTTTCCAAACAAATTCTTTAAAGCTTGTATTGTTATAAACCCAAAGACTTGTAGAAGCAGTTTGTGCTGCAGTTCCTGTTTTTCTTGCATTGAAGTATGACAAAATTATGGAAAAAGGTTTAGAGAAAATATCTAGATCTATTTATGAGGGAATAAAATATCTGAGAATAGGTGCCTCTTAAGACAGATGAAGTAAATAGGTTAGAAGAAAATTTATTAAAGCATTTTTTTTTATAGGACATGGCAAATAATGGGATAATATGTGAGGAGGGTTAGAAAAATGGGGAATGGGGTTAGGAGTAAGGGGGTTGGAAGGCAACCACTCCGAAAAGGTGGAAGAGGACAAATGAGAAAGGTCACACGAAGATATGGTTGTGACGAAATATTTGTATTGCATTTTCTGCTGTGGTCACCACTCACAATGGTGACTTAACATTCATATCCCAGGATTTCTTGTCCAAAGTAAATATTCCTTCTGGTTAGTAGCTAAAGTGATGCATACAATGTTAAAAACCTGTTTTTCTGTTTGTAAATCTGTTGATAGGGTTAGAACACTGAATTTCATATCAGAATAGTAAATAATGAATGTTTAGCCCTTAACTAGTGAAAATGGCCATCCCTGCCTAAGAAAAAAAAGATTAACAAAATTAAAAATATATTTTGTTTTATAGCATTTATTTGTATGCAAAATGTCACAAAAACTGAAGAAAACATTAATATGTACCTTTTTACTGGTTGGGAGAGCTGTGAAAGGTTGCATTGTGACGATGTGTGGAGTCATCAACCGACATCCAGTAATGACTGCTGACACGGTCGCTTATAAGATACAACTCCCGTGAACATCACCTTGGATGTTCTTGTGATCATTTATCACTTGTTTTCATATATTTAGAAGTTGAATAAGTATATAAAGTTGAATAGCTAGATTTATGAGCACATAATTTATAAAACTAAGATGGAATTCATTGCTATCTAATGAGGACCTGCTTTCTAGGCCTACAATGTATAATTACCCAAGTGTAGTTACAGGATGTTTGTGTGTTTATTTTATCAGCATGATGGCTTCAGGGAAGCCACTGAGGCTCTACCAGAAAGAGGTGTTTCATTACCTTCAGCTGTATGCTTGCTTTTTCCTGTCTACTCAGTACTGTTATACCATGTACTTCAGTGTAATGTTTGGTGCTAATTTAGTTTGTTGCTTGTCTTTCAGACCAGCAAACGAGCTGTTGTGTCTGCTTTTGGTCGTGCTGGCTTAGGTCAGTGGATTAACAAACCCATGGAAGAAGATAGTTTTTATATGTGAGTATTTCTGTATTGTAATTTTTAGATGCTCTGTCCTAGTTAAGCAAAATGTGACTATTTGTTTTTCCTTCTTGATAATGGTCCAAGGAGTGCTGGTCATTTCTTCGTGTACATTTCCTATTTATTTACATACCCATCTGCATGAATATTAGCTTTTGCCAGTCCTAAACTGCATGATAAATTTTGAACTCGTTTCATGCTCTATATTATTTTCCTGAACTGGCGATAAGTCTTATGGGTGCCAATCATTATATCTAGTTTACCCATACAGTAGTTGGTTTTGAGAGTAGTTCTACTCTAATAATTCTGTCACTGACCCAAGAAGCCATGGACCTCTGCAAGGGGCACTTGCAATTGCTTTAATTACTAAAGTGAGAGGCAGATTGTGCAGCAAGATAACTTAATGCCTCTCTAACCCAGCTCCACCTATTTGAGACAACCCATCTTACCAGACTTTGCCAGGCATGACATCCTAGTCCTGTTTCTTCTAACTAGTTTACTTACAAGTGCAACAGGAACAGGCAGTCCCTGTGATGCAGTGGTAAAGCACTTGCTCAGCGCTTCGCGAGCACATTGGCCTGTGTTCGTATACTGACTGGGGAGGATTGACTGGGTGCTAATTCTTGACTGTAGCCTCTGTTCACCCAGCAGTGAATGTGTACCTGGTTGTTAAACGATTTGGTGGGTCATATTCTTGGGAAAGTTAGATTAAGGACCTGCCCGAAACACTATACATGCTAGTGACTTTACAAGAATGTAAGAACTCTTGTATATCTTGAGGTCATCTTGAGATAATTTCAGGGCTTTAGTGTCCCCGTGGCCCGGTCCTCAACCAGGCCTCCACCCCCAGGAAGCAGCCCGTGACAGCTGACTAACACCCAGGTACCTATTTTACTGCTAGGTAACAGGGGCATAGGGTGAAAGAAACTCTGACCATTGTTTCTCGCTGGCGCCCGGGATCGAACCCAGGACCACAGGATCACAAGTCCAGTGTGCTGTCCGCTCGGCCGACCGGCTCCCTTTATATATAAATAAAAAAATATATTGAAGTATGAGATCACACTTGACTCTAGTTGTTGCCTGTTTTTCCTCACCACCTATTCTTAGGTGCCATATTTTTTTCCCTTGCCATTTTCTACCAATTATTTTTCATCCAGGTCCCCAATTACTGCCGAGTGCACAATGGCGATTTTTATTATTTTTGTTTAAATCTTAATATAGAAATGATTTAGCTCTAAAATGATGTATTTTCTTTGCTGCAGGTAATGTAGCAGAAGTTGCCTAAATGGGAAGAAATCTGCAAGTGAAGCGAGTGTAGCGAGGTGGTTGTTTAACGTTGGTCTTGACATCGATGTGAAATTGATCTTACTCGCCAATAAATGTACCTACATCACCACGTTAGCTCAGTTGTATTTGGAGGAATTTTTAAAAGATATTTTTTAAAAACCTATTGATCAGTGCAGAGTCTTTGTGATGCATTGTCAATGCAATTGTGTGTGTTTTTTATGTATTAGCATATTTTATATTGAAAATCTTTAAATTTGCACAGTGTATTACGTGTACCCGGTTCCATAATTTTTTCTTAATTCATGCAATACATTCTTCAGGCATCTCTTTTTAAACATGGCTCTCACTGCTCATAAGTTTGAAATCCTGTGTATACATTCAATTATGTTTTCAGAGCTGCTGGTATAGTGTCCATAGTGCTCCCAATTCAAATTAATAGAATAGTTAATAATGCTCCTGAACTTATGATTTCCATGAGCTAGAAATACCACGTGATCATTTTAGAAATGAGATCTACTACATAGCACAGTGATTTGAAAGTTATGCTCAATACACTTCCTGACATTCAAAATTAAACAAATCCAAGGCATAGATTAATATACATTTAAAACTAAACTTCATACTCAAATGCTGCACAAAACTGTTAAGAGTTTGTAACTTGGGATTGATCCGAAGCATTTAATTAGAAACTTCTAAAATTTAAATTCTCGTTTGATAGTTATATATATATATACTGTACTCTATATATTTTTTGTTTTTTGAAGAAAATTTGTCGTAAGACTTGGATACGAGATTTATATTACCCTTTTAAGATTACTGGATAAGTATATATGATTATAGATGGTACTGCTGTATAAATTAGATTTTCTAACTACAGTACATTAAGGTTTTGACAATGGTAATAGTGTTACTGTGACGGTGTAGTGCTATTACTGTAAGAATACTTCCTTCCCATCTGTATTTCTACAACATTTCCTTTCATACATTCTAAAGTATATTGCTTTTGTTGAGTTTAAGACAAGGTTTAGATTACAGTACTTACTCGTCTAGTGAGGAAAGATTAGGTTTTAATATGAAACTAAAAGTCTTGCCCAACATGGCTATGAATTATTCATGTCAGCTGCCATTTTGCAAATTGTGAATATCTTGTTTATAGAAATGTCTGATATATAGATGTTAGACTATGTCGGTGCAAGCTTCTGCTCGTATAGACTGTCGGTAATAATGTCTGTGGCTGAATTAAGGCTATTTTGTTACGTTTTCCTTCAATATGTAACTGCAAGTGGTAGCCAACACAAAAGAGAGCCTATTCACGGTTTCTTTGACTATTCTCCGAGAAACTTGTAAAGCATCTCATCCGTCCAGCTAGCTTCAGATAATCATTTGTGTGGATTCACCAGATTTCAGCTACAGTATATACAATATATCTGTTCAACATATATATATATATACTTTATTCACTAACATTCCTAAGTTTGATTTTCACATACTCTATCCTACTGCAATAAATCACTATTATACACTATTTATATTATTTACTATCAATATAATAAAATATTATTGTTTAATATAATTTTAAAAGAAATTTTGTTTCCTTGATGTCACACAATGTAATCTCGCAATAAATAAATTTTATATTTTAATAAAAAGTATGTAAAGCACCATAGGGAAATGAAGTTAGCATGTTCATCCCATTCGAGGGACATCATCGGACTGAAGTGCCAGAGCCAGTGGGAAAGAGGAAGCCAGAAACAGGTGCCAACTAGCAATAGACAACACGGCTCCTGATCTGTGCCACTATTTTTAACTGACATCCCACCAATGCTCGGGAAAAACTGCCACGATCTTCCTGTTTGACACATGGGTAAAAATATAAGTACTGTATCCTGATGTAAAGGAAAGAACGTTAATTACCGGTGAGTACAAACTGCTGTAACATACAACACAAAATACCTCTATACAGTCATGCAAGTCAAATCTAAACCATTATGAAATAACTTGAAACAAGCACTGAAAGAGTGAGAAAACCAAAACACAGATTGTAGATCAAATTTAGAGTGTGGGACCAGATATGACTCCATACGCAGCTAGCCAGTATTTTTATAAAAAAAAATCTTGGAAATCATTCTATCAACTAAAGATTTTCTGTTAATTGTTACATTGCCTGTGTTTAATTATGATTTTTTGTTAGGTCTTTAGATTTTTGCTCATTGATACTTTTGTCTATTGCTAGTTGGCACTTGTTTCTCTTTTTGGCTTTCGGGCAGTTCAGCCCGAGTATGTCCTGCCAAGATGAAGGTGCTAACTTCTATTTTACTTTGGCGCTTTATGAATATTTTGTATTTCAGTTTGGTGCTTTATGCATATTTGTGTGTTTTTTATCGTGATTTGTGACAATTTCTCCTCTGTGTGACTACACTATTTACACTAATCAATACTTGTGACCATATTTTTGGACTGGCTTTTTCTTCCTCCATTTATGCCAGTATAGCCAGATGGTTAATGTGTCTGGACAAGTTGTCAGATTCCTAGCTGTGTGGTCTTCGATAAGTGATTTACACTTAACGATTTTCAGTTATTTTGAAGAGTAACGCAAAGATTGTTTAATTTAGACATAGTGCAATTAATTATGCCATTAGCACAAGGAAAGTGATTAGCAAAACTACAGTTTATGGCAGTGTTTTTGTTGGTACAGCAGATGTGAACTGAAGCCATTGTTGGGATGGATTCTCATGGTGAGGGTAAGTTCTCAACTGCACCAAAACCTCAAAACTTTACACTCAAGTTCAATTGCAACATTTGTCAAGCCTTTACAAATGTAGCAACTATTTCCGTCTGGAGCACTAGTGAACAAAGATGCAGTGAGAGCCTGATGGCTTCACCAATTTTGTCATGAGTCAAATGGTGCAGCTGAGCTAATGTTAGACTATTTTGTGGTACACTAAATTTCTTAAGGCTAAATGATCACATATCATGTTCTAATGTAAGGATAAATGAAGCTGCATGAATAGGTCATTAAATACACAAAAAGAAGTTACTGCACAGTACTATACTGTAAATCTGTGCCAAGTGGTGGATCTACCCCATTGCTGCAGCCTTAAATATCACGGTTCATGTTATGTTGAATAAGGCTTTTATGAATATTTATTTGGGTAAATAAACATGACAAAATGGATAGGGTTACAGTGCTGGTATATTTTTTATGAATTTTGGGGAATGACGGTAATACCGTATATACATTTTTGAGCATCTGGGGCGGGTAAGCAGGTTTTTCAACAGCTCATAGCCCTAGGTATCATAAAATGTAGTTCACATATATTACTGTTTAGTACAAATTGGGTAAATAAAATTATCTTGCAATTCATTGCTATATGCAAGCACATTTATTTTTATTTACACAAAAATATAAATTTTTAATTTTTTTTTAAGTGGGAAAATACTGTAATTAAATTTGATTAATTTACTTAAATCTTCTAATAGTGCAGCCGGATACAAAAGTTTCATTAAAAGTTCCATGTTTAGTTCATATAAAATTTCTTTTAAAATTGCTGTCAATGGTTATGACAGAAATAATGCTTGGATTTTACTGAAGATTGAATAGATGTAGTTTGTGAATTTTTAGTGGGATGGTGTATGTTCAAACCCAAGTATTAAAGAGACGACTTTATACATAACATTGTTTTTCAATTTTAAAGTTTTCTTCCTCTGGTACAGAATGATTTATGAGAATTAAGGATTCACAGTTCTTTAAATTGAATGTAATGTACATCCGTTTTTAATTAGAGCATGATTGGAATGGGACCAAGATGTTGATATCAGTGTCAGAAGCCACATGTCACTATATTTGACCATTGTTATGTCAAGAATTATAATAAAATTTTTAATTGAATCACTTGTAAGTAACATCGGTGATGGACTGCACTTATGAGTTTCTGTATTCATTTTGTATTTAATTTAAAAGGATGTATGGTAGATATAAGAATATTTTGCTCTAAATGGAAATAATTTGGAATAACCCTCTTGGATAAGGATGTACTGTATTGTTTCCAAAGAGCTGTATAATTTGACTGCTTAGTATAAAGCAGTCATTTCAAACAAGACTTTGAATCTGAAGTCAGATAATAAGCATAACTATTTGAGTAAGGGTAAAACTGGAAGCATAGTTAATGCTGTAAATTGCCCTCACCAATTTTGTCACCTGGAACACTTGAGTGGTTTCTCTGTTTGGTGGAACATTAGTAAGGGGTTTCAAACTGTTTTCTCATGTGTAATTAAAAGTAAACAATGGAAATGAAGTCTAATTTAAAGTGGCAAGAATCAAAGGGAAGCTAGAGAGGAATAGGTATAAATGTGCCAAAGATTTTTGTTATTAGGCATGTACCAAACCTATTCATGATGGTTCTTGTAGAGTTTTTTATAAATAATTATTTACACTACAAATGCAACTTTTAAATGATTATGCCGAATTTACTGTTTGCAATATATTTTGTTTTATACAACACTATTGTGTGGGGGGGGGTAATAATAAATTTAACTTTCATTTCTATTCCTTAAGATTTTTTTAAACTGAAATTGCTGCCCTGAATAGCAAAGATAAAATATTTTCATTAAAGCCACAAATAATATTTTTCACTATAGTGCTAAAATGTTTCAAACAGGTAGTTATCAAATTACTGATATTCATGTTACTCATGAACTAAGTTTTGTTTTTAACAGTTTATGTATAAAAGAAATACTGTACTATATGTTGCCAAAAGAAATTATACATCCGGTACAGTATGTATTGTAGGATAATGTATGTCAATTTTAGGAGAACATGCACATGTCAATGCCCAGATCAGGGATAGCCTTTGTATTCATAATCTTGTAACTACCAGGCCACATTGACTAAAGCGGGGCACAAACTCAATAACTTTTCCATGGATTCATGTTCTTATATATTCAGGATCTCTACACCATCACTTTAAGATTAAAAACAAATTTATTTAAGAATTTTACTAACCTTTATTTCACAGCAATGAGAATGTATCACTAAGGAACATTTTTCAACATAACCTTCAGCAATTTATGTTAAATCCCCAATTTATAGCCCTAAACATAGTTTTATATAACAGTCTATGCAAGTTAGGTTTATACCATACAAAATTTTCTTTGATGACCAGGCCACACACTAGAAGGTGAAGGGACGACGATGTTTCATCAACGTTTCCATCGACTTGAGAATGGTCCAGGACGGACCGAAATGTCATTTGTCCCTTCACCTTCTAGTGTGTGGTCTGGTCAACATACTTTAGCCACGTTATTGTGACTCATCGCCTGCAAAATTTTCTTTACAATGTAAAGTTTATAATTACAAGAAGAAGACAAGCAGGAAAACTGCACTGCATCTCACAAGTACTAAATGTTTTACAAATGATATGTGCACTCTGAAGAATGACACTTCATCATCCAATGTCGATTTATATTGGTTCTCCAAGCAGAGCCTTTTGGCGAAGTGAAAAAATCCTGCGTAGATACTTTTCCTCGCGTTCCTCAGGATCACCAAACAGCTAAAAATGAAACTTTTATTAAAATATTTGCTGTATTGGTTTGTTTGTGTGATGCATTGAATTAATTTTACAAAAGTACTGTACTGTAATTATTAAAAGACTGCACCAAGTCGGGAAAACTTAGGATGAAGCACTTTCACAGAACATTCAAAGGTACTAAATGTCATTCAGGATACCAATACGAGAACATTCTCTTTCATGAGCACCACAATGGAACCATGGAGATGGAGGACAGGCACCATGTCTAGAACAAATTTACCAGCAATCTTATAGATTATTTCCAGATATGAGGGAGAGGATTGTCAACAGTAATGGATATGCAGGATTTCTAACTGTTTAACTGTACTGATAGCTCCTAGAGGCCATATTTTCCAAGATGCAATAAAAAAAAGTTCAGGTTACATACTTACAGTGTACAACCCAAGAACAATCTGAATTCTACCAAGGAACACTTCCTTGATATAGCGTACTCTTACACTGATATCAAACCAGTTACTCGCATTCTCATTTATGTTCCACTTCCAGAATAAAAGCTCTTCACAGTATTTAATAACATTCTCTCAACTATTTATACACTCAAATACTATCCAGAGTTCTTCTCTACTTTATCATATGATTTATCAAAGTCCATAAGTGCCAAATACGCCTTATAATTTTTCTGAAATGTTTTCTGTTAGTTGTCTCAATGAAAATTCTCTTAATTCACGCAACCTCTTACACTGCAAAAGAAAATTGACTTGTTCATCTACTAAATGCTTTGTTATTTTCTATACTCTTTGAGTTGTTAATACACTTGGCCTACTATAATTATACTTTAGTGCTTACAGTTCCTACATTCACAATGATGTTATATAAAGGTAGGATCACATCTTTGTCATCTGGCACAGCACTTATGTATTCAAACTATTTCTGCCAATTTCATTTGCTCTTGTAATTAATAATTTATGCACTTCATCAATATATGCAGCTTCCCATGTTTAAGCTTCTGCATGAAGTGCTTGTCTCCCATGAAAAGTTTATTTATTGGAGTAAAAAATTGCATATCCTTTCTGGGCACACTTTAGATTCTGTCCAAATATGAAACTTACTAAAAATAAATGCTGAAAAGTTGTCTCCAAAACACCTATTAGCAGCTGAATACCTTCAATGTTCTAATGCTAGACCCCAGACCTAAATACCATCATAATAATAAATAACCAATGGGATAGAACATTTGCTTTAGACACATACACCTTTCATTCAGTTTCTAAAACAATTAGAGAAGCATCATCATCCATGAGCACTATCCCACAAAATGATGTCTCAGAATGTGCATATATTACAGTATGCTAATGCTGGGTTTTCACTTGATAATTCATTAAGTTTGAACATAATGGGAATTAAAGAACATCAAACGGTACTTACATGAGGACTGAAAAGGCTATCGTCACTAAGAGGAATAAATTTCCCAGCTTTTGCAGCCAATTCGGCCTGTGTCCCAAAGTTGAATTCATCTCCATCTTTACTATCAGCTTGTTTCTTGGGAGCTTTCTCACCACGGCTGGATTTAAAGGTTTGCTGAACAAAACCATCTTCCCCAATTTCTTCTACAGCTCGTGAATATGCTACTTTCTCAGACTCTGTCATTTCTGAAATTAAAGACAAAAAATATTAACAATACAGTACCATTGATTATGAATGAAATCCTCAATCTTTAACTGTAGTATATGGGAAACCCGGTTGTGCCAATCTCTCTTCCCCCACTCATCTCACGTCTCCTAATCCCATGCTCTCATTTCTCTTATTACACAAAAACCTAGATATTTTAGTTTTCACCGTTTCTCCTTGTATAATTAGTCTCATTTTTGTGGTGCTAAAGTTATTTAATTTTTGTAAGACCCTTGTACTGAATCATGGATAAAAAAGCTTCTTTACTGAACAACCTACAGAGAACATGAAGGAACATCAGTAAAATTGCTGCAATGTAAATTGGCATAGAAAATACTGGTAGGAAGAGAGAATAAAACTTTATATAATCACCTTGTTTCTTTGTAGACTTGACTTCTTCAGGTACAGGACTGAGAACCTTTTCCTTATCCCTTTCTTTGTCTCTTCGATCACGATCCTTTGTGGAGCCCCTACTGCTGCGGTCACGATCTATGCTGCTTCTCGCTGACCTTGATTTTGAGTACTTTTCACTATGATCTGAATCAGAGCTAATGACAAAAAGAAAAGTCTGATGTTATCAAATTATATTTATGACTTGATAAGAATAATAGCATGACACTAAGACTTGTCAAGGGGCTCCAACTGAAAACTGCATGCTACTTATATATTAACTCCAGTACTACATATTCAGTTTACATGACAACCAGCTGGTGCACAAGAGAACAAATTCTTAAATTATTTTTTCGTTAATCTTGCCAAATTGTTTACCTTGACCACAGGAAAAACAAATATTTACATAGCTAACTTTGGCTGTGGTGGAGAGAAGAAATCTCACAATGATACAGTATTAGGAATGTTCATGGACCAGACAATCCAAGGTTGCCAAAGCACAGTGCATGGCGGGAGATGCCGCAAATATATTTATACCAATTTATTCCCGCGTCATTGATTTCCATTTTCCACTAGTTTTGTGCAGTTATATTGCACAATATTTTGTAATCTGAGAAATGTTTGAAATAAAACGTATAGAACATCGCTACAACAAAGGCATTTGTGTCTGTAATATGCACACAATATTATATTCTTTGGACAATAAAACATACTTTTTTGCTACTGTCACACTGTATATGCTTGTTATATATACCTATCTACATGGTCATGCACAGTTATGAACCACTAAGAGTTGTGGCAAGTGATAATCTCATAACTAATAATCCAAGCTCAGCCTAGACCTACACATTTTGCATCAAGCTGTAAGTACTGTATGCATCAAATATGTTTTATTTCTTTGTATTTTTAAAGTTTTTACTATGGTTTTTTCAAGTGCAATGGTATGCACATATTCATGTAACTAATATATGCACCACAATAAAATATAACAACAATAAAATATACATACTGTATTCACACACATTACGTATATATAACTATCTACATTTTTATGCACCATTGCAAACCACTAAACAGTTCTGGTGAGTGTGATAATCTTGTAACCACTGACCCAAGCACAGCAGAGTCACTCATACTCATTAGTTGTTGACGGTACCTGATGAAGCAAAGTGCCGCCTGATATACTACGCACATTCTGGTCACTAAAACCTGAATACGAATAACTTTCTACATGCTAGTTTTTAACGGAATATGAGATTCCATTGCACGATGGAATTACAAATAAAAACTCCCACACATGGCTAATCATCATCATTACCTGGAACTGCGCTTTCTATGCTTGTGTTTGGATTTCTTATGCTTCCGGCTAGATCTATCCCTGGATCTTGAGCGGGAACGAGTAAGACTGCGACGACGCCTGTGACGCTCTCGATCTCGACTTAATGAGTGGGACCTATTTAGCAAGAAAATCAATTTTATAGTTTATATATTGTATATGTATATAAAATTAATATTTAAAGGGCATAATAAAAATTCTACAAAATTATTTCTAATAAGATGGCAAGTTTGCAAAATATTGGTGAAAACACAACACAGGTAAACTGTTACAAGAAATTGTTGTTTTTAATAAGACAATAACTATCATTGATTGCACAAATCACTGTATAGCATTTCTGTACTATTTAGTGTCTTCTTATATAGAAGTGAATGAACAGTGACTCAACTAAATAAATTCTGTCCATATCATGCAGTCACAAACATTTTGTACAGTACTTTAACAGTTACAAACTTCTTCAGTATTAGAAAATAAATGTAAATTACAGTAGTCCTAAATGGCACAGAGAGGAGGTGGCCTGAGCCACCTCCCGGGGCACGTGCGGCCCAGGCTCTGCTTCAGGAGGCTGGGGTTTTTCTTGCCCTTGCTGGGATGGTTCTTCTCCGGCCCCGACCACAGCGGTCTCCAGGTTTGGAGTCCCCAAGCCTTATTTCACCAACTTCGAGGTCAACTCCGGAACTCTCAGTTCCTGTGACTGCGCTGGAACCAATCGTATTGGCATTTGCCTTTCCATTTGAGACTTTCGGCACTGTGGAGAGGGGGGGGGGGGACCTGCTGCATGGGTAACAGCTTCTCCTCCGTACCAATCTACCCTGGCTTTGCGCCCTGGAGAGGCCACTCAGACTGACAATCAGAGCCTACTACTGATGGATGCCTACTACTATATGGCACATAAAAGAATGTTAAACTTGCTAAAATTAACATTTTATAAAACACACACAGCTAATGTACAGCTATGACAATCTCATTTATTTTATATTAACTGCCATACGTCTTTCAACATAATAGGTAAACCATAGAAATAGAATAATAATAAATAAACCATAGGAATAAATCATAGGCTAAAGAATAAATAAGAATGCTAGCTTCCAGATTCAATTAGCCAGTTTTCATTTGCATGTTACTTAGCAGGCTAACATCAACATTACCGATCTTCTTAAGTACTATGCCCATAATATAAAAAGGTGAAAAAATTATTATTTATAACATAATCATAAATTTGTAAAAACTGTCATTTTGTTGTCTGTATTGAAAGACTTTACTCAATTTGCATTCATTATACTAACTCATTACATATAACTGACCTACGACTGGGTGATGGACTACGAGAACGGCTATATGACCGACTAGAAGAATGTCTTCTGTGTCTTCGTGACTTTTTGTGGTGACGATGACGACTTCTGGAACTAGTACTGCTACTACTCCGAGACCTGACAATAATAAAAATTGTGTAAGTACAATTTTAAACCTTTTATAAATAATATATATACAGTATTGTAATCAAGCTCAATTAAGAACAGACAGACATGGTTACTGATTATATTTTATGGATGCACTTAGGAAACTCAAACATCTGTTGTTATGAGTATCTTTCAATGCTATAAATTTTCTATTTAGTCCTTCACAATGCTGCAGGTTTAACACTTAAACATCTCCTGTCATTCTCAAATGATAAACAAACAATGTTCCTGTTGTTTGTGAATGATTTAATATTCAGTTCCTAAACATTCTATGTGGTTGTCATTCGACACTAGAAACCTCTGGCAATTGTTTGTCATAATCAGGGCATAATTGTCAGGGCGCCTGACAGCTTAGTGGACAGTGCTTTGGATTCGTAGTCCTGAGGTTCTGGGTTCGATCACCGGTGGAGGCGGAGACAAATGGGCAAAAACTTTCTTTCACTCTGATGCCCCTGTTACCTATCAGTAAATAGGTACCTGGGAGTTACAACAGCTGCTACAGACTGCTTCCTGGGGTGTGTGTAACAAAAAGGAGGCCTGGTTGAGGACCAGGTCGCAGAGACGCTAAGCCCCGAAATCATCTCAAGATAACCTCAAGACAATGGGTAAAAATCCTGAAAGTCTTGGTTACCTTCTTGGGCATTATTAAAAACTTGGTAACATGTCAGGTGCATCACCATCTATTTACTGATAACTTTGCCCAGAACCACTGATGCCATGCAAAATTTCAAGGACTTTTATGGATCAGGAAGATATTTATGACAAGGAGAAATCTATTACAAATAGTTTACATGAAAACTGATGCAGTATTCAGAATTTGACGTTTTCAACATTTCTTCATCTTCATTTCTTCTACAGCCAAACTAAATTGATTCAAAAAATTTTCCCAACATCAGAAATAAATGTTTTACATTATAAAAAGGAGAAAGATTTTTTTTTTTTATGCATACCAGGAAAGGGGACCTAAAAATGATGTACAGTTTAAGGGTTAACAGTGGATCACTAATAATAAAAAAAATTCCACTGTCAAATAAGAATATGCATTGTTCCATGCTTCCATGCTAAGATGGACTCAACCCAACTTGTAGAAAGTGTACACTCAAAAATGATTGGAGAATTGCAGATATGTTGGAAACTGGGACATGAGAACCTACATTCTTTAAACACTGACATAATTGAAATTATCCTTGTGCAATTTGAAAAATTTCCATTTTGTATCCAAATAGTACAAGATCCCATGGGCCTGTTTCCAATATACAGTATCAACAATCCTTAGGTTAGAAAAGGGTTTACAGTTCAGACTTCAGTTAGCAAGTGTTGTGCTACTTATGAGATTGGCTGGTCTACAATAGTTTCAGGCTAAGGTGACTCTTTTCCAACTAAATAAAAATAAAAAATATTTTTTTAGTGGGGTGGCCACAAAGGTCCATTTTGAGACCTACCATTTTTGTCATATACATCAATGACATAGATGAGAATATTGCAAACCACATTATCAAATCTGCAGATGACACAAAGATTTATGGTAAAGTGGGAAATAATAATGATGTCTTACAAAGAGATCTACATGAACTCCACAAATGGTCAGAAGACTGGCAAATGCTTTTTAATATCGACAAATGCAAGACCTTGCATGTGGGGCATAATAACCCCACACCATGACTACCAAATTAATAGCGGTGCATTACAGCAGATTGATAAGGAAAAGGACCTTAGAGTCAAAATCCACCATTCATTAAAAGTTGTTCAACAGGTGGGTGCAGCAGTCAGAAAAGCTAACAAAACTCTTGGGATACTCAAGCATACTTTTGACTACTTGTTGACCAGACCACACACTAGAAGATGAAGGGATGACAACGTTTCGGTCTGTCCTGGACCATTCTCAAGTCGATTGACTCGAGAATGACTACTTGTATAAGGAAAAGAAGGTAATGGTTCAACTGTATAAATCTCTGGTGTTGCCCCCATTTGGATTACTGTATCTAAGCATGGAGACTTCATTTTCAAATGGACATAGCTGCTCTGGAGAAAGTGCAACACCAGCAATAAAAGTAATTCCAGAGCTAAGTCATCTCTTGTATCAGGAATGCTTGAAGGCCACAGGACTAACAACACTACAAACAAGGCAAGAGAGGGCAGATCTCATTGAAACTTTTAAAATACTGAACACGTTAGAGGATGTTGATCTGGATAGTTTCTTCAGGTCAGATGTAACAAAGGGCAATGGTTTCAAGCTCAACAAGCCACAATGTAGGACTGAGAACAGGAGATGCTATTTTACCCACAGGGTTATTATTATTATTAACCCATGGAACCACCCACCTACCGAAGTCGTAACTTCCAAAACTGTTGTTTCAAAATATACCTGGAAAAGATAATCGAGGCAAATGGGGGGACAGTTGACAAACCGCCAGCTTCCTTGCCTCGTCGAGGCCACTAGGGTTAGTGGCTCTCAGGTAAAACAGGCAAAATGCAGTAAAATAATCATAATAACCTAACATAGCCCAACCTAACTAAAAGAATCACTGCTCAATCTTCCACATTCAGAAAATCTAGAATGTGTGACTCAATGGCAAGAATAAGCTGGAAAATGGAAAAGCTGACCCGATAAATGTCCCCAAAAATGCACAGGATGACGATATCTTGTGTGACAGTTTTGACCCAGAAGTTCTTATTTTGAATAAAGACACCATAATGATATATGAGGTTTCCCACTGTATACATAATTATAACATGGTAAAGAACTCTTAGTAGGGAAAACCTTAGATCAAAACTCCACTGGGTACAATAATTAATTATACCTGCTTTTCCGTCTCCTCCTGCTGGTCCGCTCACTGTCTGAATCACTCGAGTAACGGCCCATATTTGCCAATATTATCTTCAATTATACGTGCAGTATAGCGGATTTCTTCTTAATTTACATACAGTTTACATGGCTCCTCCATACACTTCCCGCAGTACACGAGACGCCGCTGAAACCTTTGTTATACGTACAGTTTATGGACACCGTTTTTCTCCATCGGACAGTAGTGCGAGTGGATGTATCATCCAATAAGTCTCGGTGTTGCTAATAAGATGAAGACGTATAGTCTAGGAATGTCTCTGACGAAGTGGCACCACACCTCTGCTTCTTGGTGGTAGGTGCAGTTTGCAGGAAGGGTTTATATCCTCCCCGATGACTGCACGTGCACCACACCTCTACACTGTTACTCGGGAAGTGTTTTGATGCCGCTCACCTCGCTCGCATCTTCCTTCTCCTCACCGCTTACGTTTTCTATGGTGGCAAATTTTAAGGATACGGGCCTATACATAATGATTAGTTTGGTTCATTTATCACCCACGGGAGACATCTCCCGTCACGCAGGGTGCCGTCGCACCTCCACAGATCTCCAGTATCATCTATTGATACTGGTAATGGCTCAAAAGGCCCACCACTTACGGGCTATTCATGCCCGTGCCACCTTTTGGGTGGTTTAATCTTCATCAATCATCATCATTTATCAAGGCACTTGTGGATCTGTTTGTTCATTAGTTTAGTTCGTTTATTATGCACCATATACCCATCCTGTGGGCGGTAGTGGAGAGTATTAACGCGGAAGAAGACTCACTGTCACTTCAAGTTGATCTATATAGGGTTTTGAAATGGTCAAAATATTGGCAGATGCAGTTTAATGCTGATAAATGTAAAGTTCTGAGGCTAGGTAATAATGATGGAATTACAAGATACGAGCTAGATGGTGTTGAGATTGTGAAGGCGGATTGCGAAAGGGATCTGGGAGTTATGATTAGTAAGAATTGAAAACCAAAGGATCAATTCATGAATGTTCGTAATAAGGCAAATAGGACACTCGGATTTATCAATCAAAGCGTTAGTAACAAGACACCTGGTGTTGTTCTTCAACTATATCTTAATCTGGTTAGGCTCCCATTTAGATTATGCAGTTCAGTTTTGGTCGCCGTACTATAGAATGGATATAAATCCATTTGAACATGTCAAGCGTAGGATGACAAAGTTAATTCCCCACGCCCTGCCCTGGTGACTCTCTATTACTCCCTTATCTATCCATATCTCAACTATGGTATTTGTGCTTGGGGCTCTACTACCCAAAATCATTTACGTCCTCTAATTACTCAACACAAAGCTGCTATTAGGACAATATCCAACTCTGGCCCCAGACATCACTCGGTACCCCTACTCAAATCTCTGAATATGTTAGACATTAAGTCACTGCACATTCTCTCATGTGTACTATACATATATAAAACGCTAAACTGTAATGCCAATCCTGACCTCAAAAGCTTCATATATAGAAGGTTGTAACAGAACCCATGAGCACCACACCAGAAATAAATACAGTTTTGATATTCCTAGAGTACGACTTAATCAAACTAGAAATGCTCTACAAATCAAGGGGCCCAGAATGTGGAATGACCTTCCCAACCATGTTAAAGACTGTACCTCTCTCAACCAGTTTAAGATAAAAACGAAGCTATACCTAATAAATTCCCTGTAACCTACCTTACCCCTCTATTGGCAACCAATGTCTGTTTTTTTAAAGAGCGCTGTTTGTCGACAGAATTGTATTTGTGCTGCTTTTTCAGCTATGTTTTCATTTCTTGTTTTCATTTTACTCTTTATGCTCAATTAGTATTAAGCTTTAGTCATTTAAGTTTTTCATGCCCGAAACGCTTTGCGTAAGTGGCTTTAGGCATTGTATGTACTAGCTCTATCTATAAGTCCATCAATGTTTGTAAAAAATTCCTGTATGTATGTACCTTACCTAAATAAACATTTATTTATTTATTTATTATTATTAGAAACCTGCTATATGAAGAAAGAGATTAACAAAGCTTAAATTGCATTCACTGGAAAGGCGTAGAGTTACAGTGACATGATAAAGGTTTAAAAGTGGATGAATGGACATAACAAAGGAGGATATTAATAGGATATTAAAAGTATCAACACAAGACAGAACACGAAACAATGGGTATAAATTAGATAAGCTTAGATTTAGGAAAGACTTGGGTAAATACTGGTCCGGTAACAGGGTTGTTGATTTGTGGAACCAATTACCGCGTAACGTGGTGAAGGTGGGGTCCCTCGATTGTTTCAAACGTGGGTTGGACATATATATGAGTGAGATTGGGTGGTTATAAATAGGAGCTCAACAAGGACTCCATCATGACACCCCCGTAGGGTGCCATAACGGGGTACATACGGTCCGGTGCTGTAACTGCCCCTAACCAGCAACAGCAACAACAATCTGGCACAGTTTGTATATTTACGGTACCTTGTAATACTTTCACTGTATATATGGATTTTGATGTGTGTTTATTTATATTTCTTCATATATATTTAATAAATTTACTTGAATTTTTATTATATTGATCAGTTCACGTGTTTTGTAAAGGTAACTGTTGAATCAGGGAAGTCTTGAAAAGGCGGTGAAGTGATGCTGAGAACGCCACATACCTGAGGGAATATTGTTCCCCAAGTCAAAGCTGTGGCGGGTGTGGTGGCTGTAGACACAAGTCACGATGAGGGCAGTTCCCACCTGGGTCGACAAGGTGCATGACAGAGATAAAGTTGAACAATGGTAAGGACATTCAAGTATGTTTTTGCTTTGTGGGAGAATTCTTTACGAGAACCCGAAATTTTAATTAATTTATTTTATTTTCCTTCCATTAGACTTTTCTAACCTTTTCTTCTCATATCTTATTCTTTTTTTATACTTTTTTCTCTGTATTAGTCAGTACTTGTGTAGCTTTTTCTTTCGGATTTTTTTGGTATACCCATATCCCTGTGCTCTTTCCCGAAAGCACATTTTTTTATTTAAAGATATAAAGAGTTCTTACATTCTTGTACAGCCACTAGCATGCATAGCATTTCAGGCAGGTCATTAATCCTAAGTTCCCCAGGAATACGACTCCACCAAATTGTTTAACAACCAGGTACCCATTTTACTGTTGGGTTAAACAGAGGCTACAGTTAAGGATTTGTGCCCAGGAAATCCTCCCTGTGCCAGGATATGAACCTAGGACAATGTGCTTGTGAAATGCCAAGTGAGTGTCTTACCTCTACGCGATGGGAACATTCGGGCTCTATTGTGCTTTACACCACCAGTCAAGTACAGTATCTTGATTTTTGGTCTTGCCTATTGCTTGGCACCTGCAGCCTCTTCCTTCCTTGGCTATTTCTAAGTCACATGCTTTCCTTTGTGGCTCTGTTTTAATTTGGGCTTGGCTTCTTTGCCTGCCTCTTCCTTATGTCTTGTCTTCAGTTGCTGAATACAATACAAGTGCTGGTTTCTTTTGCTTTTTTTGTTTCCAAGACTTATGGCCTGTCTCTTAGTTCTTGGACACTTACTTCCTGTTCCAAAGTTTGCACCTTGCTGCTCCTACTGCAGGTGAACAAGTTTTTGCAACCTAGTTGTTATCTTCTGTCTTGTGCAATTCAGTTGTTCAGTCTTCTCACAGCCGTCTTCAGTGAGGTCTTTCAGATCTAGGGCTTCTGGGTGTAGGCCAGACCATTGCCTCCAATTGTTCCTCAATTCTGCCATATACCTGCCTCAGGAGTAGTCTTGGTTTGACTGTCATTTACAGTATCTAGCTGTACAAACCTTCCAGCAACCTGGCACTTTGACTGAAAAACCACATAAACCACACTCCCACAACACATCCTCCAACCACTCCCAGATATTCAACACGCTGTACTACTGGCACTTCAAAGAAGACTGATGCATTCACATCCCAGATGTAAAGATCCAAAATACAACATAACATAACCTATCCTCGACTAACCTACTCCAACCTAACCTAACCTTATACACATTAACCCCACATTACTTAATGTTACTTAAAAATTTATTTTATTGTTGGATTTTTTTCTTATTATAAATGCAATAAAAAACTAAGAAAAACAAGATTTTTAGCACAAATTATACAGTTAAGGGCTGTCTTAAAGATTCAAATGAGTGAAATACAATGTCTAACAAAGATATTTTAACTTTTTCAGCATATATGATCTGTGCTTTAGACCAGATGGATCTCAGCTGATAGTGGCAGCTGGAAACCGTGTGTTAGTCTATGACACAACTGATGGTGCATTAGTACAACCTCTCAAAGGTAGTGTTACAATTTCTGCAGATTTAATTCTTAGTTGAGCACAGCATTGTATGATAAATATAGTTTAAGTAGTGCTAGATATCTGTCCTTGTCTAGTAATTACCTAAGTGTAATTTACCTAAGTGTAGTTACAGGATGAAAGCTACGCTCGTGGTGTCCCGTCTCCCCAGCACTCTTTGTCATATAACGCTTTGAAATTACTGACGGTTTTGGCCCACCACTTAATAAAGTGGTAAAAAACTACTTTACTTATTAAAGTAGTTTTGATGCTTTTTCTCATTATTGTCCACTTGAGGGTTGGAAGTAGTTTTTAAATACAGTATCATAGTTTAAATTTAATATTTAATTCATTTTAATGCAATTTTACTATAAGATATATATGAAATTTTAGCATAATTTACAATGACATTAGGATATACTGTATAATGCCGAATAACCTTTTAGGCTCATAGTTATTTATTTGAGGTCATTGTTATTTAACCTAATCAATTTATATGACATCCTATGTTTCTGAGCTTTACTAAGATTGTTTTTAAGTGAGTTGTAACTTCAATCTACATCATAATCCATTGTCATGTCATGAACTGCTAGACACAAGTAACCTCCCAAGGACAGCCCATGTCTCATGTTCTGTTCTGCCCAATCACCTCCTCCCAAGAAATGCTCCTAAAGCACTCAAAAACAGCTTTATGTGAATCTAGCACATTAACAGAGTTCCAATTTCCTTGTGATTGCTGTTCACTAGCTCATTCTTTATTTCAGTGTTTTATTAATGTGTCTGTTTGCTTACACAAAGTTTAAAACACTATTTTCCTATGTTGGCTCCATAATTTCTTGTCTAAGAAAGTCATTAACTAATTCTAAAAAGTCTCCTGCTTCATTTCCTGTTTTGCCAGTTCAGTTTATTCTACTAAAATTAGTCACCAGTAACATAAATATTGTTAGATCAAGAGGCTCTAGATATTTCTTTCCATATATACTACTCGTCTATTCTGTTGAAGAGGTGAATTAGACTGCACTGACCCTTTTCCCTAAATACATGACAGGACCACTTACAAATATGCCTTTCTTGATGGTAATAGGTCAGGAGAGCTTGGTGGGTCATAGGAGTCCCTTGATCTCATAGAAGTTTTCTGTGTGAACAAACAAGGTGACTTTGATCAGAATTGATTCTGAATACATTAAATAAACATGTTTTTGTTTCTGTTTTGCTTAACATTGTTTTAAGCACTATTAATTTGCCTACATGTCACTTAAGTTTAAAGTTTTGGAGTGAACAAATAAGAAATTATTTTAATTTGCAACTTTTCTGGAATTTACTCTCAATCTCAAGATAAAGTAGACCAAATCAGTTTTAAACAGGTATCGGTATATTATTTGACAAGCTTATGGGAATCGATGTGTGCGATGGACAAATATTCTCAGTCCTGATAGACTTTGAATTTACAGGTCATAAGGAAGCTGTGTACTGTGTGTGTTACAGTCGAGATGGAAAACGTTTTGCTTCTGGCAGTGCAGATAAGAGTGTTATCATATGGACATCTAAACTAGAAGGCATACTTAAGTATTCGTAAGTATTCGTCTGTACTGTTCACCATCGTTTACCATCTCAAAATGCAATCTAGTAAATTCAATGCAACAAGGTTTTGTTAAAGATAAATCTTGCCTTACTAACCTGCTCACATTTTTTGACACAGTAACCAGCTATTCAGACAAAGGACTTCCAGTAGATGTAGCATACATCTACTGGAAGTTAGAACTGGTTAAATCATAGTACTCTAAAGCTATGATAAGGTACCATATAAAAGACTGATACAGAAATTACAGGCACATGGAATAAATGCTAAAATGCTAGAATGGGTTAAAACTAAGATAGCAAAGGGTCATTCTAAATGAAAATGAATATAGATGGAGAAATGTGGTAAGTGAGGAAATGCAAAGTTCTATATTGAGGCCAACTCATTTTGTCATATAATGAAATAGATTAAAATATTACAAATCACAACCATCAAATTTACAAATGACACTAAGATCTGTGGTAAAGTAGGAAGTGGCAATGAAATTGAGGCCTTACAATGAACTGCAGAAATGGTTGGAAGACTGGCAAATGCTTTTTAAAATTTAAAAATGAAAGACCTTGCACATAGGGCATAACAATGCACATTATAAATATCAAATCGACAACACTACTATGTAGCAGATAATGAATAGGATTTAAGTCAAAATCCACCAGTCATTGAAGGTTGCACTAGTTGGGAGCTGCAATAAAGAAAGCCAACCAAATTCTAGGAATAGTTATATAAACTTTTAACCTCAAGGAAAAGAAAGCAGTTATTCAGCTGTCCAAATCTATGGTTCATCATTCACATTTGGTCTACTGCTATCTAAGCATGGAGACCTCATCTTCAGAAGGATGAGGATCTTCATCTTCTGCTATGAAGATGGTTCAACACTGCACAAATTGAGAGAGTGAATGTGTGGAATCCCTGGAACCACACAAATGGAGTGACAAATAAATCATCCCAGAACCAAGTCGACTCTCATAGCAGGAATGACTGAGGGTCACAGGACTAATCCCATTGCAAGCCAGATATGACAAGGCTGATCTTGTTGAATCTTGTTAAGTATTTTAAAAAGTTGGAGAATATTAACCTAGACCACTTCTTTAAAAGGTCAAATGTAACACATACATGGGACAACAGCTTTAATCTCAACAAGCAGCAATGTAGGGCAGAAAATATGAAATGCTTTTTAACACATCAGCTTATAAACCCATGGAACCACCTACCTGCCAAAGTTGTAAGTGCCAAGACATTACTTCAGTTCAAAATCCACTTGGAAAAACTCCACAGAAAAAATGGGGAGACCTCATACAAGCTGACGGCTTCCTGTCCCTGTTGAAACCACTAAAGAGATGGTGGCCTTTGAGTAAATTCAGGTAAATTACACCATCCTGTTCATATCCTGTGGTAATTTTTTTAATCACCCCACATGTAATTGATTCATAGTTAATTCAGTACAGTATTACTAATGTACTATTTTGATTATTATTACTTAATGTGTTATATTAAGACTGCAAGAATTTAGATTATTTCTGCCTTATATGTGTGTTTGTGAGCATATGCAATGGCATAAGAACATATATCAATATTTTAGTCATTGTTATTTAATATATACAGTTAGAACATTAAACTGTAATCAATAAATTTTTACTTAATTTGTGTAAAAAGGTAGGTTGGTTACTGACTTCTACTTACGTGTTGCTGGTTTAAAAACAAATGCAACATATGTTAATTATTGTAGTTTTTGGAGTTTCCAGAATTTTGAGGTTAGGATTTGCTATACTCTACTGTATTGTACTGTATTTATTGTTGTTTTTCCCGAGCAGGCATAATGATGCCATACAGTGTTTGGCATATAACCCAGTGTCTCATCAGCTGGCGTCTTGTGCACTCAGTGACTTTGGATTGTGGTCACCAGAACAAAAGAGTGTACAAAAGCACAAGGTTAGTGATATGCTCCTAGGTACCAGTTAAACCATTTAATGCTGGCGTATGGGTTAAGTTAAAATTGCTCTCGAGTAATTACCTAAGTACAGTATAGTATAGTTACAGGATGAGAGCTATGCTTGTGGTGCTCCATCTTCCCAGCACTCTTTGTCATATAATACTTTGAATGGTTTTGGCTTCCACCATCTTGCATACTTAACTTCTTCCAACTGTTTACACTTTGTTTACAAAAGTGAATTTCTTTGGATAAATAGAATTTGTTGTCCTTTAAAATATATTTAGAACAGATATGCAGGTAAATACAGGTATAGCTATAAACTTAATATAAAATTTTATTTTATAGAGCACAAGTCGAATATGTTGCTGTGCATGGACCAATGATGGTGTTTACATGGCCCTTGGACTGGCAAATGGAGTTGTATCCATCAGAAATAAGGTAATACATGTACAGTACTATATTATTTTATACTGCAAATATTACAGCTGTTAATTTGTTCTCATCCAGTTTATTATAGGTAAATCCAGGTCATTGGGACTCGTGTCATTGGTTGGAATGTACTTGCACTTTGAGCTACAACTGATAATCACATAGCCTCTCTTGTTCATTTGTTTATTACTGAAAAAGAGAGCTGGAATGAAGATAATCCTGCCCGAAACGCTTTGCGTAATAGTGGCTTTAGGCATTGTATGTACTAGCTCTAGCTATAAATCTAGTGTATCAATTTTTGTAAAACCTCTTGTATGTATGTACTTTACCTGAATAAACATTTATTTATTTATTTATTTATTTATTTATAAATGCGGGGTATGCAATTTGCAGACTTTTGTGGTATGCAGTAAAATTTACTTTGCTTTAATAAATACTTGTGTTTTAGACTGGAGAGGAGAAAATGAGAATTGAACGTCCTGGAGGCACAAACTCTCCCATCTGGTCTTTGGCGTGGAATCCATCAAAGTAAGCATATTATTGTGTTTAGTAATGAACCTTTCTGAACTGTCACATTCTGCTGCTTGCATAAGCAAGGTCTGGTTGTGACCCCTGGACAGGATCATGCACAGAAAGGCAGGATGATGCATTCTACCTTTGTCATAGAAAACTTTCAGAACTGTACTTTTCATAGGAACCCAGTTCAATTGATATTTAAATAAAGTAGTTTATGTCAAGACCAGCCACCCCAACACCTCCCATACCCCATGCCTGCTGTATGGGATTAATATGGTATGGTCCGATATCTGTCTGCAGTATCCATCAAAATCTCAGGTTATCTAAATTGCTATATGAATATAGCGAAATTTTGCCAGAAAAATATTTGGCCTCGATTTTTGCTGGATAACCCAGATATTCGGATCAGTAGACTTCAGATAAGCAAGCTCATGCAATACAGCATTGCTTTCATCTTGGCAACTATATGCTCTCATGCTAACAATACATCTGTGTGAGTAAAAGAGCTAATATCTGTATGGAATACTACAAAACATGGTGGCACCTGTGAATCCGTGTGAGGATTTGTTACCTCTAATTTTTGGAGTAATTTTCTCCATATGTTAGGGTGTCTGTGGGTGGAGACTCGAGGTGTGTGTGGTATAATTACCTAGTGTTCAGCATAGGCATACCAGAATAGGTATACAAACTGACCAACTGGTAGTAATCTAGAACATGCCCTTGGTCACCTGTGATGTCAAGGATGGGTTCAGAAGGAATTCTGAGGTTATGAATGAATCATTTGTCTGTTTTTCTGGGCTGGAGTGAATGTTCTCAGTGACTCCCTATCACAGCCTCCTAATGACCCTACAGGGATAGTTTGAAGAGCCCTTATGGTGTCAGTGCAATATTCTACCATTTTTGAATGCTGATGATCCTGTCCAATGGACACAATTGGATTTTATCTTAAGGAGCAGCAGCAGAGAATGATCTGCTCAGATTAATGCTTTTCATGTAACTTGAAGCCTAATTTTTCTTTCTTATTTTACCTATTAATAATATTAATATTTACCTATTTACCTATTAATATACTGAGGTACTGTATGTATGACATACATTTTAAAGTGCAAATTATCTAATAACTTCATCTATAATAATTACTCTTGTTTTCTGGGAGGGCGTTATCATTGGCTCCCTGATAACAAGACACACAGTAGTTAAGTCCACCTTAACTAGACACACAGTAGTTAAGTGCTGCTAGTTCCACCTCCCCATTGCCAGGTGGGAGCTCCAAGCCCAAACAGGGTAACCTTCCCCCCCATCCTCCAGTCATTTGCCTGGTGTGGACCAGTCCACAGGGGCTCTTCATGTCATCTTTGCCCTTTGGGTTTCGGCTTTTCCAGATAAGTGTTGGCCATTCTTTGACCTTTACCTTGCAGTGACCATTTGCTTGTCTTTGTATCAAATTTTGTATTAGATTTACATGTGTGTACAAGCTTCACTTGTTGTGTTACCTTTGAGTAAGCGTTCACTTCACCCGCATGTGTTGGGCTATGTTCCCTGGGCGCTCGCTGATGTTACCTGTAGCAATGTAGATATACCATTGTACATTTTGTACACTGAGTGAATTTTATAATGAAATATGACCTAAAACAAAATGTAGAGTTACCAAAATCTCCTTCCAATTATGAAATAAAACAGATATATAAAATATTTTCCTACAAAAATATTAGCAATACTGTATATGTAGAATGTGACTAGACATGATTTATCTTGGGAAAATTAGCAATTTTCTAACGATCTCTGACCTAAAAGAAACACCTAGAATTACCCAAATCTTGGTATAATTACATAAATAATACAGATAAATACAACATTTTCCTACAGTATAACTGCTAATACAGTAAGTGTAAACAATTACTACATAGAGTATATTTGAAGATGGAAATATACTAATTTGAGAACAAAATGTGACTAAAAACATAAATGTAAATTTACCCAAATTTATCCAAATTGATGTACAATTACAAAGATAAAATTAATATACATATATAATATTTTCTTACATAAATATTAACAATAAATGTAGAACATGAATAGATGTAAATTTACTTGGATAATTACTAACTTTTTAATGAAATTTGGTCTAAAATAATACAGTAGAATTACCCAAATCTTCATATAATTGTATAAAGAATACAGAACAATAACATATTTTCCTACGTAATTGATTACACACAATTAAAGTTGGAAATGCAGTACTGTACCTGTATACAGTACTCATTTTGTAGCAAGATACAACAAAAAACAAAATGTAGATTTACCCAAATTACATTCAATGCTGGTTTTTCTATATGGTACATATATATATTTAGGGAGGGGGGGGTTGATTCATCTCCTCGTTATGTATTGATTATATATTCTTGTCCAGGGATGAGCCGGTTGATGTACTCTGTGTAGCTGACTGGGGACAAAACATTTCATTTTACACACTCAGTGGAAAACAGGTACAGTAATACCTTATAGTTTTCACTTCATTATTTTTGTTTCTTTTCTGGAGGGGCTGGATGGTGGTGTCCTGTAGCTAGCTACAATGAGATAGCAGACATATTTTGTAAAGGGGTACTTATCTACTTACTTGTTCGTGACTACTGGGAAGTGAGGTTTGGTCCTGTGCCCCTGCCTACTAGCCCTGTTATATCTGTTGCATTATACCTTAACAATGAACAAATCCACAAGGGCCATAGGGTTCGAACCTACGTCCGAGAGGATCCCAGACTCTGCCTTAATCGACTGAGCTACGACATGCTGTGTACCTTAACAATTCTAGTGTTCAAAATCATTGTTGAACCTGTCTTTAAAGCTGTGGATGGAGGTGGCATCCACAACTATTTCTCTGTGCATTGCACTTGTTGACCACCCTTACAGGGCACCAGTATTTCCTTACATTTCTTTGACTCGCTTGTTTCCAGCTTCCACTTGTGTCCTCTTGCTCGACTTTCTCTTGACTTAAGGAGGTGGTCGTTGTCCACCTTGTCTATATTCCCCTTCAGTATCTTGTATGCTTTGATCATATCTCCTCTTTCTTCTTTTCTTCAACTTTGTGAGGTCCAGTGCCTTCAGCCTTTCCTCATAGTTTAACCCTTTTATCTCTGGCACTAATCTAATTTCAAACCTATTCCTCTCCTTCCTGTTGCTCTCTGCTCTATCTGGCATTGTTTTTGTTCTTTTCTCGGCTGTTCCCTGTATTAACACTACACCATAACATTTAACACTCAATTACAACAGGTTAGTTAGCGTGCATTAATGATCGAGTGGCTTGCCCACATCTTGTTTTTATATCTTTGCCCTTCTTTGCTTATACTGTATTGTATGTTGGTTTATATTTGTTTAGAATTAATATTTATATAAAAATGTAGAAAACATTGTAGATGTGAATGGTGTAGTACTGATGATGATGCATTTCTTTTCCTCAGGTTGGAAAGGAGAGACCACTTGGATTTGACCCGTGCTGTGTGAATTACTTCAGTAAAGGGGAATATCTGCTTGTTGGTGGTTCCAACAAAGCATGCCTTCTGTACACTAGAGAAGGGGTCAAGCTTGGAACCATTGGGGAGCAATCTTCCTGGGTGTGGTGCTGTGCTGCTCGACCAGATTCTAACTATGTGGTAAGTTCACAATCTATGTTTGCACGTAGAATTTATGCCATGATTTTGAATAATTGTTCTCTCATATTCTGGAGCATGGGTGAACACAAAATAAAGTGCTGACAGTAATATAAAGAAATACTAAATTAAGAGTAGCAGTTATTGAAGCTGACATTTTGAATGTAAGGGCTTCATCAAATCTTTATTATATCAGACTTGATGGAGCTCTTCCAGGTGAGGCATCATTAGCACATAGGCACTTGCCTCCTAGTTTTTCCACAGAGTGGTTAAGCTCATCGTCTTTGAATTTGCCACTGCAAATATGTTTATATTTGGGGATGTTCTTCCAAAACCCCTTGAGCTGTGATGTGCTGACATCACAGCTCAAGGGTGGGGGGGGGGGTTTGAAGCCTACCAGGGCAATTGCTCTTGAGTACCTTCCTGGACCCTACCAGGGCAATTGCTCTTGAGTACCTTCCTGGACCCTACCAGGGCAATTGCTCTTGAGTACCTTCCTGGACCCTACCAGGGCAATTGCTCTTGAGTACCTTCCTGGACCCTACCAGGGCAATTGCTCTTGAGTACCTTCCTGGACCCTACCAGGGCAATTGCTCTTGAGTACCTTCCTGGACCCTACCAGGGCAATTGCTCTTGAGTACCTTCCTGGAACCTAAGCCATCATTGGTTCACATCTTATGTGGCACATGTTGCCTCCCCTTCCCTCCCCCCCCCCTTTTGGTTCCTCTTCGTACAAATTTGCAGCCCAGGTGAGCCTTGTCCTCTTGTAGTTTGGGTGCTATCTTCCCAACTTTGTCTTAGAGGGCGACCAAGTGGGATAAGTCAGAAACCTAGCTCTGAGTATTTAAAAACACCTTCTAGACAGTACACTTAATTGTTCATGCAATATCTTCCCTAGCTCTCCTGTGCTTGGTATGTTTTTTTCTTCACTTTAATATTAGGAGGAAATTGAGGTTCGGTGGGAGGGCAACAGCCATCTGGTGGCTCTTGGTGGTAGTAACTTAGTGTTATTAGATAGCTTGTCAGTTTGCAGCATGGCACACTCTATATTGCCAATAGAGTGTGCCTATATTGCCATATGCTTATCCAGACCTTGGATAAGCATATGGGTTTATGGGAAGCCCTTTTCTGTCTTTATTCAGAGCTGCCTTAAGTATTCTCCAGTGTTGGTTACCTTGAGGTTACCTTGAGGTGCTTCCGGGGCTTAGCGTCCCCACGGCCCGGTCGTCGACCAGGTCTCCTAACCAGACCTGTTACCCATATGATTAAACAGTGACAACTTGAAAAGTTTCCACCTGCATAGTTGCAGAATCCTGACCTAACCCCTGACAGTGGCAGTACCTATCCAGAGGTAAAGGCTCTGTTGCCTTAGGAAGTGACTGAGTGTAGTGCTCAGAAAAGTACGTTTCATGTGCTTATAGCTAGACTTTTTTATCACAACTCATAATGCAAGAGAGAAAGCATTTTCTTCAATTTTGAAAATGAGCTTCAGATTTCCTTGGTGGCTCTGACTTAATTGACCAGTATTAACTGAAAGTGTGACCTCCCTGCATTTAAAATGATGTTGAAGTGAATATGAAAACATATACACTTATAATATTTTATGTACTGTATATTATGTTGACCAGACCACACACTAGAAGGTGAAGGGACGACGTCATCCCTTCACCTTCTAGTGTGTTGTCTGGTCAACATACCTCAACCACGTTATTGTGACTCATCGCCTGTATATTATGTTCTCTCCCAGGCAATAGGTTGTCAGGATGGCACTATTGCATATTACCAGCTGATCTTCTCAACTGTTCATGGACTCTATAAGGAGCGCTATGCTTTCCGGGAAAATATGACTGATGTCATCATTCAACACCTCATCACCGAGCAAAAAGTTAGAATAAAGTGTCGGGACCTCGTTAAAAAGATTGCCATTTACAAGCACCGTCTAGCTGTAAGTTACTTTATTCTTCCACTCAAAAAGTCATGTGTAATAGGTGCAGTATGTAGATTAAGTTCTATGTATATATGTACATGGTTGCATCCACAATTTTATATGTAAAATTGGCATTTTTATCTCGAATGAAGATGTATAATTCAAGGTACAATACAGTACTTCTGTTGTCACCTACCATTTATCTACTGTATTATGTCATGTTTCCATGCACATTCGTCAAGTTTTTGAAATTTAGATGTTTATGTACAGAAAATTATCTATGTATAAAATGTATATTAATCTCATGCTTTTGCGTGAATAATATACAGTATTGTGTATTGTGTATTGAATTTAGTTAATTGTCATTTCCACCTTTTGTAAAGTATTTTTAAACAAATGATTGTTAATGTGTAATTAATTTGTCATGCTTTATTCTGATTTTGTTCTACCTAAGTCATTTTTCATGTTATGTAGCATTATTTGAGTGTTCATTGCCAGGTGATCTACCAAATATGACCATAGGTACAGAATTTATGACTGCACTGTGCAGACCCTTGTACTGTAGTTCTTAGACTATTTTTTTTTCTATTAGTGGGCCACAGAATTAATTTAACAAAGTATTGGAGAAGGGCCCTAGCTCAATAAGTGAAACCTCAAAATCCAAACCATTATTTATCACCAAATATTTAGTTCTTTTAAACATATTATAATCCAGTATAATGTCACCTGCTGATAGAGGCAAGCCATCTCCTGTTGTCTACACAACACAGTGACTTCTCAAAATGCTATGCATTTAGTGGCTCTGCATGAATGTAAAAATACTAATCTTATGTAATATCACCATCCCATTGTACCTTTCAAATAAATTATTACTATTAGGTCTGATACATGTTGTTTTCTGGGTAACAGAGCCAGAACCTACCCCTCTCCCCTCTCGTAGAGGTGCAGAGGGCTGAGGATTGTTACGATCACCCACTCCAGGGAAAGCATCCAGAAATTTAGCAAAGTAATGCAGACAGCGGCAAAGTTGATTGAAAATGAAGCATTGAAACAGCCAAATGACTCTGCAAATGATTAATTCAAAACAATTGGTTCATTTGAAACAGCTTGAATCCCTTAGTACAAATGGCTGTCAACAGATGGTGTCTCATAGCTCCTGACTATCAGCCAGCCTTTGGCCAGTTGTGTTGTTAATGTGTTACTGTGTAGGGCCTGGATGACCTAGGGCCAGCTGGTAGCCAGGCGCTAAAGGACACCACCTGTTTGTCACCATTTGTTCTAAGGGGTTTGAGCTACTTTCAAGTGAATCGATCTTTTTGAATGTTCCGGCAATTTGTTTCCTATGAAACCTGCAGCTGCCTGTATTGTTTTACTGACTTTCAGGATGCTTTCCCAGTGTGGGTGATAATAACAAACCTCGGCTATCTGCACCTCTATGAGGGGGCCCAGGTTCTAGCTCTGGTCTCCAGTAGGCTAAACACCCCTATCTTTCTGGTACAGTAGATAGCCATCAGGCCTCTTCCAGAAAGAGGCATTTCATTACATTCAATGCTGTTTTTTTTCCGTGATTACATAATTCATTATTTTCAACAAAATATGATTATTTTTGTCTAAAAACGTATCTCAATTTCCAATAAGAATTTATTATCAGCGTTTTTGGTTTTACTGTGTGTAGGTATCTTGCTGATGCATCCTCATTGAAGAGCAATTGCCAGTTATAATAAATATAAACATCTAATGCCTCTTTGTTACAATATAATTACTTGCATAGACTCATCATTTGATTATCAATATTTCATCCTTCATTAATATATATATATATTCACACTATTATCATGCAGGTCCAACTTCCAGAGAGGATTATAATCTATGAGCTATACTCCCAAGATTCATCAGACATGCACTACCGTGTGCGAGAGAAGATAAACCAGCGCTTGGACTGCAATCTTCTGGTTGTGTGCACCAATCACATTGTTCTATGTCAGGTACATGTACTGTAATTTAGTGTCTGAGGGTCATCAGTTTCATGAATCTAAATAGCACATTCAAACTACACTGTGCCTCTTAAGAGTGGTTCCTTGGCATAGTAAGGGGACATGCTCTTGTACACCATCCACAGGTGGCTGTGGGAGGCTTTTATTTCCCTCTTCTGCCTGCTGTGGTGGTGCACAAGTGACATATGCCCAAGTGGCTTCACCACTTGGCCCAGTAGTTAGGTCAGACCCCTCCCCCACCCTCATACCTAGTTCAGAAGTGGTTGGATCTAGTCAGAGAGTGCAGGTTGGCTTCCCTTTCCCTGCCATCTGCAGCTCTGCTCTGCTTATAGAATCATTTCTATTTGGTGTTGGAGAAGATTAGGATTACTCAACAGTTGGTCGAGCAGTTGTACAAGAGCTTGAACTTTGCCTACTTGGTGTTTTCCTTGGACAGGATTTTGCTTCAGGCATTGTTTTGGTTCCTCTAGTTCCACCTTTTTCACCACTATCAGGACAGTCATGTGCAAGGTTTATTTCACCTTCTGTGGCTTTTGACTTGCTGGTTTCTTCAAGCTTTTCAAGGTTTCATTCTGTGACACCTTTCTCCTCCATCACTTGATGTATACATCACATAGAAGCCTTGGTCCTGGGTTGAGGTTTTGTGTGTCCAGTGCTCATGAGGCCTCTCGGGGACATTGGGTGCGTTTTTTCCTTCAGGCACAGTACATGTGAAAGTTTGTGGCAGAATGGGGGTTCCTTTCTCTTTTTTCCCTCTGGTTCAGGTGGTACAGTACTTCAGTTTGTGTCTAGTCTAGAGACTTGTATGAGCAGGGTGATCCTTCTGTTTCCTTTGGTGGCTGGCTCAGCCTTGGTTTATGGCTCTTCTGGCCCATTGTCTGAACCTGGGCATTTTTTCGTAGCTCCACCTCTTTCAGCAGATCAGTCTAGAGATGTTTCTTGCTAGTTTGGCACTCTCCTTAAATCTTCCCATCTGGAGTTTTGCCATGGGTCTATCACCATTTGTATGGTGTGCAAGTGGTTGAATTGTTGGTATCCAACTTGGCAACACTGACATTTCTTGGCACTTTTTTTTTTTTCTCCATCGTTTGTTGTCCATTTTGATTCTGGTGGTTTTATCCTTATATTTGATTGTTTCTTAATTGGCATCATATGCCTAATATGTCCACAGTGTCATTAAATCTATGCAGCTTGCAGTTTGAAAGTTTGTGACTTTAACTTCAATATTTTCTCGTATGTCTTGGGTTGATATTTGGGCACAGGGCTTTTGAACGTCTAATAGGGTCCTGGCAGCTTGTTACCTACTCGGTCTTCCTGGTCCCCCTGGAGACCTGAATCATACCTGATTCAGATTAGATGCGAGTTCTTGGAGTTCTACTTCCCAAGCCCGGCTTGGCTCGACTTGTGATATCTTGGCCCAGCAGATTGTTGCTTACAGTGAGCTTATAAAAAAAACAAATCAGTATAATCAAATTGCTCTGCAAGCCATACCTAGATTCACAAGGAAAGCTAAGTATTACACTGATGATTTCTTGTTAGTCTATTTAGCAACTATCTGCTACTAACACTTGATGGTGGCATCATACTGGGCAACAAGGTCACTAGAGCCGGCCGCCCAGACTTTAAGCATGGCGTCCACCCCCCTACAGGTATTCCAGGTCTAAAGCGACCAGTTTTTAGTTATCTTTAACTGGTCTCACTGAAACTTTAGTTTCTCTGCAGGGGTTCTTAACTGATGGGTGCAAGGGTTTTTAATTATTTATATTTTAGTTGTTGATATAGATAACAAACTTAGATGGCTTTGTTATTATTTCCCATGACAGTATGTTCTTTCATTAATTATGGGAAAGGAGTGCTAGAATGACTTAGCAGTTTGGCAGGTTAAAAGTCACTTCTGCTCACACCTAATCCTGCCTGAGCCAGCTCCTTAGTTACTCCAATTCCTTTCCATTTTGTCCCAGCTTTTCTAAGACTGCTGTGGTGTTGCCTTGGTTTAATGTGAGGGCTGCCAGCTCTTGTAACCCTGTTGTCTGACAGGGTGCTGCAGTCAGGTAGTGGTAGGGAAAGTTGCCAGGTAGACTAACCAATAGTTTTCAAGAGTAATACTTGGCTTCCATGTGAATTTAAATACTGTATCATTTTCAGTGCTGGATTGAGAATTCTCCAGTGTCTTCCTTCCCAAAATTATATGAAAACACCATTAGCCAAGAATCTGACCATGGAGTTAGATTCTTGGCTATGGGGTTCAATAAGAGATTCCAGGCATATCTGACACTATGCTGGGTGGACCAGATCCTTGGCTTAGAGAACAATTGAGGGGCCAGCGCAGAAAAGGAGCTTCTCATTTTACTTATACCACTAGCTCTTAATTATTTAATCATGGTATTTTACAAAATATAAATATAGAAAAGGTGGACCATTGTTGGTGTGGTCTCTGATGGTATCAAAAGGTGGCTTTTCTGCCTGTGTGCATTAATGATATAAATATTATTTTTGTTACTTTTCATCATACTGTGTTTCAATTGAGTTTCTATTTACAAATTCATCTTACAGGAAAAACGATTACAGTGCCTAAACTTCACTGGTGTGAAGGAACGTGAGTGGCAAATGGAATCTTTAATTCGATACATCAAAGTTGTAGGTGGACCAGCCAACAGGGAAGGTCTTCTACTGGGACTCAAGAGTGGACAGGTGAAACAACAAGGGGTTTGGTATAATATAGAAAGCAGTTAGAATAACTAATAGTAATGCCGATCATATTTATTTTTTGTATTATGTTTTCAACTTTTGCATGTCGTGTCGATATGCCTAGATAATATATTTATTTCTTTATATCACAAATCCTTAATTTTCATAATATTATATAACTACTTTTGTTTTCTATACAGTATAGTATTTCAAAAGTATTTTGGCTAACTTTCTAAAATATATGCATTTAAAAGCGGTACAGTACATCTATGGTTTTACTGATTTTAGTTTGTATCATGTTCTTAGGTTCTAAAGATTTTCCTGGATAATGCATTTCCTGTAGCTTTGCTGAAGGTTCCAGCAGCTATACGTTGCTTAGACCTGAGCTCTTCTCGGAACAAGTTGGCAGTTGTTGATGAGCACAGCACTCTCCTTGTTTACAGTGTAAACAACTCTGAACTGCTCTTCCAAGTAAGCCCTTAATAGTTTCCTCTTCACATTAGGAAATGTATATGTTTATCTCTCAGAATGTTCGGTAATACGTTTATTGCTTGTGATGTGTATCTATGTATGTATTAACACGATGTACTGAACGGGGTGAGAATAGCTTGAGCTACCTCATCCCTTTGTGTGTATTTTACCTCAATAAACTTATTTCAATTTCTTCACATTATCTTCTAAGAAACAGAATACAAAATATACAGTACAGTGGCACCTCCCAAATTCCAGATCATTTAATTCTGAACCCGAACTGAATTCACAATTAATCCAGGTTTTGTGTTTCATTGTGTATACATAATTTCTTACATAGCATCCCATGATTTTGGTGATGAAGTGCCAAAACATGGCTGTAATATTAATTATGTGTTGTACATAGGTACCAGCTCACTGTTGTACATAGGTACCAGCTCACTGTTGTACATAGGTACCAGCTCACTGTTGTACATAGGTACCAGCTCACTGTTGTACATAGGTACCAGCTCACTGTTGTACATAGGTACCAGCTCACTGTTGTACATAGGTACCAGCTCACTGTTGTACATAGGTACCAGCTCACTGTTGTGATGTAATTCCTATGACGGTAATCACTAATAGAGATTCACGTGCAATTCCAGGAACCCAATGCAAATAGTGTAGCATGGAATACTAGTTGTGAAGAAATGCTCTGCTTCTCGGGCAGCAACACCCTCAACATCAAAGCCTCGAATTTCCCGACACATCAACAAAAGTTACAGGTACTGTCAATTTTTTTTCCAAGTTTGAAAATACATAGATGCTAGGATTAAAACTGAATTACATACAATAAAGTATTTATTCACTTTTATGACTGCTAATTTTATCAAAAATATTTACATAATTTGGCAAGTATTTCTTTAAACTTGTGAGAATTTAATTATTTTCATGTGTCAAGGTCTCTGTACAGTATTAAAAATCACCTGCATTATCTTGTTTTTTTAATTTTAATTATAAACAGCATAAAATACTTAAGATAATAATGATCCTATTTTAAATTTGCTTTGTTGCAATAAAATGTATTTATTTTCTGTGACTAATACCGTACTTAATGTAGTCATCTCCTGTCAATGGGGTCTAATGCAAACAATTCTTCTACATAGATTTTGTTTCCAGTATTTTTCAAATACACATCACTCGACACTGATCTTGAAAACTCTGACTTCAGCGTCGTGCTCCCAGCAAATACTGGATTCCTAATAACCTAAATGGGATTTATGTTTTCTAGGGCTTTGTGGTGGGATTCAGTGGCAGCAAAATCTTTTGTCTGCACATCTACAGCATGTCTACAATTGAAGTTCCCCAGTCAGCTCCTATGTACCAGTATTTGGACAAGAATATGTACAAGTAAGAGTTTCGTTTACTGTGATATCTACTTAATTTTGCATTAGGATAAAGAAAGTGAGAAATGTACAACAGAATAGGATATGCTATTATACAGGAAATAATCAGTGTGTCAGTAAATTAAAGAAGATTGATTTGTAAAATAGATGACTTAATCACTAATTTATTATCTGGGTTGAGAGATTAAGGGATCTCAGGGTATTAGGTACAGCAAATTATTAGGACTTAACAGATTACATGTTGATTACATGTTGACAGTTCCAAAAGTGCAGTTTTCACAGCATGGCCTGTGGCCAGCCTTCTCTGGTGATTGTTTAATCTGTGAGCCTGTTTGCCTTTGTAGCATGAAGACCCACATAGATATCACAGCAATTGGTACAGACTTACCGTAATTTAAAAACACTGACTGCCAAAAATTCTGCTGACGTTCTTGTAAAGAAATTGGGTGTAAGGGGGAGGAGGGAAAAAGAAGGAATGCCAAGTCAGAATGACTATAAAGCACATGGAAAGGATATGATAACAGAATAGGTGGGGGGGTATATGAGGACAGAGTGAAGGAATTATCCCCAACCACTTGGATTATTGGGGATCGAATGCCGACCTACAAACAGTCAGGCCATCGCTCTACTGACCAGTCCAAATGACTCGCAAAAGGGGCTTGGGTGGATGGAGGGAGGGAGGGAGGGAGGGAGGGAGGGAGGGAGGGAGGGGCTTATATATACCTTACATTTAAATTATGGTAATTTATAGTAGGGAGCACTTTAAAGTTACTGTGTTAATATCTTAATCATATACAAAAGGTTATTCCATTGAACTATACAATTTTTTTAACCGAGTGATTCAAATAAACCACATAATGTGGCTACACATTTAAAATATATGAAATGAGACATATACCAAAGTTAGAAGATAGAGGAAAGAGGTGATGTGATCACTACATACAAAATATTAATGGGAATCGCCAAAATTTATGAAGATGATTTTTAAAACTGCAACTTGAAGAACAAGAGGTCATAAGTTCAAACTAAGCAAATAAAGCTATGGAAAAACATTAGCAAATTCACTTTTACAAAGAGATTGGTAGACAGTTGGAACAAGTTAAGTGAGGTGGTGGAGTGTCTATAAATTTATTACTGCCTCTATGGTGTATTGGAGGTTCATTCAGAACATCCTGTTAAGGATGTTTTAGCAAGTTTAATCTTAGGAATCTATATTACTTGAGCACAAACTAGGAATTCTTTTACTGTGATATTATTATGTAAACTTTCTTGTTGGGAACCTTCAAAGTTATCATCTTCATCATCATCTGAAATAAAAAGATACCTGTGGCTGAAGGTCAGAGTTTATGCCAAGCTTTCCTTAAGATGGGTGTATGAAACATCAGTTTGTATATCAGTCAGTATATCAGTTTGTATATCAGTCAGTATATCAGTTTGTATATCAGTCAGTATATCAGTTTGTATATCGGTCAGTATATCGGTTTGTATATCAGTTTGTATATCAGATGAAACATCAGTTCCTTAAGATGGGTGTGTGAAACATCCCAGTTTGTATAAGCATGCCATATGTCTGTCTTGTTTATGAATGATTTAATAACCAGCTGCAACCGCACTGGGTACGTGAAATATTCATGCCATGTACAAAAATATCATCGTTTCAACAATCTTCAGTCAGTTCATTAACTGTGACCGCACAGCACAGTTAATTGACTCGTGGGGGGATATAGTAATTACCGAATTGAATAGCAGGGATTTGTCAAGAAAACAATGAAGTAAATAAAAGAAAGCATAAAAGGAACCATTTTATTTCATAATTTATAAAATCAGTTTTAATTTCTTTCAAACATGTTGTTCTTTACTCACCACTTGAAATTTTTAACTTGACAGTAACCATTATTCATTACTTCTCTGAAGTTAATCTAATAATACATACACTTCAGCTTAACTTTTTGAAGTCTAATGCTATAGAATCTGTTATTGCTTGTCGACACTCTGTAGATGAGATATAGGTGCATGGTTGTCAGTTTCCCGATTGTACAGACGGTTCCTTGCCTCACACCCGAGACCATATAAGCTGCTGCCTTAACTGATAATTTCACCCAGCATTATCTTTTAGAAATTAAAGATTTAATGCAGCAAATAAATGGTATCAGAATTAAGGTGAAAAAGAAAAACAGTAACTAAATGGTTAATAAAGGAGTTGTGCAAGAAGGGCTTGCATAACTGCTGATACGCTGGTGTGAGGAGGCGGCAGGTAAGCATATGATCACCCTGCTTTTACTAGTCGACTTACAACATAAATAATATAACTTGAACAAACGTGTATTACACATTTCCTCATCTGAAATATATAGTATTAATTTATTTTTGTAGACGAAATAAACAAACTTACCCTTACTTTTCTTAAAATAGGCATTGAGAGAGTACAGTACTAGAGATTTATTTGTGTGTTGAACAGAGAGGCCTATGAGATAGCATGCCTGGGTGTGACTGATGGAGACTGGGAGGCTCTAGCTAAAGCAGCGCTGCAGGGACTTGAATACAGCATTGCTAAGAAAGCCTTTACTCGTATCAAAAACCTCAAATACCTAGAATTAATACATTCCATTGAGGTAACGTATCTACAGTACTTTGTTATCTTTTTTAATGTTTATTTGTCACAATGTATAATTCTGTATACAATATGCTAATTGCATAAGACTACTTCAAGCATTACATTTTTTGTTATTCTAATTATACTACTATGGTATTTATTATGTATTTTGTCTCTACCTCATCTCTCATATTCTGTACTTTTTAATTTTTAGATAGTGTACTTCTATAATTTTTAGATAAATTTAAAAGATCTTGATTTCTATTTATTGCTTAATTTATATATAGCTGTACATTTATAATTGATTTTAACATTAGCTTAATTTCATGCATCAGGAACGTCGACACAAGGGAGATGCTGATAACAACATCTTCTTAGGAGACGTATTGGCATTTGAAGGCAAGTTTTCCGAAGCTGCCAAGTTGTATCGCAAAAGTGGCAAAGACTCGATAGCCATGAACATGTACTCGGACCTTAGAATGTTTGACTTGGCACAAGTAAGTTAATTTTGAATGTATATTTTGCTGAATGCTTACCCATTTACATTTTCAATACATCATTGTTTCATATATAAAATTAAATTTTTTCCTTGAGTTACCTAAAGATGCAGGAAAATAGATTAGAAAGTATTTGATCATGCAGTCTAATTGATTATTCTATGAAGTACTAGTCATCTGTCAAATTCTGTAAGAATAATATACAGTACAGTATTCCTTATTTTTTAAAAATTCCTTTGATTACATTAAGAATCAGAGTGAAAGACTGTAAATTCACATGTCTGAAATGTAAGAATTTACACTGAGAAAATAGAGAAAATTATATCTCATGAACTCCCAGTGGTCTACATCGTTGGCTCTATCTAGGGACCCGGCTGAATCCTCAGGTAGGACAGAAACATTTGGGCAATTTTCTTTTCACCTGATGCCTCTCTGTTCATCTTACAGTAAATAAATACACAGGAGTTAGGCAATTGTTGTGGGTTGCATATTGAAGATGATCAGTAGTGAGACCTTGATAAGTCTAAATACAGGCTTCCTGTTCTCGATGTAAGGAGGCGGCATCTTTCTACCCCATTCTGATGGACCTTAGAGAAATGCACAAGAAAAGGGACTTCTTTGTGTACTTGTAGGGAGGACATGTAGGGAAAGTGTATTCTCATCCTTACTGTATGTACAAAATGTAGCATCCTGATGGGAGAAGATTTAAGCCTGGATGAGTGTCAAGACTCCTCTTCTGGGTACTAGACACTGCCTTGAATATATGCTGAATACACCAGAATCTCGGGGATACAGCATCCAAGAATTTACAAAAATAATAATGTGTCTAGATGTATTTTGGTGGAAGACCTTGTCCTTCTCACTCCTCTAAAAGGGAATTAACACATGCCACAAGAATAGTATGGTATAATAACAAAGGTGTAATTATTCTAGAATTTTTGTTAAGTTAAGAGTTAGGAAAGTTAACTACTGTATAGTATTTCTGATTATTAACCTATTTATTTAGAAATCTTTAAAAATATTAACATACACAATGCTTTATGTATATTGATTTTAAGAGTCTTTCAAGGAGACTGACTAGGAACTATGATTTATCTATGAGGCAGATCACATAAAAATTGCATGAAAATTTACAAAACATTTAAATTTCAACCTAACAAAAGCTAATTCTCCTCTACAGATCAATGCACACACAATAAGCATAATGTATTAGAATTTCCTGTTAATAGCAAAGCACCCAGTACTGATCCTTTTCAAATGCTGAAAAGCACATGGTGAAGTTTCCATTCAACAATTATAATGTTACTCGATCAAAAATATCACCAATTAATCTCGGCAGATCTTCCACTATTAGTCTAATTGTAAACACACACACAATGAAATGCAATATCAAGAAACAGAGCATAGGATCTTTATGATTCTGGTCGTTTTAGGATCAGGAAACAGCGCATAGGATCATAGGATCCTGGTCACATGGGTATACAAAAAACATTTGTAGGCAACCTACCGACCAGGAACACAGTTATATCCTATCTAGATAAATCCTACATAACACACAGAAAGCAGTTTATAGATACTTACGTTTATTGAGGAGTTGACACAGTCCTCAATTACAAACATCTTCAAAGGATGTCTGATCAGCCAGGCTGTGGTTCACACATCAGACTGTGTACAGCTGCATCTAACACCCTTGGAGACTTGGTTAGAGACTGGGCCACAGGGATGTTGATCCCCAGAACCAAAACAAGGTAAATACGAAGTACAGTATTAACATCAACTGTACTGTATTAACTATCGTATTAACATCAACATATACATATGCTTGTAAATTTTAATTTACACAAATGGCTTGTGTAACCATTTTAATCTGAACAGGACTACCTTGGCTCAGATGAAACTGTTGACCGGAAGCAGCTTATCAGCAAAAAAGCAGATTGGGCACGCAATATCAATGAACCCCGAGCAGCTGCTGAAATGTATCTTTCTGCTGGTGAAGTTCATAAAGCTATTGAAATAATGGGTGAAAATGGATGGGAGGATATGTGAGTTATTATCACTTTAACCATGAGTCTCCCTTCTTGTTTAGCACTGTTCCAACCAATTGGGTGATCACAATATCTTAAATGTACTAACAATGCATTCAATAATTAGCTAGTACAAATAGTATATTTCTGAGCAATCCAAAGCAACTGCTTCCAAAGTCAGATGCTTTCTTAACATACTTATGTACAAAATCAGACTTTTTCTTGATGCACAAAAGTCATGTGATCCACTCCAGCACTAAAAGTTTGGTAAAAACATACATACATATTTACTGTACTATAATAGCAACTTTCTAAATTTTGATTGTAATATATATTTTCTGTTCAAAGGCTATTGGATGTTGGCCGTAAGACAGACAAAGCAGATAGTCAAACACTCAGTTTGTGTGCCCAGCATTTACATCGCCTTGGCTCTTTGACTCATGCAGCAGAAATGTACAAGTAAGTTGAACTTTTGTACTCATAGTTTGACTCATTACCCTCAAATTAATTTTGAAAGTCAGGTGTATGTTTGCCATATATGCATATGCATACATGTGTATGAGTGTACATGTGTAGTCATATATGTATATGAATGTATGTGCTTGATCATACACTTCATGTATGCCCTATGTAAAGACAATACATTTTAATATACTGTATTTGTGTTTTTTATAACTTTAGGAAAATGGGAGAGATAGAGAGTGTGATACAATTGTATGTTGAAGTGCAAGATTGGGAAGAAGCATTCATATGGGCAGATAAACATCCAGAGTTTCGTCAGATGGTTTATGTTCCCTATGCAACAACTTTAGCTGAGCAGGATAAGTTCTTGCAAGCTCAGAAAGGTTAGTGACCATTTCATTTGGCAACTACAGGAATTGGGGGAAAAAAAAAGCGAGTTTGTGGTGGGTATAATTCCAGCATAAACCTTAGAGGCTTACAGACAAAATAACATCATCATTTGGGAAACAGGTAAACATCATAATGGCATTTAATAATTTAAGCAAGGAATCTTTTAAGGCAATTTACACAGACTTTCCTGAGTGGATTTTCTCATTCCCTCACAAAGACACAGGAAGCAGGGTATTGTTATGATGATTTCCCTCTCCTCCTCCCTAGTAAGCCCCTTATTTTCCTTTTGTGTAGTTACTTCCTTTCAGGGAGGCACTGTTCAGCCCCTCCAGAAAACCAGCATTGAATGTATTGAAATGCAGCTTTCAGATTGGGCCTCAGTGGCCCCCTGGCTGCTCTTCCTTTCCAGTTGTGTCAATTTTTGTTTTTTTCAGCTTTGGACTGATAGTTTGACAATGTAGGAGATGGGAACTTCCTTTGGTGCTGCCACTTTTCGATGGCCAGCTGTAACTATGGGAGTTCGTTCTAACAGCCGTGTGAATCATTCGCTGCTTCAGTTCTTTTCTCCCTATGGACCTTGCAGATATCTGTGTTGTTTTGCCCATTTTCTGGATCTTTCCTTTGGTGAGGGTGATCATAACAATCCCCATCTCCCTGTGATCTGAGGGGGATCTAGTTCTGCTGCCCGTTAAGCCTGTCAGAATGCCTAAGGCTGATGTGACATACATGTGTGTAGCTACCTCTGTGAGCTAGCTTCCTTCAGGAAGACATAGAGGCCCAATCAGAAAGAAGCATTGCTTTACATTCAATTTTGTTTTTTTTCAGCCTTCCACAAGGCAGGTAGACCAGAAGAGGCATTCAGGGTGTTGGAGCAACTTACAATGAATGCTGTGAATGAAAATCGGTTTGATGATGCTGGGTACTACTTCTGGATGCTGTCCATGCAGTGTCTTGACATAGCTGCTGAGGAGTGAGTATTTTGATTTTACTCTTTGCTGTATTGTTGCTGTTTTTGAGCTGTCATTCTGCTTTTCTGAAAGGTTAATTATCTTGCATGCCAATTAAAAAGGATAATTATCTTGCTTTCTTACTGTCTGTCATGTGTGTGAGGAAAGTATGAACCAGTGGACCCCTGGGTTGGGGAAGGTCCTGCTGCCAGTTGGCACTGAGGTGGAGCTAGCTTGTTTGTGTCGGATTAGGTTAATCGAGAATTACCATTGGTTTTCACTGAACCAATGGTTGGTTTTAAGTGATTAGTTTTCACTGAACCTTTCAATTGTCTGTAATACTTTGTTTATTTTCTGGCTGATTTCTCAATGAAAGTGATCGTGACAATCCTCTGCTCAATGTGCATTCTTTGAGTTGGCCAGGTTCTGGTTTTGGTCTCTGGTAGGCCATACAGGACTCCTATGACTGATTTGACGCAATAGCGGGAAGGTTATCTTGGCAAGCTAGTTTCTGTGAGCCACCGAGGCCCAACAAGAAAATGTGTATCAGTACAGTCAATGCATTTTTTTTTTTACTGCATGAGTACCTATCATTAGAGGCTCTGAATAAATATTTTTATTTAATTTAGTTTGATTTATATACATTAAAACTGCATATTGACTGATTACTAATGCTCTATAAACTCAACATTTATTATTTCATGAGATGAATGACCACTGTTCACCAGCTGTACTTATTTTCTCCTTAATGCATTTATGACAGTTCCATATGAAGGTTATTACCGAGACTTCGTTGCCTGTTCTACCCATTTTCTTTCTTTCAGGGAGGAGGAATATGATGCAATGATGAATAAATTCAAGGACTACCAAAAGAAAGCTTCAATGTATTATGCTTACCATACTATTCAGCGATATATGGTAAGGGTATTGACTGTATTACTTATCCATGTGATTACCTGTATCCATGCGAGGTGATATCAAGCTTTTGAACTCTTGCAGCCATCGAACACCTGCAGTGATTAATCCTCCATTTTCTAATGCTCTTTCAAATGTGCTCTTAAAAGTTGTGACTGGAGTTAGTCTTCTTCTACTTTTGCTCTTTGTTCATTTTGCTTGCTTACCACCCTTACTACAAAAGAGTACTTTCCTACCTGTTCCCCTCATTTTATTTCCCCCTGCTGCGGAATACTACATCTGTCGACCTCATCTATCTCCTTCAGAATCTTATTTGTTGTTCTTATATTTACTGTGGCGCTTCTGTCTTCTAGTGTTGTCAGATTGAGATACCTGAGCCTCTATTCTTAGTCTAGCTTTCTTCACTTGGACTCCAGTCTAGTAGCAAATTTCTGGGTTTTTTAAATCTTTTTGTTCATCATAAGGTTTCATTCCAGGTCTGTGTATTCTAAGAGTACCTTTATATAGGTTGTGTATAGTGCTCTGAATTACTTACTGTTTAAGTTTTTGAAGGTCGTTCATATGTTTGACTTTTGTTTGCACATTGTGCTGGTTATTGTTTGTATGTATCTATCTTCATTGTTAAGTCTGGTGTCCATGACTATGTTCTCCTCTTTCTCTGATTCCTGTTACATTTACTGGATTTGAACCCTAACCTTCAGGTCTTCTCTGTTTTTACCCATCTTATAAGCTTTATATGACTTACAATTATTTTCACTAAGGATACATACATTAACAATGTTCATTAGTTAAATGTTCTCTCACATTGTCACATTGAATATACTGTACTGTATAATAATTATTTTTTTCCAGGATGAACCTTTTACATCCTATATGCCTGAGGCTTTGTTCAACATTTCAAGGTTCTTGGTGCATGAACTAGTGACTACACAACCAACTGGAATCTCCAAGTTGTATCCTTTATTTATATGAAGAAATTTAGATAATTGTATAATTACAGTGTATGCTATCTTCATGTCACATTATTTTGTCACTGTTTTACATAAATAAAATGTTGTATAGGGTGTTAAGCAGAGTGAGACACTACTTTCTGAAGCAGCCGTTCAAATGCCATTTTGTATCCAAAGTCATTGAACTACCAAGACACACTCATATTACTTGGTCGATATGGGGGACACACTCATATTGGGGGAGCCGGTCAGCCGAGCGGACATCACACTGGACTTGTGATCCTGTGGTCCCGGGTTCAATCCTGGGCGCTGGCGAGAAACAGTGGGCAGAGTTTCTTTCACCCTATGCCCCTGTTACCTAGCAGTAAAATAGGTACCTGGGAGTTAGTCAGCTGTCACGGGCCGCTTCCTGGGGGTGGAGGCCTGGTCGAGGACCGGGCCGCAGGGACACTAAAAGCCCCGAAATCATCTCAAGAAGATAGGCTGATGACCAAACCACACGTCAGAAGATGGAGAAACGACGACGTTTCAGTCCCTCCTAGATCATTATCAAGTTGTATTTCTCACATACGACTCGATAATAGTCCAGAACACACCAAAACGTTGTCGTTTTTCCATCTTCTGATGTGTGGTTTGGTCATCAAATCTTCAGCCACATTATTGGGACTCAAACTCTGCATTGCTAGGCTCTTGTGACCTTGCCATGCCTGATAAGAATCATTGCCAGTTGTCTTATCAGGAATAAAGGTAGGACAGGGGACACAGTCATGAGTTTAACTCAAGCCACCACTGATAGGTCAGCCCATATATAATGCACAGCAGGAAATAATACTCTGTGTCCCTAACAAATGCTAATTAGTATGTAATACAAGGATCAGTACATAATTAGTGTTCTGACCTAAAACTATCAGCAGTTCTACCCATTGTTGGTTGGCAAAATCCTACATGTAAAGACAGTGTTAGGGAGGCACTTCGACATTTTCAGCATAGTCTACCCAATCAAGCTTGGGAAAACAGGACAAAAAGTTTGGAAATGGGAGAATCCAAGGGATTATTTCAGAAAGTGTTTTACCACACTTGATACACTATTTCTGAGCTAGGACTCCACTTATGCTACTTCAAGCCACTGCCATATATCAAGACAAAAGATAAAAATAAAAGCATTAGATATAGCACAAACCCAAGTAATAGATAAGAGAGCTGGGCTATCATGGAGTGGAGAAGAATGGGGATCATTTGTTTACATGTGCGAGTCTACCATTGTGGATTGGGTACAAGAGACTGAGGTCCATATCTTGATGATTTGGACAAAAAATTTTGGGAAGAACCAAGCCATGAAAGATCCAGTTAAATTCCATAAACCATAGCTTTAAAAGCAAGTAAAGGCATATGAGAGAAGAAGCCATGAATGTAGCGTATCTCTGAAAGAAAAATGAATGAAAAAACCCTCTGGCCAAGGCATAGAACAACCAATGTAAAATTCTGGAACAGATGCATACTGTTCAAACATGGTCCCAAGGATTGTTGTGCAAGGAATAGAGTTACAGCAAAACTGGCATGAGATGTCCAAAGACACCTGTTTTGCTGCAGGAACTGTCTTGCAGTGGTGGATGCATTGTTTGGAGGGTTTTGGAAGTCTAACAGGGTCCTGGTAGCTCATTATCTGGTCACTGTCCCTAGTTCCCTTGGAGCTTGTGTTGCCCTGGGTAAGGTTTCCCACCCTTGGTTCTCTTCCTCATGAGTCTAATTCCTCGCTCTTCCCCCTGGTAAGTCCCAGTTTCATACTTCTGTGGTTAGTTACCCACAGGGAGCCACCATTCGACCCCTTCAAAAACTAAGCATTGACTGTAATGAAATCTCTCTCTCTCTCTGGTTGGGCCTCAGTGGCTCCCTGGTTCCTGCTTCCATTCCAGGTGCGTCAATTGGTGGTCTTGGGCTCTGGACTGACTGGTGTTGACATGGGAGCTGGCACCTCCTGGTGTGCTGCCACCTTGTGATCACTGGTAACCAGTGAAATTTGAACTAGCTACTTGCAGTCATTTGCTGCTTTATTTCTCTTTTCTTTGTTAACCTTGCAGGTAGCTGTGTTTTGATTACTTTCTGGAGGTTTCCTGTGGTGAGGGTGATTGCTAAGAATCTCCTGTGACTGTAAAGAGGCCAGGTTCTGATTTTGGTCTCCAGTAGACTATTAAGGATTCCTGGGGCTGATGTAACTCATTTATGTAGAAATGTATCTGTTCAGCTATCTACAGGGAGCCATCGAGGCCCAATTAGAAGAGGATATTCATTACATTTAACACTGGTTTTGGGGGTAAGATTGGGTATTTTATGGCCTTTCATTATTTTCATCATGTTGCTTCAGTAATGAGTTGATCTCTCATAACCATGTATTTACCTGCTTTTGAGTGAGCAAATAAAGATGACTGTGGCCTATGCAGGAAGAAAATTTATGGAATATCTGGCATGGTTGTGCCTGTCCAGTATTGATCGGTGCAAAACATTGAGAAGCTACTCAGGTGTGGCTCTAGAAGAGGCTCATTACTCTCAACATTATTTTTCCTTACCGAATCTTCAGCTCTACAATGTACACCCTATCAAAACAAGCAAGGAATCTTGAGGCTTATAAACTAGCCCGTTATGTATTGGACAAGCTGCAAACACTTCGCATACCTCCACGATTTAAGGTAACACAATTTAGGATTTTATTTATGGAAGAGATGTACTGTACATATATGCAAACCATCAAATTTTGTGTATAATGAAATTAAAACCGGAGAGAGGGGGGATGGTGTGGGAGGGTAATATGAATAAGTCTGTATCTGAATACAATGTGTTGACATGTACCACACGATATTAAATGTAATATGAATAAAGACGTCTTTATGAGATTTATATGTTAGCCGTTATAAATCAGAAGAATCATTTTGTTACAGGAAGATGTTGAGGTGGCAGCTCTTAAGATTCGTGCCAAACCTTTCCACGACAACGAGGAACACCAGCCACTCTGTTACCGTTGTTCCACTACCAACCCTCTAGTCAACAATAATGGCAACCAGTGTGTCAACTGCAGTCACCCCTTCGTTTACTCATTTGTGTCATTTGGTATGAAATTGCATCTTGGTAGTAGAGTTCTTTAAGGTGTACTCCCTATACAGTACAGAATGGTGTTAATCGTCTTCAAAGAAATATTCATAAAGGATTTAACAGTATCTAAATCACATTATAGTTCATCATTTAAAGTAAATGTAGAATAGGCACGGAGAACCTCCAGCACATAAACCATCTCTTACTGTTACCATTTTTAATACATTTTATTTCTGTTTTGTCAGACTTTCCTGTGAGGAAAGGCTGGTGGCATTAAAACAACAAAACTGATAGAGAAGAAAGTGATGTGTTATTACTTAAATATAGTTAAAGGATGAGAGCTACACTTGTGGTGTCTCATCTTCCCTGCAATCTTTGTCATGTGATACTTTGAAAATGCCATTGGTTTTGGCATTCACCACCACCTGTGTGAGGAGCATATGCGGTGATTCCAGTTTCAGAATCACTTTTAATTACATACTGAAACACTAAAGAAACTGTTCATGTCTTTTGTGAGATCAAAATTAGAATATGCAGCAGTTGTATAGTGCCCATAACTCGAGAAGCACATCAATAAACTGGAAAATGTACCAAAGACACGCAACTAAATGTCTCCCAGAACTGAAAACATGAGCTGATAGAAGAAGAGAGGTGATACGATCACTATGTACAAAGTAGTAACAGGAATCAACAAAACTGACAAAGAAGAATTTTTGAAAACTGCAAGTTTATGAACAAAAGGACATAGGTTCTAACTAAGGAAACAAAGCTGCCCCCCCCAAAATTAGGACATTCACTTTTGTATCTGTGGTACATTTGGGGCAAAAGAAAATGTGATGGAGGCCAAAACCATAAGTAGTTTCAAAGCATCCTATGACAAAAAGTACTGGCAAGATGGGACACAAGTGTAGTTCTCATCCTGTAACTTCACTTAGGTAATGACACACATACAAACATACAGTTCTGTATATTCATACCATATCTCTGTACAGTATATACTGTTCAATCTCTGATATGTATTTATTTTATATTTTCTAATTCAAAATTACCAGTACAGTTTGATTTAAAAATCTGACAATAAATCTTTGCAACAGAAATTCTGCCACTTGTAGAATTTGTCCTAGAAGAAGGAATCACTGATGAGGAAGCAGTTCGACTCATCCAGCACTCAGGTGGAGGAGGTAGTGCGAGAGATAAGAAAGGCTCAGTGGGAGAAAATGATGATGAGGAGGAAGATAACCATTGGAAGCAAACAGATTCAGGAGGTGCCCAGGCCCTTACCCTGGACACTTCTCCAACACATTCACAGAATGATGACGACCCCTTCACAGCTAATCTTATGAACTTTTATGTACGTAGTGTTACTGTAATGTTTGCAATTTGATTAATGAAAATCTTTTGCTGTCATCTTAATTTGTTTTTAACATGACTGTAATATGTTTTTCACAATGCTGAAGGTACAGTACCAGTGTTGCTACCTATGTGAACTTTAATAAGGAGTGTTGATATGAGCTCCTGGGGCCAGATTCACGCAGCAGCTACACAAGTACTTACGAACATGTACATCTTTCCTCAATCTTTGATGCCTTTGGTTAAATTTATTAAACAGTTTACAAGTAAGAAAACTTGCCAATCAACTGTTGTTATTGGTATAAACAGCCTCCTGGTGCTTTGGAACTCATTAACTGTTTAATAATTGTAAACAAAGCCGCCAAAGATTGAGAAAAGGTGTACACGTTCGTAAGTACTTGCGTAACTGCTTCGTGGATCTGGCCCCTGTTTATTAACAAATATAATAATTATATTAATAATAATGATGCAAGAAGAAATAACTTAAGACTTTATCTTCACTGAACATACAAAGTTTATAGAACAGTAGTAACAGAAGAATTTTTCCACTAGTATTCACAGAATGTTTACAAAAATCATTATCATTTGCAAAAATGATAATGCTTCTTAAATCACAACAAGAACATTAATTACTTAAATATTTTATAGTAATTACATTTATATGTTGGTAGTACAGTACTTCATTTCTCAATATAAATATTATAAGAAAAGGTTAAAGATATATTTTCAGAATTGAACATCTACACATATAGAAGAAAAGGCAATAATAATGTTTTGAAATAAGTGGAGACCATGACAAAAGACCAGTTAAACAGAAGAGAACCGAAGGGGGGAGGATTAGAGGAAGGTATGAATTGGTTAATATGTTAAAAAGCCTGATACAGGTGGAAGGGTTTCATACATGTTCAGATATTGGGGTGAGGTGATGGGGATAAGTTGCTACTGGCATATTGGTCTGTAGATGATGCAGTGTTCTTCGTTAAAATTCAGGACATATTTGAAATGATTGTGAATGAGTTTGATGGCATTTACAAAAGTTGTTCCAAGCAAATGATGTTCTGTTTCCTCTAGAGTTATGGCATTGTTCATTTGAATTAGTGGGAAAGGAATGTTCTGGTTTGGAACATAACATTTAGTCATGCATTTAAATTGTGAATTAAATGTACATACCATATATGGGAGTAGAGAATTGGAATACTGTAAATACTTAATACAATGTCCTCACTTCATTGACCCATTTCAACTCTGGGTATTCGTAATATCTTTTGAATTACAGTATAATAACTGCAAATATGAAAAAAGGTATTCATGGAAAAGATATTTTCATAACTGAAAATATCTTTTGTATATACTGTACAGTAATGATGTAATAAACAACATAAATGACTAATCCAAAGTTGGTTAATCCATAATGTATTTTGCTACAATGCTTGTTGATATTTTGTTTGTTTAGTGACCCGTCATAGTTTAATTTTTAAATTTTTTTCACATCGTTGCCTTCAATGCTTACAGGGAGGGTCCGAGTACCAGCCAGTAACTCTTGGGCAGTCAGCCCTAATGGTTATGGAACCACACGATATAATAATATGCAAGTGGCCAAAACCTCTCAAATTCCAGTACTTCAAAAACATCATGCCTGACATGCCTATTACACACTGCATCCATTGTAACAAGGTAACAATTGTTTTTTATTCTTACTAGTGATTGTGAACTTTGTGCAATGAAAGTGTTTTTTTGTAGCAGATATGAAAGTTGATGGAGCTGTAGGAGTTTAGTGATGTATTGTGGGATGGTGCATAGCCACACATCTGTACATGGAAGTTACTCCATACATAAACTGTAGGAATAGCATCAAAGGATATTAGAGGGCTGGTGATGCTTAAAATGCCCAGTGAATTCGTAATGTGTAATACAACAATTACAATCACAGAAAACTGCAGAAAACCATGGCCTCTCTAAAACTAATTGTAGAAAACTACAATTACAAAAAACTATGGCCTCTCATGGGGTGAACTCATGAAGTCACTGGAGAATTCATGATCAGAGTAGGGAAAACAAGTGGGGCTTGAAAAACATTATTGTTAAACAGATACCAAAGTTTTGGAATTTAGAAGTGGGACTTTCTACAGCCGGTGCCTCGAAGATATTCAACAACATCAGCAAAGGGACGGAGATTCTAATGTGGAAACCTTGTGTGTCTTGTAGTTGTCCGTATTTCTTCATTTACTTATGGATGTCTTCTTGGTGAGGGTGATCATATCACCCTTCTCCTTATGCCTCTGTGAGGGGGGACAGGGGGCAGGTTCTAGCTCTAGTCCTCGAGAGGCCATTCAAGACTCCTAAGGTTGATCTGATTCATCAGTGTGGAGCTATCTCGGCGAACTAGTTTCGGGGAGCCACTGTTTGGCTCCTCTAGAAAGGACAGAAAGTCATCCAAGAAACAGACAAAAACACAAAATACTTCTTTATTTATATGTAAAGAACACATCCAAAGCCTGTGCCATTATCTTAGTATCTTACCTTACCTTAAAAGAAGTACCTTACTTACAAGAAGAGGTACATATACCATATAAGATAAAAAATGAACAAAATCCTAAGAGAACAATATGAATCTATGTTTAGCAATGCAAAGAACACTATGCAAGTAAAAGACTGATAACTTCATGATCTCAGTCCATACAAAATGGCAGATGTTAAATTAAAAAAACAGAAAACAAAAACACACAGCTCTTGAAAAAGAAATATGTAGGCTATATGCCGAAGCACTCGGCTCAAATGTCAGGTTTCTAAAAGTTGTTGTTTACAAAGAAGCACAAAATACCATCAGCACAGGTACTTGGTATAATGTGGAGGAATAAGACTGGCGACATTCTGCAAACCCTTAAAACTACGGACATTGCCCCACTTCACAAGAGAGGTAATAAAACACTGGCATAAAATTACAGACCTGTTGCTCTGACATCACGCGTCATTGAGGTTTTCCTTTTCACTCTTTTTATACCCTTTATACCTTTTTATACCCCTTTTATTTTTCCACATATGTTATCAGTACTGTATGGTTGTTACTGTTTTCCTCATGTTGACATATGACCTTCATTTGTATGTAGACTAATGCAAATTAAATTCATTAATGACACATAAGAAATTAAGAATACAAAATTTATCCAGCAATTCTTTGGTGTTAATCACATGAATCTTTTGCCAATTAAAATGTATTTCTATTTCAGATGTTTCACACAGATGATTATACACTTCAAGTTCTTCAAAAAGGTCATTGCCCCTTTTGCCGAACACCTATTGGAGAAAATTTAGAGAACAATGATTAAAGGTAAATCATTTTCTGTAACGTTTGCTTAAGTAAACACAGTTCATAAGAAATAATTAAACAATTATTTATTTTAATTTTGTTCAAAACTGAAGCATTTAGAGATGTTAATGTGCTTTAATGGTAATACAATGTACTGTTGGTCACAGTAATTTTAAAGTAAACAATCCTGTACTAATATATCTTGAACATATTCTGCATAATTGATGCAGAGTAAACCAGACATTGAATGTAATAAAATGCCTCTTTCTGGGGTGGTGTTTTTCACCACCAAGGATATTACTTGGTGAGGGTGATCATAACACTGCGCTGCTTCCTGAGCCTCTGCAAGGGGGACCAGATTCTGGCTCTGGTACCCAGAAGGCCGTACAGCCTCCTAAGGCTGATGAGAGTCATGTGTGGGGCTTGGTGGCTCCCTGTTGCTAGCTGCACTGCGATAGTTCCATTTAGTCACATCAGCCCTCGAGTCATTAACCCTCGAAGTGTTTTTATTATCATATGTTAATTCATGAGGTAATGTGATTATAATCGTAACCGCATTACTTCATGCCGTTAATGATGATATTTAAACTATTACTGCCTGGGTTTTGTACCAATGATGCTAATATGGATATAGTGGAGTTTACCTTGACTCCTGAAAAACTCCTGATATTGTTTCGTGATTGCTTACTATGCCAATGTAGTAATCATGGTATAAAATTACATTATAATTACATGAAATGTATATAAATTATATTTATATGGTTTCCACAATTCTCTATGGTTGTAATGATGTATACCAGGTCAATCAATCATGATTTGAACATAATACAGGAACTGCAGAAGTCCTATTGGCCCATACAGTGACAGCTAGTAAGACTTCTCTCACTGTAACTTATGTATTAACAATATATTATTATAAATGAGGTAGGGTGCTTTGTTAATTAAACAAAAAAATTAACATTGGTTTACCACAGGATAATAACAGTTGTAATTTATGCTTGAAAGTCACACATCCCCCATACACTTAATACACACCATTTATCTACTAGAAGCAAAATATGGACACAGTGCAAGTATTTCTGATATTTTATCATTTATAATAACATGATTTGCCATTCATATAATGTAAGTTTAGTTTTATCTCTAAATGGCTCAATTTTGTCAGTTTAATATGTAATGCTCTTTTGTGTGTGTGTCCCTGTCTTGAGTCCACACACTTTACTCTTTCCTTTGTCTAGACCACCATACAAACCAAGATGCCTGATACACTTGTAGCCAAGCTGTATTTGAGTTGCGACAATATCTGTTAGTATATTGATTTTGATACCCCATACAAGACTTTAGTTTTAATTCATTTGATTGTGATATATAAATGAAAAGTGATGTACTTGGCACTGCATGCATAGCAAGTTATAGCTGTTGATAGATTGATGCACTGTAATCTTTGCTAATGTCAAGTCTCCTTTATTTCAGGTGACATCACTGAATGGAGTTGCTACATTCCTTACAATATATATATACATACTGTATATATTTATCTATTCTAGTTATAATAAAAAATCTGCATTCCTTTTCTGGAGGGGCTGAGTGGTGGCTAGTTCATTAAGGTAGCTCCACAGATGAGCCACATCAGCCCTAGGAGAGTCTATTGCATACCAGAGACCAGAACCTTGGCTCTCCATCACTGGGGCTCAGGGAGCCGGGGATTGTTACGATCACCCTCACCAAGGAAACATCCAGAAAGTAAGTGAAGCAAGATAGACAACTGTAAGGTTCACAGAGAGAAAAGAAATGAAGCAGAAAACGTACAGCAGTACAGACATCTGTACTGCTTCAGTAGACATGTTGTTTGTTATTCCAGTTTCCTTGGCCTCCTGTTCCAAGGCTCATTTGTCTCAGGATGTCCACAGTGTCATTGAGTCTAATCAGCCTGCTGTCTTCCCTTGTGCCCATGCTGTTTGCATGTCTGAAGCTTTGACAGCAGTGTTTTCCAACATGTCATATGATATTCGTGCTCAGGGATTTTGGAGGTTTAACAGGATCCTGGAAGATCATTACCTGGTCAGTGTTCCTAGTCCATGTCAAGTTTGTATTGTCCTGGGGTCGGGTTTCTTGTCCTTGATTTTTGTCTTCAGTCTCCTCCCTGGAGAGTCCCAGTTTTCCATGGTTAGTTAGCTACTGGGAGCCATCATTTATTCCCTTCAGAGAACCAGCATCTAATGTAATGATATGCATTTTCTGCTTGGGGCCTCATTGACTCGCTGGTTCTTCCTTTTTATTTTGATGTTCATCAATAGGTGGATTTTTCAGTTCCAGACTGAGCTCTGTTGACAGGGAGAGCCAGAGCTCGGGTTATTCTGCCACCTAGTGGTGGCTAGCTGTAACTAATTGTTTTGACTTAACTGCTATCTTCTTGAGGTTATCTTGAGATGATTTCGGGGCTTTTAGTGTCCCCGCGGCCCGGTCCTCGACCAGGCCTCCACCCCCCAGGAAGCAGCCCGTGACAGCTGATTAACACCCAGGTACCTATTTTACTGCTAGGTAACAGGGGCATAGGGTGAAAGAAACTCTGCCCATTGATTGACTGTTCGATCCCGGCGCCTGGGATCGAACCCGGGACCACAGGATCACAACTCCAGCGTGCTGTCCGCTCGGCCGACCGGCTCCCCGGGTGGGTGGATAGTTTGCTGCTTTTTATTCTTTTCTGTCTGTGAACCTTGCAGCTGTATGTTTTGTTTGGCTTACTTTCTGGATATTACCTTGGTGAGGGTGATCATAACAATGCCCTGCTTCCCGAGCCTCTGCGAGGGGGGCCAGATTCTGGCTCTGGTACCCAGGCGGCCATATGACCTCCTTAGGGCTGATGCAAGTCATGTGTGGAGCTACTTCAGCGAGCTAGTTACAGGAAGCCACTGAGGCCCTACCAGAAAGTGGAATTTCATTACATTCAATGCTGGATTTTTAATTATAGCAATTGGATATGCATGCATTAAAGTAGTTGTATGACATTGTCTTAAATGCATTATATTACTTTTAAGATTAAAAATATTTTTGTTATTACAGGATTATGATTATTTGACAATCTCACTGACAAAACAGTTTTTACAATTAACATTGACCTAAACCAAGAAGCGGTTAAAAATGTGGTAGACTGAAATACTGTATTACATACTGATTGTGTAAGCAACCAAATGCCAGTAAAGGGTGTCAAATATTGTATTAATTCTGATAAATATTGATGATTAGAGTTTTGTACAAGGAATGCAATTGAGAAAGTTACATAATTTGTTGTAGTTTTTAATAAACTGAAAGCCCAGAATGGAATATACAGTACACAACTCTGATACAAGGCTAAGAGGAACACTAATACTATACTTGTTGAAAATTACCAAGATTTATATACAATTAAGTGATGTTTAGTGTCTGCTTGTAATTTTTTCTGGGGCTTAGTTGCATTTATTCTAGTCATATTTATTTTGCTGCTGGTTTCTGGAGGGGCTGAACAGTAGCTCCCTGTAGATAGTCACACGGAGATAGCTCCTCACATCTGAGTCACATCACCCCTACGAGTCCTTCATAGCCTACCAGAGACCAGAGGTCAAAACTGTCCCCCATCCCACCGCACAGAGGTGGAGGGAGAAGGGGATCTTTGATCACCCTCACAAAGAAAGAAAACAAAGCCCCAGAAAGAAAACAAAGCAAGTCAAGACAACTGAAAGATTCCCAGAAAATAAATAAATGAAGCAGAAAACAACTCCGAAACAATCCACCTAGTAGTTAGGTCATACTGCTCCCTCCCCCACCTAGTTGATCACTGCCACATGGCAGTACTAAGGGAGCAGCCAGCTCCCCCTACCAACAATCCTCAGTCCTTTCCCTTGATATCTGATGATTCGGACCGCTCCTTGAGTTGCCAGATATTCTCAATAGGTATTGGTCATCCTTTTGACTCTCAAGTGGGAGTTAATTTGCTTGTGCACTGTCCTAATATTTAGTGTTTGCTTTACCTGTGTGTGTTTACAAGCTTTACTTAATCCAATGTGTGGACTTTGGAAATGTCATCTTGAGCTACATGTGCTTAGGGTTTTCCTTCCCTAGGTACTCATTGATGATGCCCCAGGACTGACAAGGTTGCTTCCCTGGTGTGTTTGGGTGTTTGTCCAACAGAGGCTCGCCTACTGTGTAGAATGCCTCACCCTGAGTAGTGCAAGGGTCATTAACTCTTCTGTAAGGCTCTAGGGGGGTCGACATTCTGGAGTTTATTGCCAGAATTATTTGAGAGGTGAGGTATGAGTGTAAGGGGAGAGAATGTAAGGTGAAGTTGTGTATTGGGTGAAACACAGTACACAGAGCTGATGAGGACATGTTAGCTGAATGACCGAGGATCATTTAACGAAAAGGTTGTCCAAAGGATTATAAAAAGGGATGATATGACAGAGGCAGATGACCAGTATTGTGAAAGTGGAAAAGTGGAACAATACATGAAAGGATGAAGGGAATGATCAGTGTTTGAATGAGTGAATGGCTTGTGTAGTGATAGTGCCTCCTGGAAAAATGGAGAAATGTTGCTGTGGTCCCCAGAGAAAGGGGAGGTGGCTTTAGATGAGCATGTATTGTATCAGTTATCTTTGTATGCTTATTTTAAAAAATGGAGGTGCTTTATTTTAATGTCATTGTGGTTTTCCGTCCATCTGCTGCTGCAGCCACCATTACCACTATCATTACTATTGCTTCTATTACTACATCTACTATTATATTACTACTGGTAGTGTCTTGAGTGATTGACCTAGAACATGTCATAACTATATTACAGTTGTATACTCTACTGTATTATTGTATCTCTTAGATGTAGAATGATGAATGAAGATAATATATTTATGAGGTATTCGTGTCTTTGTTTACAATTATTAAACAGTTAATGAGCTCCGAAGCACCAGGAGGCTGTTTATAACAATAACAACAGTTGATTGGGAACTTTTCATGCTTGTAAGCTGTTACAAAAATGTAACCAAAGCTGTCAAAGATTGAGGAAAGAAGTACTTGTTCATAAGTACTTGCGTAACCGCTTCGTGAATCTGGCCCCAGCTGTATAAAACTAAATATTAATTGTTAATGATTGATATGTACATTTACTGGTAACTTGCTTTGTTCTCAATGTTTGGATGCTTACTGTAAGAGTTTATAAAAATGTTTGATATAAAATGTTGCCATGTGTATATAAACTGTATTATAGAATTTTTAATACAGTATCTTGTTTTTTACATCATAAGTGTAGTGCATATTTAACATTGTGCAGTGCATACTTGAAGTAGGAATCATATGGCATTACTCAGCACCGTGGTAAATACAGTAACGTGATGTTTATTAGCTTAAAATATATATATTTTTTTTAAGAATGAATAGACATTGTAAGTATCTTGTGAAGCTGTGCCATAGCTATATACTACCATACCAAATTTTATAACTGCTATGACAAATATAAGTTGATGTAATCTAGTCCATCCAAATGAATTTATTTTACAGCATATTTTGTGAGCATAATATTTTGGTGAAGCACAAATAAAAGCTAATGCATTTTATCAGTTGTTTTTTAACCAAAGAATTAATGTATTTTAAAACAACAGACATAAAATACAAGCTGAAGCCAACTCTATTATTGCCTTCAGTTTAACCCTTAGTGTGGTTATTACATGTTGATTCACAAAGTAATGCAGTTATCACGCATTAATAATGTCTGAAATTATCTAAAATTGTCTGCTTTTTATACCCATGATGCTAATATAAATTTGATACTTGTACAGTATATGGATGTAGTGGAGTGTACCTAGACCCACAAAAAAAATCCTGTTGTCATTTAATGATTGCTTACTATGCAAATTAGGTTATCACGAATGCAACTATGCCAATTTGGCAGTCATGATATAAAATTCCATTACAATCATATGAGTTGTATAATGATTATGTTCATATGATATTCAGAACTGAGTATGGTTGTAATGAAGTATACCAGGTCAACTTATCATCATTTGAACCATTATCATTTGACGCTTGTATCAGGGGCCTGCCGTCATCTTTAGGTAGAGCATTGGTGTTTCCCACTTTTGTTTGAATCCACACGATGCCAATGGTTTTGCCAAGGACCCAGTTTCAATAAATAAATACACAAATGAATGCAAATATTGGGTAAAGCCGTTTGCAATTCGCCACATGAGCGAACCCCCGTCCACCACACCACCTACAGTTCTTCCACCACCGAGCTTTCCTCTTCCCACTTCGAGTGAAGATGGTCCTGTTTCATTTCTGTGCTACTGTGTAGATCACTGGAAAGCTCAATACTCAAAATGTCGTCCTCACATTGCTTAGTAATACATGAATAAAGGTACTGCAGAAGGTATATTAACCTGTATTAGCAACTATTTACACCTAAGAACATGAAAATAAAGGGAACTGTATGTGAAATCATGCTAACATCATGTCTGCCCTCATCTACCCACCTGCCAGTCAGCCACTAATCCACCCACCCCACCTACCAGCCAGTCTCCTTGCCCACCTGCCTCTACTCCCACTCATGCCTGCCAGCCAGTTATCCATCCTGCCACCCTCACAAATATGACTAAAAAGTTACTGATATTTTAATATCTGCGGATTTATCGGAGCCCTGGATTTAACAACCTGGGAACAGCCCAATATAGGTCTTAAATTGAGTGGATAATGTATATTATATATACAGTACTGTGTATTATATTATATATACAGTACTGTGTGTGTAATATATATATATATACAGTATACTGATACTGTTTTAAACGACATGATAGTAAACAGTGTCAAAGGTCTTGATCAAAGATAAACAAATAGTTTCACTTTTTACTATTTTTTCTTATTTCTTTTTCAATTTGTTGTCCTAATTACAAATGGAGTAAGTGCAGAAGATAACAATATTTTCAAACTCGTGCACTTTTTTCTGGACATTTTAACAGACTCTTGACACGAGCTGTCAAGTTGCCGATACCTTTTTTCAGATAAAAAGTGTTTTATCTAAGCAGATAGCCTACAATTTAATTAAGATGGCTTTAGAATCTTATCTATGACGTAAGTCGAACTGATAAGAGAAAGGTAGGTGCGGCAGTGGAAGGTGCTCAGCCAGCCAGCAGAGTCACGGAGTTGGTACCCATCCAGTACCAGAATTAATTTTAGAAGGTTGGTTGTTATTTCTCTGAGATGTTAGCAGCGATGTGTTGGGAAGGAGGGAAGGACCATGTGCAAGACCTAAATTGTTTGTTACTGAGCACAAATTAATGTCAAACTTAGATTATATCTCATGTACCCCTTTATAAGTTAATTTATATTATTTTGGGAGGTAAGGCTGGGGACAGATACTAGAGCCTGTTATGTTATTCAGCATCATTTGCATTGTTAATTAGGGGGGGTATGAGGGGTGGAAGTGTTTGTATAGTTTTCTAAATGTAGTTTTAAGATGATAGTGTGAGCAAGGCATTTCGACTTCCTTAAAGTGCTTGTTATATGACTCTTTGAGATTGGTAACTATTAATTTTGGCATAAACCATCCTCTCAGTTTAACTGTTTCGATCATCTGCAAAAGAACTCTACAAAAGACCAGCATTGAATGTAATGAAATGCACTTTTCTGGGAGAGAGTTGGTGGCTTCCTGAAGCTGTATTTGCTGAGATAACTTCACATACACAGTCACATTACTCTTAAATAGTTCTGTTGGCCAATGGGGACCAGAGCCAGAACCTGCTTCCCTCACAGAGGCACAGAGGGCAGGGGATTGTTATAATCACCCTCACTGGAAAAGCAACCAGAAGCCGGCTTAATATGGAGCTCATGGACCACGATCTGACATACTATACTGTACCTGTATAGGAGGCCTGGTCGACGACCGGGCCGCGGGGACACTAAGCCCCGGAAGTACCTCAAGGTAACCTGGTAGGAGAGGAGGGAGTCAGGAAGCCAAAGGGGCTCACCTAATGGGTTTTTTCATTACATTCAACAATGGTTTTCATGGGAAGCCTCTTGGTCCCCTGAAGCTAACAACAAAGAAAGAAAAACAGAGGACTTTCCAGAGATGAGGAGAGGTGTCAGCCATAAAGTCTTAAAAGAAATAATGGGCCAGGAAGGCTGGCCCAGATGACTAACACAAGCCTGACTGGAATCAGCAAAGGAACCACCTACCCACTGAAGCTGTAAATGCCAAAACTGTGTTAAATTTTAAAATTCAACTGGAAAAGATCATCAGGGCAAATGTGGGGACCTTTGACAAGCTCCCGGCTTCCTGTCCTAGTCACGGTCACTAGTGTTAGTAGCCCTCAGATAAATATATGTATGTACAGTATGTATACAGTATATGTATTTACATTATGTATGTATGTATGGGTTATTCCAGTGCAGATTAAGACTTGTGATGATTCTTAGAAGACTCTCATTTCCTTTTTTGTGTGTGTTGCAGTGTGAGTGAGCAGCTATAGAGATGCAGGGTGTCTCAGGAGCTGCAGCAGTTGTAGTAATGCTGCTTGCTGCCACTACACTTGTCCTGGCCGACTATATCCAGAAAAGCATCCTTTGTGATGATATTGCAGCTATTTGTGAACACAATGGTATTGACAATGTGAGCATATGAGAACCTTCATATTTCAATTGTTGTCAGGTTTCATACAATCTGTTCACTTAATGTTTATTTCATAATAAGTTTGGATACTAAATTTTTCCTCGTCATTTGTTAAATTTGCCTAAAGATGATTAAGTTATCTATTTATCTATTCACTTTACTCCCTCCTGGAAGCTTTTAATTAAGGATTAAACACAAAAGAAGTTTCTCAATCATTCAAACCCTTTCTTTCATATATTGTTTAACTCTTCACGTCCAAAATACAATACTGTTCATCTGTCTCTACTATATAATCCCTTTATTTCATCCTTGTATGCCCTTCTCATCAATAATTCTTAGGCATTCTACTAACATGTCCATACCACTTCAGTGTATTATGCTTCACCTAATCCACATTTCATTTCCTCACCTCTTAGACTGATACCACATCTCTGATGTACAGTACTTCCTTACTGTTATACTATACTCATCCCACATACTTATACCACTTTTTTTTTATCTAAAAACATCATTGAATGTAATGAAATGAATCTTTCTGGTAGGTCCTTGGTGCCTCCTTGGTGCTTGCTATCTGGCAAGCTCCACCCAATTCAATCCATGCCAGGCCATTGAGTCATATATAAGCCTACTGGGAACCAGACACCAAAACCTGATCTCCCCTCTAATGAGGTGCAGGGACTAGGGGGATCCTAGATCACCCTAATCAAGGAAAGGGCACCAGATAAAAGGGGAAGAGTCAGTACTGATGACAGCAAGGTAAACAAACCATCAAAAATGGAATTGAAGCATCAAGAGTCACGAACCGCTATGTGAGTATTGAGCCCAGGAATCAGAGCCCACGTAAGAAGCAAGGCATAAATATGCAGTACAGTATATATATTGTGAAGCAAATATTAAAAATAAAAAAAAAGACAAAAGCAAAAGCACAGGAAAAAAAAAAAACATAGTCCAGGATAGCATGTACTTATCTAAAATTCTGGGACCTGAAAGGCATTGGAGTAGGAAGAGCAGTGCAAAAGCAAACATGTACTACATCCACACCAGGCAAAATGGTGGTATGGTTGGTGGTTCATGGAAGACGGTACATTCCCTGGTGGTGTGCAGTGGAACTAATGATAAAAATGCTTCACCACTGAGTGGTTTGGGTATCTCAGGGCTTCACTGTCCCATTTCATGCAGGTTGTTTACCTTGCTGGCATTTGTTTTGATTCTCCTCCTTTCTGGGAGGCCTTTTCTTGGTTAGGGTGATCTACTATCACCTCATTCCTTATGCCTCTTTACAGGTGGGGGCCAGAAACTCGGCCTCTGGTCCCTAGTAGGTTAATACATGACTCATAAGGCCCTGTGGTAGATTAAATTGAGTGGAACTTGCTAGGCACCAAGCACCATGGAGCCACACAGGATCCCTTCCCAGAAAAGTAAAAAAAAAAAAATACCTGTAACTATAAGCTACCAACATCGTAATCAGTTCCACCACAAATGGTGTAATAATGAAGCCACCACAGGAAGGTAAAAGCTAAGCCTTAGATGCCTTATTAGATAAGATATCCCACACCAAGGTGCTAACGATTCTCACGACAAATCTCTTCTAATACATGTGATGTGTTGCTCTTCCATTAGCATCCTCATTGGCCCTATTGTGTACAATGCAGTATTGCATATAATGTCACCTTAAACTATAAACATTTTTTACAGTAATAAAATCATTTACAGAGCATTGCTTATGTGCAATTCACAATCAAGAGTTAAATGTGTATTGTAATGTGCAAATCTGTTTATAATGTTTACAAATCATAAATCTTTTTAAGAATATACTGTAATATACCAATTTACCGAACAACTTTTATCTGTTCTGGTGTGGTGGCAATTTTAATGGTGTTGCTGTTGATGATGTGTGTGGTGCCTTAGCAAAAAAATGCAACGGAATGTGGTGAAAATCAAGAAAAATTTCTCAATCCTGAAGTATGCAACTGTGGGTCCACATGCATCAGTAACCTAGGTAAGGCAAAACTTGTTACAAATCCAGCAGAATTTAAAAGAATATTATGGTATAATGCAAAGCAGATGGTAAACCCTATTTGATTGTATCGTATTCAGGGACATGATCAAAGAAGTTTACACTGGGATGAACCAATGAGATGAAAGCAAGTGGCATCTCTGGGAGAACCACTACTGTGGTTCTCAAACAAATACGTGCATTCTAGCCCAAAGTGTCAAAGTAGGAGAAAGTATTGTGACATACCAATTTTAGGAAGTCTGGTGTTTAAGCTTCCACATAGCACAAGATATAAGGGTAAAATCAAGTAAAATTAAGGATACTGGTATTTATGAAGCCTTAAAAAAATGCAACATATATGATCCATAAAAAAACCAGCATTAGTATATCGAAATGCACTTATCTGGTTGGGTCTCGGTGGCTTCCTTTAGATAGCTCGCTGAGGTTGCTCCACACACGAGTCACATCAGCCCTATGAATCATTAATGGCCTACCGGAGACCACAACCAGAACCTGGCTCCCTCACAGAGGCTCATTGAGCAGGGTTACAATCACCCTTGCCAAGGAAACTTTGAGAAAGTAATTGAAGCAAAACAAACAACTACAAGTTTTACAGAGAGCAAAGAAATGAAGCAGCAAATGACTCTGTAGACCATCCATCCAGCAGTTAAGTAAAAACCACTAGTAACAAGTAGCCACCTGGGCTACTGGCAGCCCTAAATATGGCAGCCTTAAACACATGTAGCTCAAGGCGATAACTGGCTAAAGTTCACATAACAAGTGAGGCTTGTATACACATGCATGTGAGGCAATCATTAAATTTTGAAACTATACACAGTGCAAAAGATGCCCACAGGACCAAGCCCAAAGGACAGCTAACACTTATCTAGAAATTGGAATCTGCAAGCTGGCAATTCCAAGAGTTGTCACAGGCTGGACCGAGCTCTGCTGCCATGAGGAGCCAGGGCTCATTGGAGGTTCCTACCTGGCAGTGCCTAGCTGTGATTAATGGTCTTGATCTACTTGATGGGTGGATAAGTTTGTAGAGTCCTTTGCTACTTCAAGTCTTTTCTCCCTGTGAATCTTGCAGTTGTTTATTTGCCTCGCCTACTTTCTGGACGTTTCCTCGGTGAGGGTGATTGTAACAATCGCCTGTTCCCTAAGCCTCTGTGAGTGGGCCAGGTTCTCGCTCTAGTCTACGGTAGGCCATTAAAGACTCCTAAGACTGACCTATCTCATGTGTGGAACTACCTCAGCAAGCTAGCTACAGGGAGCCACTGTTTGGCCTCTCCAGAAATTATTCATATATACTTTCATGGAAGATATACAGTTATTAGTAGTGGTATGGTTGAAAACATGCAGTAAATGGTTTGATGGCAAGTTCTAAAACAATTTCCACAACATTCTGAAGTTTGAAATAACTTCAAACATTTCAAAATCTGAAGAGAACTATGTAAATTTTTGATTGTGAGTTTTTGTATTAACATATTTAGTTTACAAATAGTACATAAAATGATCTGTGCAATAATAGAGATCACCTGTAGCTACAGAGATAGTCATAATTGGCTAATTAATAAGTCTGTATAGTGTGTAAATTTTAAGATATATTAATGTATAAGGACAGGAAAATGGCACAGTACAAAACATGTACAGTAATGAAGAATATGGGTAAATGCTAATGAGAAATGTACATGTACAAATAAATTGTGAGAAGAAACATTTTTAAGATGTTTTATTTTATTTTATCTTCATTTATCTTTAATTTATTTTCTCCTATGAAGCCTAATTTTCTATTGGGTGATATTAGGTGCTCCAACAACCAAAGTTAATGTGGCTTGTGAAGACCTTTTTCTGGAAATGGATAGCCCTCGGTGTTCCATTTTGTGTGTAAGTAACGTATCCCCCTTGAATAATATTGTATATCAAATTCTGACATCAAAACCCCCCAATAGATAAAATATGATGTACAGTACTGTAAATCATAGCGGCTCATAAACTTTCGTGCTTTCTATGCGTAGATAACTCTGTTAGGTTAGGGTAGTTAGAACACCATTTCTATCCATTGTGGTCTCTCAAGAGGACAGGCTGGTGTACCACTTACTGTCCCTGCTGGGCCACAGAACCCCTCTCGTATTAATGAATTCCTGATGGAAAGTCAACACAAGAATGCAAAGCTAACCAAGGTTGGATGAATGTTGTATTCATACAGCACTATTAATCTTGCTATAATGCAAGATATATTACTGTATCAATAAGTTTTGATACTGTGTGAATATATCTTAAAAGATTAACTTATTTACTTCAGATGCTCCAAAATTTGCACACTGAATGTTGAAACAGTATATGATCAGGTTAAATTTTATTTAAAGAAAATGACTCAGTCCTATTCATTATGGCTTCTTTGTACACAAAATATTTTTCTATGACTCATCTATACATGAACTTAGGCCCTTCTATTTCCTGAGACCAAAAACTGGCAATATTTGTTTGTGTCAGGGGAGGGCGAGTCTTGCTACACATCATTCGCAACAAAGTACCCGACGGAGTTGTGTGGTCCCGGCCTCGAGTGTATTATCAGTGACCCCAACAATCCAGACTTAGCTGTCTGTACCAGAAGTCAGTGCTCATTAAATGTTCTTCATTAGTATTAAACTTTGTGCAGTTTTAAAGAAGTAACTAACTCGGACAATGCCAACTTTACATTCTAACATTTCTGCCATCTTTCTGCTAGTTAAAAGGTCTAGGCATCATAGAATTTTGGCTTAATCAATAGTTTGATATTCAATACTGTACTACTTTTTCTGTTGCAGAATATAAATGTTAAACTGCACCCAAAAATTGAATATACAGATGTATGGCATATCTTAAATTGTAGTAATGTGCTCTTGCCTTTCTAATAATGTATAACGTCTGATATTAACAACTGCAAGTATGATTTGTGTTATATATAAACAATAAGAAACAAGAGCATAAGGTGTGTGTGTGTGTGTGTGTGCCCATAGATCCAGCGAGGCAGTGCATCAACGAGACTTTGCAGTATGAGGATGACCAGGCGGCAGGCACCCTGGGCCCAGGACAATATAAGCCTAACTGTGACCAGTATGGAAAATACACTCCCAGACAGTGCACACCTGGTGGCACGTAGGTGTACTATTTACACATGGTTACTGAAAAACTTTTATTGTTAAATTACCATTTCAGTTTAACAAATACTGCTTTACATTATGTTTTTATTTGATATATAATTAGGCATAGTTTTACCAGAAACATATCTTTTACTTTAGTCCAAAACTTGTATTGACAGTAACATTATTACTTGTTATGTTACATATAAACTTCATTATGTCAATATATTATTCCTTAAATGTTATAAATCCTCTTGTCTCAAACTATAATTACGATACATAAAATATTTTTGTCTTAAGAATTTTTGGTTTAATTCCTCTCTACTGTCCCATCTCCCACTTTACTGACTATATTTTCATTGATCTTTAACTCAGCCTACTATCTTTTATTTATAATAACCATTTTAATATTTATATAAAACACAAAGACCATTCTTGCTGGACACACCACACAACCCAGCCAAGGTAAGCCCTATTTTAGTGTAATGCTGGTTTGTAACACACACTGATGATACTCTTTCTATGGCAGGTGTTACTGCGTGAACATAAAGGGCGAGAGACTGCCTGGGGAGGGATCCATATTCAAGCAAAATAATATTAGCTGTGGTGAGTTAAAAGCTCCTACCCCAGAGACATTAAATTTTATTTTACAGTATGTAAAGGTGTCTGTCATTGATATAAACACATACATACACTAGACTGATCATTAGTCTAACCCTATCTAACTTACAGTATCTATGCATGGTAGTTTAACTGTTGCAACTTCCTCAAGCTCATCACCACCCAGCAAACATCAGCTATCATAACTATAACATTCTGTATTCAGACAACACACAGCCCCTCTGTTTAAATCTCTATATACACAGCAGAGCAAATTACATGGAATGAGTGGTAGACAAGCAAAAAGACACGGATGGACACTGAACACCCATATGAGCAACGGATACATTAAAAAAAAAAAAATAATAGAACATTTTCAGTATCAGAGTGATAACCAAATGAGATGCCATAAGAAGGGGAAGAGGCAAAGGTAGATTCTATACACAGTTTCAAATGTAAATACTACAATATAATAGAACCCAATAAGCTCAGGTGCCGGTAGATGCAAGACCAAAGTGCCAAAGTTTCCCTCCCAGCAGGCACAATTATTGAAGTACAATTAGGTAAGAACAGTATACTGTATACAGAAGCATGATTAGTGTTAAACAAGATGCTCAATTCAAAATAAATTTAGCGGTAATTATATGAACACCCAGTGAGACAGACTATCTGGGTTCAATTCCTTTATGGGCATGAGATTAACACTTTTTCTCTAAAGAAAACTCATTTTACAATTCCAACAGCATGTTCAGTGCACTGGGAGGAGATGAAGACCATGGGATTGAACTTGGGTATGAGATGCTTGCCCAATGGTAACTTTGATCCACTCCAGTGTTTAGACAACAAATGTTTCTGTTACGACGAAGTCACGAGCACCGTTTCCTACGGTCCCTTTTCATTTGACATGATTGAAAATATACCGTGTTGTAAGTAAAATATATATACGCTAGTATTTTTGTTTTATAAAATAAAATATATAAGTTGTTCCCCTCTACATTTTGAAGAATGTGTGTGCATGTCATTACATATTTGCAGTTACAAGTGTAGAGCTATACATGTCGAGTGCCATCTTTTTGTTTTACTATATTAATACCATATATATCTTGAGGTTATCTTGAGATGATTTTGGGGCTTTTAGTGTCCCCGCGGCCCGGTCCTCGACCAGGCGTCCACCCCCAGGAAGCAGCCCGTGACAGCTGGCTAACACCCAGGTACCTATTTTAATGCTAGGTAACAGGGGCATAGGTGAAAGACACTCTGCCCATTGTTTCTCGCCGGCGCCTGGGATTGAACCCAGGACCACAGGATCACAAGTCCAGCGTGCTGTCCGCTCGGCCGACCGGCTCCCCCTTATATTGCTTATATTGCTCCATCTACTCTGGCTTTAGTATTTACCAAGAAAAAAAAGTATATTTGATATTCAGTACAATTGGGCAAGAGCAATCATGTCCTTTAGGAAATCAAGTATGCAATGCATTATAAAGTAAAAGAGAAGAGGGAAAATGAAAGTTGAAAAACTTAAATTCAAGAGAGGAGACTATGGGCGAACTTAGCAAGCTTTGAATTTGATTGGAAAAATCTGTTGTTCGGCACAAAAGTAAATGAGATGTATGACAAATTTTCTGATATAAATGAAGACACAAAAAATTTATACAATACAGAAATGCAAATCTAGAAAACAGGATTGGTTCAACAGAAATTGTGAGAGGGCCAGAGATTAAAAGACAAAAGAAATGGAATGAGTACAGGAAGAGACCTAATCCTCAAACATATAAATGCTACAAACAAGCAAGAAAGAACTACATGGTAGTGAGAAGAGAGGCAGAAAGAAACTTTGAGAAAGGGGGTAGTAAACAAATGTATATTAGAACCAGGACTTTTGTTTATAAGTTTATTAATAGCAAGCTGCATGCAAGTGATAAAAAAATAGATTGAAAATTGAGAACAGATTCACAGAGAATGAACAGGAAATGTGTAAAACACTAAATGAAGTTCCAAAGTGTTTGAGCAAAATAAGATTTTCAGAGAACCAGAAACAAACCCAATTTCAGAGAACACCATAGAATACATAGAGGTGTCATGAGACAAAGTTGACAAAATACTTATGAAGCTAGGAAGTTGGCCCAGATGAAGTTTCACCTTGGGTTCTGAGAGAATGTGCACTGTGCTAAGCACTCCACTTCAATTGATATTTCAAACATCTTTATACAGTATACAGGAATCTTAGCAGATATATAGAAAATGCAAACAGTTCCAATCTACAAAAATGGTACAGTAGCAGAAAAGACCCTCTAAATTACAGACCAATAACGTTGACAAGCGTGGTAGTCAAAACACTAGAAAAAATAGTTTAAACCAAATGGGTAGAATACCTGGAGAGAAATGATACAATAACAGACAGTATGGCTTTTAAACAAGAAGATTCTGTTTAACTAATCTACTTACTCTCTATGATAGAGCTATAGAGATTTGACAGGAAAGACACAGTTGGGTTGAGTGTATTTATCTGGACCTAAAAAAATAAAAAAAACTTTTGACATAGTCCCACATAAGAGATTGTTCAAGAAGCTGGCACACACAGGAGAGGTGACAGGTAAACTGTTGACATGGATGAAAAAATTTCTAACTGTAAGAAAGATGAGGGTGATATTCAGAGACAATGTGTCAGACTGGAGAAATGTTACAAGTGGTGTACCACAGAGGTTCAGTTCTTGCACCAGTAATTTTCATTGTATGAATGATCAACCAGAAGATATAGAAAATTATATGAACATGTTTGCTGATGATGCTAAGCTACTGTACTAGGTAAGATAAGAAGCTTAGACGATTGTTATGCCCTTCAAGAAGGCCTGAACAAAATACAGTAAGTGCATGGAGCAACACTTGGTTGATGGAATTTAATGAGTAAATGCCAGATTATGGAATTTGAAATAAGAGAAAGTAGGCCACTCACAATCTACAAACTATGTGAAAAGGCTTTAAAGAATGCTGAGAGAGAGATCTAGAAGTCCTCTTGGATAGAAACCTGAGGACCACATAAAAAGCATTGTGAAAGGAGCAAATGCTTTAAAATTGCTTTTAAATTCAATCGATGGGAAAATATTAAGAAATTGTTCATGACCTCTGAGAGACCAAAATTGGAATATGAAGCAGTTGTATGGAGTCTATATCTCAAGAAGCACATCAATAAACTGATAAAGGTAGAACAACTAGATGACTTCCAGAACTGACAAACCAGAGGTTTGAAGAGATTTTAAGGTGTTAAATAAATATACCAAAACTAGAAGATAGAAGAATATGAGGCGATATGATCACTACATACAAAATAGTATCAGGAAGCGACAAAATTGATGAATTTTTGAAACCTGCCTCTACAAGAACATGAGGCCATAGACTCTAGCTAAACCATCAAATATGCCAATAAGACACTAGAAAGTTCTCTTGTGGAAGCAAAGTGGTAGACAATTGGAACAAGTGAGGTGGTGGTGGTGGATGCCAAAACCATCGGTAGTATTAAAGCATCGCATGACAGAGTATTGGTCAAGATGGGATGCCACAAGCATAGCTCTCATCCTGTAACTACACTAGGTCATTACATAATGCTAGTTACCCCCTTCTAATGTGTAAATAAATAGAGCTATAGTATTCCCTACATGTTTAACTAAAATGAAAACAACTCTTTTTTTTTTTAAACAATTATCACAGCTCTGGCTTTGATTTGGCAAGTTGTTATGATGCCACAAGCCATGGATCAAATGACCCCAACTCTGCAATTTCTAGGTGTGCACAAAACTCCCAATAAACTGATATTTTTCAATTTTCCTTTCTTTTTTTTACTTGCAAATACATCATTTTATATGAAAATATTTTTTTTTTATATATTTTTTTTGTGCATAGGCAAAGTGGTGCTGTTCACCATAGCTATGCACTTTGGAGGTTAACATCCACAAATAACTAAAAATTATAACTTATCTGGTTCTTTATATAAAAAAACACAATTAAGTGTTAATTTGTTTTTTTTTGAGACCATACACTGTTCATTGTATTAATCAGTAAACATTTTGGACTAGAAAGGATAGTCTCATGTAGTTGGTTTGTACATTTTTGTCCATACAGTATCCACTTTACTTGTCATGGTATAGTAATCATTGGTGAGCAAATGGAAACTAATCAAGCTTATACACAGGGTTTTCATGTAAGATCATTAAAGCCTTTTAGCCCTGAACATATTCTGTCCATGAATATGGCTCATCTTCCTTCAACTACTGTATTGTATTATTAAAATGCTACATTTTCTTCTTTTAAAATAACCAAGCTTTATTCCTTCTGTTTATGACTGTCTTTGTCAAGATATCCAAGAAATTTAGTTTGAAGCCTTAATTTAGACTTTCAAATACTGTACAAAATATCTAATATATATCAGGTGCTCATCCTGGAAGTCTTATCCTGACTATGATTATCTCCTCAATTTCATCAACCAAATATGAAGCCTACTGCATAAGACTTTCAATTGAGCAAACCACTTTAAGTACACTGTGTGTTTGTACTCCTCAGATCAATTTACATTTCTAATAACATATATTTATTTTATTTGAACCTCAGATGACCCCACAATACATAATAAAGAATACATCAACCCATGTCACAAGGCACTAGAAGAGTGGAATAACCAGGACACAAATGATACTATTGTTGTAAGAGGTAATGTTGCAATCATTATGCTGTATAATGCTTTATTTTCTTGAGGGGGCATCCTTAGGTGGCTTCTTGGTGCTTGCTGCCTGGCAAGCTCCGCTTTAATCTGCACCAAGTCCTATTGAGTCATACGTAAGCGTGCCAGGGACTGGAAGCCAAAACCTGGCTCCCACTATAGAGGTCCATGTACAAAGAGCTGGGGATTGTAAATCACCCTAACCAAACAGTCACCAGAAAGGGAAAACGAGTCAAAACAAGCTAGGTAAACAAACCATAGCAAACAGTAGAGCAAAGCCCTGAGATTCATGAACCCCTTTGTGAGGAAATTTTAATGTAATTCAACTTGCATGCCATCAGGGAATATACTCACCTAAATGTTCTTGCGGGGGTTGAGCTTTGGCGCTCTGGTCCCGCCTCTCAACTGTCAATCAACTTTGTACTTTCATGTGTACTTTCCTCCTTGAATCACCAACCATATCCTTCCCCCCCCCTTCCCAATCATGTGCCAGATGCACGTTTGTTGATGTTTGCCATCACACTCTTCCCACCCCAGTATACTACAGGTCCCAGCTTTCAAGCAAATGCTGGCCATCCTGGCCTGTGTCTTGCAGGAGCCATTTGCTTGTGTATTTGTTTAAAGTTTCAGTATTTGCTTCATGATGCATGTGTATACCTCACCAATTAACTTTTCATCTGGAATGGCATGTGTCCAGAGCTCACAGCTCTAGGGATTTGTTGATGTTGCCCTTGCCTGGTCAGTCACAATTTCAATCTCCGTGAGGTTTGGGGGGATGGTGACAAACCGGCTTTGTTTTAGGAGGGTGCTTTGCCCTTGACTGTACAATCATTTTTTTTACTCCCCTGAGAACTTGAGGTTGGTGGTGGTGGTGGTGGTGGTGGTGGTGGTGGGGGGGGGGGGGGGGGGGGAGGTTAGTTTTGATTATCTTTCAGGGTAACATGGGTTCCAGTGCTCGTTACATGGCATGCCGCTCTCGCCTTTAACATCAGTCCCCCCCCCCCCCAAGCTGTTTTTGGCATTTGTTAAGCGAGTGGCTCCTGTGCCCAGTGTTCCTGCTTGATCTACCCTTCGAGACCTGGAATACCTTTGCAGTGTTCAGTGTTTATTGGACAGTCAATCTCCAACTCTGCTCTCACAGGGTGAGAATTTGAAGGATGTTCCTCTGTTTCGATGTACTCTTATGGCCATTCCTACTGCCTTCATCATGTCTGTGGTTTGTTGGATCTATTTGAGCCATGCCTTCCTCTAGGTACTCAGCATATTAGGTGGCTACCGATGCACAAGCCAAGTTGTCTGTATTTGTATGTTTGCTCCCCTATCTCCATTCTGGGATTCAGCTGTTGCCATTTAGCAGGCCCAAGGGCAGCAGCTCATTGCTTCCAGGTCTGAAATGTCTGAGGGTTTCTGCAGCTATGTTTGGGTCCTCTCTTGGGACTGCCCCTTACCATTTTAATGGCAGATGTAGGTGAGCTGCTCATTCCCACCGAGGATCCACTTCCTTCAGTTTCTCAGGAGGGTTTTGCTGTCATGGATTCTTCCCTGTGGGAAGACTTTTCGTGTCTACATTTGAAGTGGATCATGGCTCTGCTTCTGTGCCCCTTCTCCCCATTCCTTGGGTGTCCAGGGCTGGGGAACATCTTGAGGTTATCTTGAGATGATTTCGGGGCTTTTAGTGTCCCCGCGGCCCGGTCCTCGACCATGCCTCCACCCCCAGGAAGCAGCCCGTGACAGCTGACTAACACCCAGGTACCTATTCTACTGCTAGGTAACAGGGGCATAGGGTGAAAGAAACTCTGCCCGTTGTTTCTCGCCGGCGCCTGGGATCGAACCCAGGACCATAGGATCACAAGTCCAGCGTGCTGTCCGCTCGGCCGACCGGCTCCCCTGGGGGGGGGGGGGGGGGGGGCAGGTCCTATATTGGTAACTTGATCAATTAAGATGTTACTTGCAGTGGCCTGCAGACCTACATATCCATTACAACCTAGCTAATCTGGCACTTGCTGCAGGAATTTGTTTAATTGCCTCTTAAAAACATCCACTTTCATTCCAACAATATATGTTGTACTTTCTGGAGAGGCAAGAATGGTACATTTCAAATGGTATGAGATGGTGCAAAGTAATTTGAGAGCTCTACTGTCTCTGCATGCTGTATATATTTTCTATATTCTGTGATTATTTTGGAGTATTTAAGGTGGGAACGCATTAGTGACTTCAAAATATGAGTATTCTGCCGATATCCTTAGATCTGAAGACTCATAATCCACAAAATTTTCTTGACAGATGCTAATCTTTACTCACTGATACTCGCTAAACATTAGGTTGTCTAACATTATTCTTGGACCCTTTACATGTTGTTTGCATTCTGCGAAATTTGATGACGTCTAGCTTGACTTCTTAATTTTTCCCATATTGAAATAAATCTTATTTATCACCGTTAAATATCATGTTTTCCGTTGCCAAGTGGAAAATTTTACATCTATAGTTTTTTAATGTTTTACATTGGAGCAACATTCATGCTGATTTTGGTATCATCTGCTCATGTTGCAGATTGCATATTTATTTTTATTGGCAGTATTGAACACAGTAATATCAGACTCCATAGTACCAAGGAAAAATGCACTATATAAAAAAATGTCACAATCTTGTATAGTACATAATGCACACAAAATAAAAGTTATGAGATTTACAAAATTCTAATGGCTATTTAGTTATAGTTGTCTTCTTTGTATCACAGAGCATTAAATCCATTTCACACTTGTCCACTGATATGTAATATTATTTCAGAAACATTGCAACCAATTTGCACTCCTGATGGTTATTATGCAGCAGTACAGTATGGCGGTAAAGATGCATACTGTGCAGACTTACATGGAAACCAAATTGAAAACTTTAGGCAGCCCATCACCACAGCACAGAATATGAACTGTCGTAAGTATTAACTATTGTGTAAAATACCGACTCAATGCATCAAGGAGGATTGTGCTGATATTGGTATTTAATAAAGTGAGACCCACACTGAGGCCTCACCAAAGTGAGTTAGGAAAGCTAGGCGAGTGGCTACTTCCTTACAGTAGACCTCGATGACTCAGGTGCCAGTCTAGGTGAGAGTAAATTGAACATGAGAATTTATAGTCTGAAAGGTCGGTCGATATCTCGGTCTCGGTCTCTCTCTCTTCCCTATCAATTTTATCAATTCCTGTTACTATCTTGTACGCAGTGATCATATCACCTTTTATTCTTCTATCTTCTAGTTTTGGCATATTTAATGCCTCTAACCTCTCCTCGTAGCTCTTGCCCTTCAGTTCTGGGAGTCACTTAGTAGCATGTCTTTGCACCTTTTCCAGTTTGTTGATGTGCTTCTTGAGATATGGGCACCACACAACCGCTGCATATTCTAGCTTTGGCTTAACAAAAGTCGTGAACAATTTCTTTAGTATTTTGCCATTCATGTATTAAAAAGCAATTCTGAAGTTAGAAAGCATGACAACGTTCTTTATGTGGTCCTCAGGTGATAGCTTTCTATCTAGAACCACCCCTAGATCTCTTTCTTTATCAGAATTCTTTAAAGATTTCTCACATAATTTATCAGTTGTATGGGGTCTATGTTCTCCTATTCCACATTCCATAACATGGCATTTATTCACATTAAATTCCATTTGCCAAGTGGTGCTCCATATACTTATTTTGTCCTAATCTTCTTGAAGGGCATGACAATCATCTAAGTTTCTTATCCTTCCTATTATCTTAGCATCATCAACAAACATGCTCATATAATTCTGTATTACATCTGGCAGATCATTTATGTAGACAATAAACATCACTGGTGCAAGAACGGAACCCTGTGGTACTCCACTTGTGACAATTCTCCAGTTCGATACATTACCTCTGATTAATGCCCTCCTTTTTCTACCAGTTAGAAAATTTTTCATCCATATTAGAAGCTTACCTGTTACCCCTCCAATATGTTCCAGTTTCCAGAACAACCTCTTATGTGGAACTCTGTCAAAAGCCTTTTTAGGTCCTGATAGATGCAGTCAACCCAACCATCTCTTTCTTGTAAAATCTCTGTGGCTCGGTCATAGAAACTGAGTAAATTCGATACACAGGATCTTTCAGACTGAAAACCATACTGTCTGTTTGATATTATATCATTTCTCTCCAGCTGTTCTACCCAATTAGTTTATTATTTTTTCCAATATTTTGACTATTACACTTGTCAATGATACAGATCTATATTTGAGGGGGGTCTTCTCTGCTGCCACTTTTGTAGATTGGAACTATGTTAGCCTTTTTCCACACATCTCCTACGACTCCTGTACACAGGGATGTCTCAAAAATCAGCTGAAGTGGAATGCAGAGCTCAGGTGCACATTCTCTCAGAACCCATGGTGAAACTCCATCTGGGCCAACTGCTTTGTTCTTACTTAGCTCCAAGAGCATTTGTTTCACTTCATCTCTAGACACCTCAATGTGCTCTATTTTGTTCTCTGGCATTCTTAGTGTCTGGTTCTCTGAAGATCTCATTTTGTACAAACACACTTTTGGAACAGTCCTGGATCTGATTTACATTTGTCTGCTATACCGTTCTCAAAGTTCCTCTCTGCCCTCTCTTTACTGACATGTAGTTGTTTTTCGCATCTTTGTATTCCTGGTATGTTTGGGGGTTTGGCCTCTTCCTATAATGATTCCATGCTTGTGTCATTTGATCTCTGGCCCTCTTGCAATTTCTGTTGAACCCTATTTCCTAGGTCTAGGTCACATGTACATCTAGGTCACACGTGTGTGTATTTTTTTGTGTATGTGAGTGTGTGTGTGTGTGTGTGTGTGTGTATGTATTTGTGTGTGAGTGTGTCTGTGTTTTTGGCTGGAATTTGATAAAGTAGTTCCATGAACATCCTTCTTTCTAAAGTGCTTGGGACCGAACTTTGCCCAAAAACACAATTTGTCTAGGTAACCAGATGTATTCTCTCACCCATAAAATTGTTTTTAATTTTATAAATAGATCACAATACAGTATAGGTTAAAAAATACTGCAATGACATAATAACATACAAGATGTATAAATAATAAGTACACATTAAAGGTGTTCACTAAGGGGTTCAGGTGTTCCTCCACACAAGATCTTGGTATAATCTCTACACAAGTACAGTTGTTTGAATTAACTGAAGGAGGTGGAAATTGAGACAAAGATGTATTCAGAGTTAAGGGCTACATTAAGGAGGAACACTTGAGTGAACAAGTCTTTAATTACAGTACATCAGAATGCCATTAATTTCAGACTGTGCACGCAGACGGCTCATCATGGAGGAGAATGATATGGGATCCAGTAAACCTAAGTGCTGCCCAAATGGAGACTTTTATCCATGGCAGACACGTGGACTATTTGCATACTGTGTTGATGGCAATGGAAACCAAATTGGAGTTGAAACTGCATTCACTGATATTCAAGGACTGTCCTGTTACAGTGAGCAACCTTGTGATACAAGTGTTATGTACAGTTCTTAAAACAAAAACAAAAATTAGGTTATAATTCTAATTAATACATTAATTTACATAATTAGGGATAGGAAAGTTTCTTACAAGTCTTATATAGCCCAAGATTATATGTTAACAACACTTCTTTTCAAAGCTTTAAGATATTATATTAAAACTATGCACTGTACTCAATTTCCTAGCAACACAATAATAAATCTCAATAGTGTTTGTTTACTGGACACCCATTCACAATGCAGGAATCTGAAGTGTTCTACAAATCAATCTGTTCACAGGTCTGGATTCACTAACGCAGGCCGAGAGAGAGATTGTGCAGTATACTGTATACTGAATCTTTGTAACCAGGCTTGAGCAATGTGCAATTTGTTGTTTTAGAATTTACTATTCCCATACTCTCATTTTCTTGATCACATGTATATATGGTCATAATATCTAAGATTTACTAGTATTCATATCGATTAGCCCAGTAGTAGACATTTTGAGTCTTAGACATGGGCCCATTACCCATCTATTTATATAAGTAGGTCAGTGCTAAGGAAAAATTGCCCACTTATAGAGCACAGCCTTGTAAAAAGGAAAAAGTAACAATAATGCTCGACAGATGGCTCTTTAAAGATTAGAGTTCAAAGGCTTCGTGGAGAGCATATAATGGTAGCATCATATGATGATTGAGCATATTCCTTTTCTACAAGGAAAAAGACAGCAAAACATTTCATTCCTGAACTGGTAAAGGACACAATAACTATAATAAGCTGCAGTGGGAGCAATGCACCATATAAATGGCAATAAAGCCAAATGATAGCAAAGACTTTATCCAATTCTTCAATAACTAAGCTTGTAAATCGGGATCTTGGATACTACAGTACTGTACTCCGAGTCTAGCTTCATTTTCACAAACAATCAAGCCAGTTAAATCTAAATAGTTGAGACTTTTTAAATAGTTTATGAATATCCTTGTGGTTCTCGGCTAATTAATCAAGTTCTCACAAACATTTTCTTTACTATGTCAGCATTTTTTCTTGGTCATGCAGAGTTCTTATTTTAATTCTACATTCGCTTAACTAGAAGCAGCTTCAGAATATCATGTCATATCTGAGAATGCTTTCGAGGAAAAATCTTCTGTGCAAGTAACGATATGGTATAATCTCTCTAAACATTACATAAACTTGAAAATCCTACGATCTGTTTCACACTCGCTGACTCGCAAAAACTTCGACCTCCATATCCAGACTTGCATTCAATCACAAAACCCACCTTTCCCATATTGGACGCACGCACGCACACACACACACACACACACACACACACACACACACACACACACACACATTTAATTCCCCCCTTTCAGTAATGACTTCCTTCCATAGTTTGATGAATCGCCAAATTTTTTTTTGCTTATGTAGACAGTGATAAACTCCAGTCATGACATTTAATAATAAAAAATGTGCATATGAAAAAGATTAGGAATGTTAAAAAAATTTCTTGTTCTTTAAGACAAATTTATCTTATACATATTCAACATACATTATGATAATTTAATAAAACAAAATGCATGATATGAAGCTCCAACATTTCTTTATCTATCAACTTATTTCATTTGAGTGTATTAGTGCAATGTTACAGTAAAAATCGAGAGGGAATGAGAATTGCAACAAAAAATGGGAATTTTGTATGAAAGTCATGACATTTAGCAACCATGCATTAAAGACCCCCTATTGCTGCCAGTGGATCAGCAACATCAAAGACACTTTAAAATAATCATCACAGCAGAATAATATCGTTCATACGTGACTATTAGAACTAAGCATTTAGCAGCCTTACTTGGATACCATTATAACTGCTGATGGAACCAGACCTGAAAATATTTAGTCAGGTTTTAAATATTTATACTAGCTGCTACTTTAGAGCTGATAATTTACTGATAAGGGCTTGAATGGAATGATATGGATGGTTGGTTGGAATGATATGGATGGTTGAATGATATGAATGGTTGGGCTGGAATGTCTTATGATATTCTGTATATTTCCTAAAATAGCAAAAAATGCTAATTACTTTCAATACATATGAAGACATATTCCTTCTTTATCTTAATGCTAAAATTGTAATTTGATCATCAAAACACTGAAAAATTAATTAAAACAAAATGGGTAGGACACCTAGAGAGAAAGATGTAACAGACAAGACAATATGGCTTTCAAACGAGAAGACCCTATGTAACAAATTGACTGTTTCTATGATAGAGCCATAGAAATTTTAGAGGAAAGAGACTCGTTACCCCACACTTTGGTAATGTGTGGAAGGATTGAAGATTGCAAAAATCTCAAGTGAGAGGCTTGTGGTTTTTATAACTGGCTGAAATTAATATATAACATTGGTTTAGTCAATTAAATGAATGTACAATGTAAATATAAGAGGAAGAGAGAGTTTAAATTGATTATGAGCAGCAGGTGCGGGGCAAAATTAGGATAATCAAATACTGTACATTGAAGATGGTTCATACCTTAGGCAAGCTCTGACTTATTTTCCCATAACATAGCCAAGAACTGGGTAGCGGCACGAGACTATTTCAGTGTTGTGTCAAGAATTTAGACTACTAATTTAGTGTTTGGAGTTTGTTTATTTGGTTGATTTAAATACTTTGTGACCTGCAAAAGAAGGGTTCTGTGATGATAATGTAATATATATTGAATTGAGGGTATAACAATATATAATAAAATCACAAATGTATCTTTCCATATCCTATGCATAAATTGACTAGCCTGAGAATCACAGAACTACATGTTGGTCAGGAGTGTCAGTGTGTAATAAGGAAAGAAATTGCAAAGCTATGAAATAATGAATATAAGAGTTGAATGCCAAATTTGCGACATCATCATCTAAGAGAGAGAAAGAGAAGCACAGCACGCACACTGAATGCAGTATAAATTTTTACATTTACATGGGCATGCTAAGTAAAACTGCCTGTGTCTTCAACAAGCTATAATAACCACCAATACAATAACACTGTCCATTTAAAATAAGTAAACTAATGGACATTGGAAAAGTGAAAGGTGACAAAGATCAAGGGAAATGAGTGCTAAGAGGTAAATGAATGAAATGAAAGATTAATGAAATTAAATTAAAGAAATAATGAGAGAGAAAGGTTAGCAAAGGAGTTAAGGACTGTGAGATAGTATACTACTCCCAGCTCTGACATATGGAATTAAACACAACATCCTCCAAGAAGTTCCTTGGAGGAACTCCAAGGAACTTGTTCCTCCAAGGAGTGCCGGACCAACCGGGCTGTGGTGGGTATGTGGGCCTGCGGGCCGCTCCAAGCAACAGCCTAGTGGACCAAACTCTCAAGTCAAGCCTGGCCTCGGGCCGGGCTTGGGGAGTAGAAGAACTCCCAGAACCCCATCAACCAGGTATCAACCAGGTATCCCTTTCTATCCCTAATTTTCAAGAGTACAAGCAGTGGAAATGAGTTTTATGAGGAAAACAGCTGGTGTAAGCATGTGGGAATGAAATGGGAGTTGTGAATTGGGTTAAGTGCAAAACACAGATGGTGTGGACATGTCAGTAAAATTCCTGAGAGTTGTTTAGTGAAAAGGGTGAACATGGGTGAAATATACTTATATAGGAGATTATATATAGGAGAAATAAACTCATATAGGAGATACTGGCAGACAACCAGTATCTCGGAAGGGAAGAGTGGAACAATATATTGTATGTGAAGTCTTTGAATAAATTTTCCTTTCTCTACCACCTAATAAGAACATTGGGAGAGAGTACGGGCATTAAGGTTAGAGGGAGTTAAATCATCCAAAGTGAAAATAAATAAAATTCAAATATCTAGCCAATGTTAACACTTAGGCAGGCCTTGTGCACAGGCCAGAGAAGTAAGGAATTCTGGAGTGTGGGCATGCTAGCTGTGCCCAAAAAGTACTAGCACTGTACTGTTGACCAGACCACACACTAGAAGGTGAAGGGACGACGACGTTTTGGTCCGTCCTGGACCATTCTCAAGTCGATTGTGAGAATGACTTGAGAATCACAATCGACTTGAGAATGGTCCAGGACGGACCGAAACGTCGTCGTCCCTTCACCTTCTAGTGTGTGGTCTGGTCAACATACTTTAGCCACGTTATTGTGACTCATCGCCTGCACAGTACTGTACTGTTTGTACAATTAGTCTGCCAAAGGTTACTTAACTAATTATTACTTAACACACTACTGATGCTGAATGGAGCCAATATTACACAGAAGAGTGGTCCCTGAATGAACAGGTTTCAATGTTTGATATTTATTACGGTCTTGGGTGACCCATGATGTTGCAATGACCAACCTGTAAGTGGTTCAAATGCCTTCACTCATGTGGCACTGTTTAAGCATGCAAAAAGTAAATACAATGGGGTAACTTACCTAAAACATCTAATGGCTTGTCCATATCTTCATCAGAAAACACCTTACGTGGAAATGATGTGGACAGTTTAAATGGGGCATCTGCAGGAAGGCCATCCTGGCGATTGAGGCCAATCCAGAGACGAACTGCTGATAAAGCTTCTTTGGCCTTGAACTCCTGCACAAGTGGTGTTCCACTTGGAAGGCGAATCTAAAAAAAATAAAAGGAACAGAGAGAATGTGATAACCGTTTTACTTGTTTGTCACAGTTCAACAATGTTCAACATATATACTTTTGCCTAAATTACTAAAGTAACAAAATTAATAAACACTAGCTAAAACACTTTCATTTATATTTTATGAACCTTGAATGTCAACTGAATTTATGCTGCAGTTTTTCTTAATATAGTACACAATGTGACCCTGAAATGAATGGGTGATTGTGGTAACATGGCACGCATTTTAACGTGTTAATGTGCATATTATAAAGCACAATTAATAGCTATTAATTATTATTTTGTATTACAATTATAATTATTAATAGCTATTTAATTTTTTAATATATATATCCTTCTTGCACTGTATTGTTCCCCTTATTTTTGCCAGGCTGAAGAAGACCCACATCCAATGAAAGTGAGAGAACAGTGTAATAATAATATATTGATATATGTATAAGTGAATTTGTGCAAGCAGATTTTTTATTTTGTTTACCTGAAGTCTTGCTGTAGTGTATTCCTTCTTCTGGGTCGGCTGTGGAACAGGTGTTGGCTGAGGCTTGGGAGGTGCAACAGTAGCTTGTGATCCTCCTTCACCTTTGTTGGCAAACATTTCTTTCCTGGCCAGCCTGTCGCGCTCAATCTGGTCTTTTACTTTTTGCCTTGCAATCTTGTCTTCCAGTTTCTCCCTCCTGCGATCCTCAGCAATGCGTTTCATCTCCTGCTCCTGCATGCTAGGGACATTTTGTTGTAAATATATGAGAAAGAAACTGTATGATAGAAAAGATATCACTACAACAAAAGGTCTGATATGCGAGCATGTTTCTCATTACAACTTAACATCCACAGTATTATTTGATTTTTACATTTTCTTTAAAGCTAGAAATATGCTAAAACTTAATTCTAATGCATTTTATTTTGCAATGAAGCTGCAATGAAGAGAACTATGGCAAAATTGTATGCAATAAGCATTAGAGATGAGAAAGAAAATACACCAGAGCCCAACAGAAGATGGGACTAAGCAGCAAGAGTGACCAAAAATAGAGTTCAACTACATCAAAGCATAATAAGGAAAGCTGTGCACAGCAATGCCAGGCACAAAGGTGGGAACAGCCTGTGCATACATGTATTCCTGACAAAAAAACTTTTTCCAGGGGATGAGGGAGAACTAGCTGTCTCAACTATCTGCAGACAGATGGGCGAGACAATGGGTAAAGTAACTCGATTGATCATACGCCATCCCCCAACCTAAAACACTTGGCAGGGAAAGGCATATGTAGCCACAGACAAGCACAATGTAATGTACTCCAAATGTACTCACTAGAAAGAAGATGAGAGAGATATCAAATAATATACACCTGGAAGATACTGAAGGGCCAAGTACCAAATCTACACAGTAAAATAACAATGTACTGGAGTGAACGATATGGAAGAAAATGCAGAATAGAACCAGTGAAGAGCAGGGGTGCCATAGGCACAATCAGAGAACACTGTATAAACATCAGAGGTCCACGGTTGTTCAACACCCTCCCAGCGAGCATAAGAAATATTGCCGGAACAACCGTGGACATCTTCAAGAGGAAACTAGATTTATTCCTGCAAGGAGTGCTGGACCAACCGGGCTGTGGTGGGTATGTGGGCCGCTCCAAGCAACAGCCTGGTGGACCAAATTCTCACAAGTCAAGTCTGGCCTTGGGCCGGGCTTGGGGAGTAGAAGAACTCCCAGAACCCCATCAACCAGGTATCAACCAGGTATTTAGCCCAACTGTAGAACCCAACCACAACACGGGCAGATTCAGACAACAACCACCACACAAGCATATAGTTAAATACAATCACTCTCCTTAACAAATATATACAGTATATCCTTATACATATTATAAATCCTTACCAAATATATATATGGCTTAAATTTGCTTGAGGTGATGCGTAATATAAACTTACATTAAACTGAGAGTCTACGTAATATAAACTTGCGTTAAACTGGGATTCCAGTGTACAGCATTATCTACCCACAAATAGCAAAAATTAAAATCGGTACACTAGAAAACTTTGTCCAACAAATGGGGTAACTCACAACTGAAGCATTGGAGGGAGACAACTTAACTATTATAAAAACTACTGCATATAGAGAATGCTAAAACTCCTATACGGTGTCACACACTTACATGCGCTTTCTCTCTGTAATTTCTTGACCCATCTGAATACGTTTTCTTTCACGGTCCCTTGCTTCCTTTTCCTCCTCTTGCTCTCTTTCCTTCCTTCGTTGCTTAATTTTTTCTTCTAATAACCTTTTCTGTAATTGAGAAATAATGTACTGTACTTATGTCTTTTAAAAAAAAAAAAAAAAATTCCCCAGTTCTAACAATAGCCATCACAATTATTCAATCTAAACATTACAATGTACTGTAGTTCTACAATTCAATAACTAATTATTTTATAGAGGTCCATAGTAATAACCAGGTTTTCTTCAAATGCTAGAAATAAGGATACAGCAAAAATATTAGTAACAAGTATAAAAAAAAAGAGGCAGGTGAGGGGATGTGAGGATCTTATCACATTGCCAATAATACATTTCACTATTCCCTAACTAGATATACGTTGAATTCAGTCAGCTGAAAGAGGAATCCACAGGTTATATTCCAGATCTCTCACAATACAAATACCAGTACTATTTAAGTACAGTGCTTAGCCCTCAATGGCTTCCCATAGCCAAGTGCAATGATTCTGGAAAGCCGTCCATAACAACACCACCACCACTGACAAATTTCACGGGTCTACCAGAGGCACAGGACCCGAACTGACTCCTTCAGAGAGACGAGGGCAAGCACAGAGCTCAGACTCTAATCTACAGTCGAAGAGAAATAACAACACACTTCAAGATGAAACCATGGACACGATAGTTGGCATCAAGTAAATGACCTTTACTCCAATTCGCCGCCCCCCCCCTGCTGTCACCAGGTGAGAAATTGCTTCGAAGCTGGGTCAATTTTTGGTCTTCCTTAGCAAAGACTGATATGAAACGGTCATTTAGTCATGGTAACATAACTAGGTAACAAATATCTGAAAGTTGAAAGTACACGATTGACTAGGTAAAAAAAATACAATATCTGGAAAGTACAAGATAGCTCATTTCCTCCTTCCCATCTATTATGTGACCAGAGATAGTTTTCTCAAGTCTTTTTACTTTCCACTACCTTCATTTTGTGAAGTTTGGAAAAACTTTTAGGATTCAACTTGATATCTCAGCTTTGTAAACTCCTTTGGTTTATCTTACTTCTTGCCAAACCTGTATTTTTAAATGTACAGTATCATATTGATCTATTAGGAGGGACTTCCCCTTTCTCTGTTTTTTAGAGTATTTTTTTGTATCCAATTTGTCTGTTGCTCTTTTTACAATATTTGTAAATTCTATATATGCTTCATTTACTAAAGAACTGGCCATCAATATCTGGGTTCCCCTCTCAGCTAGGATTCATGTTAACACTTTCGCTCGGGGATGACGCAGCATTGCGTCATCCGTTTACTGGCGGTAATGCCGGGGATGACGCAGCATTGCGTCATCCACTTTAAAAATTCGCCAAAAATCAGGTTTTTATCCGATTTTTTGGGGACTGGTTTTAAAATGTGCGCCGATGTCTTCCCATTTTCTTTGTTGAGCCTCGTGGCCCTCAGGCGGCTTGGCACATGCCATGGGCCCATTGTCTTTGCTCCACTGTTGTGACCAATGTCGCCTCCCCTCGCATCTCAAACGTGTGAACATTTCGGCTATTTCCCGTGGCTATATTTCTTACTGCGGCTTTAGAAACTATCTACGCTTACTCCACGATGGATAGTAATCATGAACAAGGCCCTTCCAGGAAGAAAATTGCGAAAGAAAGGCTTGAAAAGGGTGGGAATTGGGAGTGTAGCAGGAAGGCCTCTGAGCACTCACTCACGGCTAACGCGTGGCCCGTCTTCAACTCGTCGGCGGTTGGAGCGTGACCAGGTTTTTTTTTTTATATGCTAATGTTCCTATAGAGAATTTTATTACGAACCCATTGAGACCAAATTGAAAGACCTAGGACAAAAATTGAGGTGACCAGAGTGAAAATAGTGAAAACATTTTATCCCGTTTGCGCGCTCCCGGGTAACTCGTTCGCACTTTCTCTGTTTGCTGCGGGTAATTAGCTGGGCTTTTGGAGTTTATATGCATTTAGTGTTGTAGAGAATTTTATTGCGAACACAATGATACCAAATTTAATCTCGTAGAAGGAGAATTGAGGTGACAAAGTTGAAGAGAGTATACACTTTTCGAAATTAACGCGCGCTTCCGTGACACGCTGGGGCCCATATCGCCCTGTCGAGGGGTGGCGCGCGGGGTGAGCGAAAGTGTTAACTTCCATGTCCAAAAATGTTTGAGCTGCTCCTGTCTTAACAGCTAGTAATCCCCCTTTTAAAAAATCTGGGACTCTGAAATTGGTTTTAAGTTTCTTGGGCACAGCACTTTCAGTTAAAAACAAATCCACTTTTTCTACAATTTCTATTGCCAAGTTTGTTGCCTATTTTTATGTTGTCAATCATTGTCTCTTTATTCACCAGGACCAAATCCAAATTGCCTTTACCTGGCTTAATGGTTTCTCAACATTTGCTGTCTAACTGCATTAGTTTCGGCCAAATAATACAGAGGTTATATTTATCTTTTTATGTACTGTGCTAAAACTACAGCAACGTACATTTATGTGTAAAATGATTGAATGTGAATTTTCACAAACAGTATTATATAATATTACATACAAAATGTAAATTTGTAATACACTGTAAAATATACATAAATATTTGTAAGGCTTATATCTTTGACACAAATCCACACAAGGGAGAATAACCATTTACACAAACACTTTTTTTTTTTTTTTTTTTTTTTTTTGAGATATATACAAGAGTTGTTACATTCTTGTACAGCCACTAGTACGCGTAGCGTTTCGGGCAAGTCCTTAATCCTACGGTCCCTGGAATACGATCCCCTGCCGCGAAGAATCGTTTTTTCATCCAAGTACACATTTTACTGTTGCGTTAAACAGAGGCTACAGTTAAGGAATTGCGCCCATTAAATCCTCCCCGGCCAGGATACGAACCCATGACATAGCGCTCGCGGAATGCCAGGCGAGTGTCTTACCACTACACCACGGAGACTGCATGTTTTCAATCACTTAACAGTGATTGTCTGATCATGAGCAACCACAATCAGATTGTGTATCTTTCAGTGCAGCTAAAATTTCACTGACCAGAACTCTGAGACATTACCGTTTCCTAATCTAATTATAATGGTTGGTGGGCACTGATCCAACTTACTAAGAAAATATCTTGATTGCAATTTTTCTACAAGTAAAAAAAAAAAGTTTGAAAAACACCTACTTGGATGTTTATATTTAATACTGCCTCAATTTTGTGTCCATAAATACAGTACACTGCAGAGGTGAAAGGTTGTAAGAACATAATCCCAAACATTTCTAAACAAAAAATGAAGCATTTACAGAAGCCTGACTCACTGCAAATTATACATCACACCAATGGATCTCCTGATTATCAGTATTCAACCAGTATCTCTGAACATGGTATAAAAAGTGAATAAGCACATTATCCATGCAACATGATGATTACCCATAAAATTATATAATTCCACTATTGTCATAAAAATAAATTATCATCATATGGCACAAAATAAATACTGTATTGTGCTTAACTAACCTTTTCCTGTTTCTCTTCTGCTGTCAATGGTTTTTTTTCCTCGGTGGATTCTGAGAAATTGGAATGGCCAGACTTGATTGCATGGAACTCTACTTCTTCAGATGATTTGAAGAGCTTCCCACAACTGAAAATTTGGGAATTGTGCCTTAATACCAGACAGTATCTAGCAAGAGTCTACTTAATAAGGAAGCTAATACTTTTGATTTGGCCAAGAACCATTACAGTTTATGAAACACACACACACTACTAGGCGACAAATAAATACCTGGAAACCTTCATGACGGGCTAGGTAACAAATATCTGAAAGTACACGATTGACTAGGTAAAAAAAAATACAATATCTGGAAAGTACAAGATGGAACTAGGTAACAAATTAGCTGTGCATAATATATCTCAACAACATACACTAGTGCTAAACGTTACTCACCTAGCTCTACGTATTATAAAGACCACCCAAAATTTTTACTTAAAAATTTCTAAGTACAGTATGGTACAGTTTATATCTAATGTTAAAAAACTTTCACTCTTAATTTAAGCTTCTGTTTGCAATAATTTTCCATATTTGTTCATTACTATTCGGAGTAATCATCGATTAACTTTACAGTATACTTTCTCCAAATCCATAAAGGATAAGAGCAACTTACAATCATTCTCACATGTCTTCTCAACAAACACCTAAATTACACACACAACCCATTCTACCACAAAATTTTCCTTGTTCATCAATAACCAATTTCTCAGTTATTTCTTAAACTCTTTCAATTACAATTCTGCCATACACCTTGCCCACAACACACAGGAGATTAATGTTGCTTATCTTGAGGTTACCTTGAAGTTATCTTGAGACGATAACAATGTTATGTTATGATAACATGCTCAATACCTACAATCATAACATTCCTTTATATTCAAGTATCGGATATCACATCCCTTCTGGAATCATCTGGCCCAGTACCCCTATCATACATCATATGAATTATAATGAATTATTACATGAATAATTCATAACAAACATTATGAATTATACATCTGGCAAATTCTCCACACCCACTCCATTCATTTGACTCAACTGTTTTAAATAACTTCAGCATAAAAATCATCAACACTCACAGCTTCCCTACATTTTAGCTTCTTCACTTAAGTACTCATCTCTTTCAGAGACAATATCTGTTGATATTATGATTTGCACGCTTCTTACATTGATAAAAGCAGTATCATGTATAACTGCATTCATTTCATCATTTCTATCCATCTTTTGATTGTCCAGTGCTCCTATGAGTAGAAAAACACCATGTTACAAGTTTACTTAATTTAAGACGACATCTGGCATACAATGGCTTTTATTAATAGCCCTTAGAAGCAAAAATGTCATCTTCAATCAAGTTGACTCCAAACTCTGCATTTTCTACCCGTGTTAGAACTTCGTATTCTGTCAAACTGCTCCTACGATAACTGCAGACAACGTACCTCTGAGAGCAATAGCGAGTATATTATTGGGATAATCTACTCGCTACAAGCTAAAATGCATGCTTAAAAAAAAAAACTTACTCATCACATTTGATGGATTTTGCACCTTCATTTGTTTCATCTTCACCTTCCCCCGACTTTCCTTCACCCGACTCCTGCTGTACACCCGTCTCTTTCCCTTCACCTGATCCCTTCTCTTCAACCGACTCCTGCCCTTCTGGTACATCAGTTTCCATCTTCTCATCTGGTTTAGAACCTAAGAATTATAAACAGCATATAACAAAAACAGGTACAAGTGGGAGGCACAGCCCTGAAGACAAGGACAAAATGTTAGAAAAATAAACATTTTAGCATTATATAATCTACACAATATTATGATTAAATTATCAAAATATTGCTAGTTTATAAAAAGCCCTGAATATCAAGGGTGAGAAAAATATAGAAACTTCATGAATAGTACTTTATTACTAATAAACCTTTAAAACTAAGAATACAGTACAGTGCATGAAACATGTTGGTGTTTTAAGATATAAAATACCAATATACAAAATAATAAAAAACAATTTTCTTAAGATGCAATATTTTAAGAAATATATATTTTAAGTTGTTAAAATGGGATAAATATAGGGAGGGAGGGAGGGTATTATCAGGGGAAAGTGCCAAGCCATTACGACTATATTGCACTTGGAAGGGTTCAGGATAAGGATTTGGGATGGGACGAGGAAAAGGAATGGTGCCGAACGGTTGGGGATTGTACGCAGACCTGCATGAAGTGAGACCGGCGCTCTACTGTCCAGTCCAAGTGGTTGGAAGCGTATGGTGAAGGAAATGCATAGTGTCTGGGATGACATTTAGGCTGGAGGAATAACCCACATTAGAAATAGTTAATTGTTGTAGATGACTTGATAGAAGAAAGGAATACCATAGGGAAGTGACTGAGGAATAACTATTGTAAACACTTAGTGAGAATATAGCCATGGAGCTGGTAGGCATCACTAGATGAAAGAGTTCCATGTGCATGTTATCTTGAGGTTATCTTGAGATGATTTTGGGGCTTTAGTGTCCCCGCGGTCCGGTCCTCGACCAGGCCTCCACCTCCAGGAAGCAGCCCGTGACAGCTGACTAACACCCAGGTACCTATTTTACTGCTAGGTAACAGGGGCATAGGGTGAAAAAAACTCTGTCCACTGTTTCTCGCCGGCGCCTGGGATCGAACCCAGGACTACAGGATCACAAGTCCCGCATGCTGTCCGCTCGGCTGACCGGCTCCCACGACCGACCGTAGATTGATTAAACATCTTAAGTGCAAAAGAATCTACTTTTGCTCTAACAAACTGAGAATACCTATGAAGCAAGCAAGACACTGTGTGTGGATAAAACACTGTACTCCTCTACTAAATATCATTCCCCTGATATAGTTCAGTCATTCCTCACCTACTGAATGACCAGCTTCTGCTTCAGCAGGTGGATCATTAATCCCAGGATCATCAGCATGCGCTAAAAGCCACTCCATTGCTTGTTCTATACCTCCTCCTCCAGTCACTGCTAACGCCTTCTTTCTGAAATAATAACAATAATACAGTAATAAATATTAATAATAATAATGTCAATTATAAGAAATATTAGTTACAAAAATTACAGTAGTTTTCTTATTTTTTATAAGGCCACAAATCACATATAATATACACTTTGTGTATAATATACACTGTGTATATTATACAGTATCAAATTAAGCAGCCAAACCTAAGCTAACCTTACCTAGCCAAACCTAACCTAACCTTACCTAGCCAAACCTAACCTAACCTTACCTAGCCAAACCTAACCTAACCTTACCTAGCCAAACCTAACCTAACCTTACCTAGCCAAACCTAACCTAACCTTACCTAGCCAAACCTAAGCTAACCTTACCTAGCCAAACCTAACCTAACCTTACCTAGCCAAACCTAACCTAACCTTACCTAACCTAACCTTACCTAGCCAAACCTTACCTAGCCAAACCTAACCTAACCTTACCTAGCCAAACCTAACCTAGCCAAACCTTACCTAGCCAAACCTAACCTAACCTTACCTAGCCAAACCTAACCTAGCCAAACTAACTTAACCTTACCTAGCTAAACCTAACCTAACCTTACCTAGCCAAACTAACCTAACCTTACCTAGCCAAACTAACCCAACCTTACCTAGCCAAACTAATCCAACCTTACCTAGCCAAACTAACCTAACCTTACCTAGCCAAACTAACTTAACCTTACCTAGCCAAACTAACTTAACCTTACCTAGCCAAACTAACTTAACCTTACCTAGCCAAACTAACTTAACCTTACCTAGCCGAACTAACCTAACCTTACCTAGCCAAACTAACCTAACCTTACCTAGCCAAATTAACCTAACCTTACCTAGCCAAACTAACCTAATCTTACCTAGCCAAACTAACTCAACCTTACCTAGCCAAACTAACCTAATCTTACCTAGCCAAACTAACCTAACCTTACCTAGCCAAACTAACTTAACCTTACATAGCCAAACTAACCTAACCTTACCTAGCCAAACTAACCTAACCTTACCTAGCCAAACTAACCTAACCTTACCTAGCCAAACTAACCTAACCTTACCTAGCCAAACTAACCTAACCTTACCTAGCCAAACTAACCTAACCTTACCTAGCCAAATTAACCTAACCTTACCTAGCCAAACTAACCTAACCTTACCTAGCCAAACCTAACCTAACCTTACCTAGCCAAACTAACCAAACCTTACCTAGCCAAACTAACCTAACCTTACCTAGCCAAACTAACCTAACCTTACCTAGCCAAACCTAACCTAACCTTACCTAGCCAAACTAACCAAACCTTACCTAGCCAAACTAACCTAACCTTACCTAGCCAAACTAACCTAACCTTACCTAGCCAAACCTAACCTAACCTTACCTAGCCAAACTAACCAAACCTTACCTAGCCAAACTAACCTAACCTTACCTAGCCAAACTAACCTAACCTTACCTAGTCAATTAGCCTCAACCTTAACTAACCTTGACTAGTTAATATAGACAAACTAAAAGGTGGCATTAAAAAAGGTCTGGCAATCAATTCCTTATTTTTTATTTTATTTATTTATTTATATATATACAAGAGTTTTTACATTCTCGTACAGCCACCGCTTAGCGTTTCGGGCAAGTCCTTAATCCTAATATCCCCCGGAATACGACCCGCCAAATCATTCAACAACCATATACCCATTTTACCGATGGGTTAAACAGAGGATACAATTAAGGATTGGCGCCCCAGTCAATCCTCCCCCGGCCAGGAGACGAACCCAGGACAAAGCGCTCGCGAAACGCCAGACGAGTGTCTTACCACTGCACCACGAAGACTGCTAGTATAGTTAAAGATGTGTTGATGATCTATGATGAAATGCTGTATAATAATGTATTAAGCTTTACAGGAGTCAGTAAGACAAGTGACAACTTGTAACAAAACAATCCTATACTCTCGGTAGATTTAATACAGGTAGGTTAGGTTAGTTTACAGGTAAACTTTAATACAAGTTATAGGTTTGCCTTAAAGAGCTATTCTCCGTGGAACGTTTTCAAAGAGGACAGAACTATACTGTACTCACGCACTGTTCTCGGAGAAACCCATCTCCATCAGTGTCTGCAGGGCTGTCATGGCTGTGGTGGCGTGGTTGACGGTGGTAGAGAGAGAGATAGAGTATAGGAGGCTACTAGTAGTGTAAGAAAGCGGCGTGACTGTCTTACTCTTAGTCAAGGGGAGCCTGTTTGTGTCCACCGTGTCGTGACGTCATAGTTACTCGTGACATCATCAATCCGCCTTCACATTTCAAGTTATTTTTTGTAATAATAAATAAATAAATAATTTTTTATTCAGGTAAGGTACATACATACAAGGTAAGATACAAAGTTGATGGATTTATAGATAGAGCTAGTACATACAATTGCCTAAAGTCACTATTACGCAAAGCGTTTCGGGCAGTGTTAATTATTATTTTAATTTCCATGTCAAGGCTTCTGTTGAGGCATTGGAATTTAAAGAGCTAGGATAATTTATGAAAAACATACATGATTTATTGGTCATAATGCGATGGGAAATCATTTTTTGTTGGTATTTTAATTTGTCAATGCAGTTGTTCCACAAACCGTATTGGAGGCTAACTATAGCAGAAAGTTGAGGCATTGTATGTTTGGCGGATGTTTCATGTTCTCCGTACATATTCTTGTCAGTTCTAAACACTTGCCCGAAACGCTATGATTGATTGATGATTGATGAAGATTAAGCCACCCAAAAGGTGGCACGGGCATGAATAACCCGTAAGTGGTGGCCCTTTTAAGCCATTACCAGTATCAATAGATGATACTGGAGATCTGTGGAGGTGCGACTGCACCCTGCGTGACGGGAGATGTCTCCCGTGAAAAAAAACGCCATGCGTACTAGTGGTTTTAGATATTCTATGTACTATCTCTATCTTTAAATCCATCATTATGTATGTAACTCAATGGATGTACCTTTATCTGAATAAAGAATCTGAATTTGATATAATTCTTTTTACTAGTGCTTCCTATGCTGCGAGTGTCAGTGATTGCTCTATGCTGCCATTCCTACATAGTTTCTCGAAATACTGTACTGTAGTGGGGTGTTTCGACAACAGAGACTGGATTAGCCAGGTCTAGTTCAATTTCAGGTTTATAATTATTACATGCATCTTTGGCTACCTTGTCCTGTTGAAGTGGCCTGTGTCATCATGTCGGACAACACCTAGGTGAGATGGAATTCATACAAAGGTGATTCTGCAATTCTTGCTCTATGGTTCAGTTATGTTGTTTATATTTGATGCTACAGAATTCTTAGTGTCTGTTTTATATCTTGAGGTTTCCAAGTATTTGAAGAGCTAACTTAATTTGAATGACAAAAAATTAGTAATTTTTAAAATCTGTAATTTTCCAGTGTCTTATAGTGGATAGTTATCAATAGTAGCTAACTCTGAAGTATGTGTGAAACTAAGCTATTGTATGACAGAACAAAATTGTTATTACAATTGACATTGTATGTAATACAATGTCACACTATCCAGTGGATGTTAATTAAAAAAACATCTACTAGACAGTGTGACATTGTAATTGCCAGAATTAGGCTGGGATTTTGGAATCCTCGTCACGGCCCTTGTGGATTTGTTCATTAGGCTGGGATATCGATATCTATGGCAGGTGGCTGCAGGTAATGAATCCCTCAATAGTGAACATTTTGATTGTAAACTATGTGAACAAGAGCTGGGACATACTCTCCAACACTATGTCCGTGATGACTCTGTTATCAGTGATTTCAGACCAAATGGAATAAGGTACTTTGAGCTCTATAGCTACTTCATACAATCACGAATACTGGAAGATATTCTTGTGCTCTGCCCAGATTTTGCTAGTGGAGGCAAATAGATCAGTCTTACGTTTAATATTCTCTCCTGATTCCATATATGACTAACCATCCTGTGAGATGGGGATATAAGATGAACTTATAGCTAGTTTTTGATCTACACTATGTAATCTTTCATATAGAATAGGGTAGCAGTACATTACTGTGTATAGCTAAGCTTGTTAATGTCAATACTATGCAATGAGCAGCAAGCAAAACGTTTATTAAAGTTTATCCCAAAATTATATTTAGATCACTTTTGCATTTATGTAAGAGAAAACATGTATTAGTGGAAGACTATAATAACCTGAATTTTCCTGAGAGGGGATGCCATCAACTATTTACCAGAATTTACCTGAGGGGGCCACTATCTTTCTAGTGGCCTTGACGAAGACAGGAAACCGGCGGCTTGTCAAAGGTCTCGCCCATTTTTCGGAGACAGGAAACCGGCGGCTTGTCAAAGGTCCTCCCATTTTTTTCATGAGGATTATTTCAAACTGGATTTTGAACTTCAACAATGTCTTGGCATTTACAGCTTCGGCAGGTATGCAGGTTTATAACCATATGGGTGAAAAAGCATCTCCTGTTTCCTGTCCTAGGAAAAAATCCACAAGGGCCGTGACGAGGATTCGAACCTGCGTCCGGGAGCATCCCAGACACTGCCTTAATCGACTGAGCTACGACAGGGTTAAAAGGGTTGAAACCGAAGTTCTACTGAACTTACTGGATCTCGTAGCTAGTTATTTAGTGTTACTGAAGGCATTGAGTCCATTTTTTTCTCTTATAAAACCTTATATGAAGCTTTGAGTCAGCATATTGCTCTGTTATAACAGCACTAATGAGTTCAGAGTTCAGAGCCTGGCAATAGAGCGTTGTACCTCAAGGTCTTTGCAAATTTTTGCAGAGGTTAGATAAGTCGACGTGTGTGAATGTGTGAGGCGCCACTACACCAGCTGCTGTCTTACCCACCACCACAACCACCACCACCACCAACCACCATCACCACCACCACAACCACCACCACCACCAACCACCATCACCACCACCACAACCACCACCACTACCAACCTCGTCTCGGCGTACCAGACTATTTGTGCTTGCAAGACAAGTATCAGATGCTGGTCCCACTATTCCAGAAGTTCCTCAACTACTTGCTTATCTAACCTAAGCTGAGTATGGAGTTAACTACCTACATCTCTCTGCCTCCTTCCACTGGCTCACTTCACTTGCTCTGATCAAGTGCTTCCTTAAGTCTTTCTGGCTCAGTGAGACTTGCGGGGTTCTGTGAGCCCGTCTCAGGGGTTGTGTGAGTCCGTCTCAGGGGTTCTGTGAGCCCGTCTCAGGGGTTCTGTGAGCCCGTCTCAGGGGTTCTGTGAGCCCGTCTCAGGGGTTCTGTGAGCCCGTCTCAGGGGTTCTGTGAGCCCGTCTCAGGGGTTCTGTGAGCCCGTCTTAGGGGTTCTGTAATTCCCGTCACCGGCGTTCTGTAATCCCCGTCTCCAGGGTTCTGTAATCCCCGTGTCCGGGGTTCTGTAATCCCCGTGTCCGGGGTTCTGTAATCCCCGTGTCCGGGGTTCTGTAATCTCCGTCACCGGGGTTCTGTGAGCCCGTCTCAGGGCTTCTGTAATCCCCGTCACCAGGGTTCTGTGAGAACTTGCAGATGATTGCGAAAAAAATACACCTTTGCCACCTCTTTGTAACCGAGTAAAAATAAGGATTACTGTATTAACGTGAACTGTTAACAAAACAAAGATGCCACCACGAATTAAGTTGTTAAAAAGTTAGTTCAAATTTGACTTTCAATTAAGAGACAATAATTAAAATCAACATTATTATGTTGAAACGTATTATTTTCTTTTGTGAATGTATTATACAATAAAATTTAACATGTTTCTTCTTAACAACTTTATAAAACACAATAATATTTTTTTATTAAAAATAATTTGTAAGTAGAAATATGAAATAAATAGTCTTGTAATATTTTGTTCAATTGGATGAGTTTATTATTTATTTACCCTACTGCTTTACCTGCTTGATACCTGGTTGATGGGGTTCTGGGAGTTCTTCTACTCCCCAAGCCCGGCCCGAGGCCAGGCTTGACTTGTGAGAGCTTGGTCTAACAGGCTGTTGTTTGGAGCGACCCGCAGGCCCACATATCCACCACAACCCGGTTGGTCCGGCACTTCTTGAAGAAAACTATCTAGGTTTCTCTTGAAGATGTCCACGGTTGTTCCGGCAATATTTCTTATGCTCGCTGGGAGGACATTGAACAACCGCGGACCTCTGATGTTTATACAGTGTTCTCTGATTGTGCCTATGGCACCCCTGCTCTTCACTGGTTCTATTCTGCATTTTCTTCCATATCGTTCACTCCAGTATGTTGTTATTTTACTGTGTAGATTTGGGACCTGGCCCTCCAGTATTTTCCACGTATAGATTATTTGATATCTCTCTCGTCTCCTTTCTAGTGAGTACATTTGGAGAGCTTTGAGACGATCCCAATAATTAAGGTGCTGTATCGCGTCTATGTATGCCGTATATGTTCTCTGTATTCCATCTATTTCAGCAATCTCTCCTGCTCTGAAGGAGGAAGTGAGCACTGAGCTGAGTACTGACCTGTAGCAGGTGGCTACAGGTGACGGATTTCCCAGTCGGGTGCAAACTCTGTGAGCATGAACTGGGTCATGACCTTACACACACACACACTACGTTATTGAATGTCTACTTAGACCCTTCAGACCTGCCGGTATAAGGTACCTGGGGCTTTACAATCACTTTATTAACTTATTATTGTCAGAATATCTTCATAATATATCCAGAGTTTGTCAGTACAGGCTACTGATCACATGGCCCTGTATGACTAACCATCCTGCGAAATGAGGTTTGTTGAGAATCACTATGTAACCCTTCATATAGTTCAGAACAATTGATTAATATATATGCAGATATTTGTAATAATTAATTGTGTCGGGGGACAGGCAGCCAGCGTACATATACAAGCGAGGCTTATATTGAGTTTCCTCCCACAGTTTTTTTTATTTTAGTTCATTTATTATGCACCCCATACCCATCTTATGGGCGGTAGTGGAAAGGGTTACAGAGGCACGTAATGGGCTCAGGGACTGAACCCCACAATTCATTTAGCTAAGCAAGTTACAATCTTGATGAGCTAGTTACAAAATTCAGTAGTTCAACTACTGACTCCACCCCCACAACAAGCTGATTAACTACTGGGGTACCTTTTTACTACTAGGTAAACAGGTGCATTAAGTGATAGGAAACGCGTCCATCCATTTCTGCCCCGGCCGGGATTCGAACCCGGAATTCCCGAAATGGAGTCGAGAACGAGCCCAACTGTACTACAAGGACGCTAGAAATGGTATTAC